GCACACTTCTCCCTTTTCACTTATAACTGGTGGTCCTGTAACCTTTGAAGCACCTGGCGCAGGTGTTCTTGATGTTCTTCTAGAGTGGAGCTATATACCACTATGTCGTCTAAATAAATGACTACAAATTTGTCTAGGTAGTCATGGAACCCCTGATTCATCAATGTACAAAATGTGGCAGGAGCATTGGTCAGTCTAAAGGGCATAACAAGAAATTCAAATGCACCATACCGTGTTACACAAGTGGTCTTTGGCTCATCTCCCTCAACGATTCTGACCTGATGATAGCCGAATCTCAAGTTCAATTTGGAGAAGTACTTGGCCCGGCTCAATTGATCAAACAAATCTGCTATAAGAGGGATAAGAGATTTGTTTCTCACAGTGACTTTGTTTAGGGCCTTATAGTCAACACATAATCGCAAACTTTCATCATGTTTCTTCTGAAATAGCACTGGCGCTTCGAAAGGAGCCTTTGATGGTCTAATGAACCCGGCTTGTAGAAGCTCATCTAATTGTTTCCTTAGTTTGGCCAACTCTGGCGGGGCCATGCGGTAAGGGGCTCTAGCAGGGGGTTTCGCTCCTGGGAGGAGCTCAATTTCATGGTCCACTGCTCATCGAGGGGGTAGAATCTTAGGCAACATCTCTGGCATCACCTCTTCAAATTCTTCCAACACATTTTTCACACCATCGGGTATCGGTTCCACTCCCGACCCTTCTTTGTAGATCGGCATGGCCACATAAGAGGGTTCCCCTCTCTTTACCCCTTTCTTAAACTGTAAAGCTGAAATCATTTTCTTCCCAGTCTTTGGCAAGATATTGGCCGGCACCACACATGGGTGTTCCCCTAAGAACAACAAGCAGCTAGCGGCAGAGATAGGGATCACCTGAGCCAACATCATGAAGTCCAATCCGAGGACGACATCAAAATCATCCGTGGGGGAAACTGTAAAGTCTACCTTCCCTTCCCATGGCCCAATTTAGTTGTCACACTCTTGGAGCTTTCGCTGATCGCAAAGGCTGACGAATTGACCGCCTTCATTCGTCCACAGTCCTTGCTAACCTGGAGACCACACCTTTTTGCTTCTTTTGGTGTGATGAAAGTATTGGTTGCACCCGTATCTACCATGGCCTTGGTGGCTTTCTCATTGATCATTAAGTTCACATACATCAGGCCTCTACCTTGCTCTTTCTTTATTGTGTTCAGTTGGGTGCGGAGGGCATTGAGGAACCTTATTGAACCCATCCTGGCTGGCTCCTCTTCAACTTCTTCAACGCTCTCTGGCGCTTTTGCGAACTCTTGAAATGAGACTCTTAAGGCATTAAGGGTTCCTCTGTGTGGGCATTCGGCCACCCGATGCGGCCCCTTGTAAATAAAGCAAGCTAGCGGTTGCCTAGGCTTGAAAGTCACTGTGTTGCTTGTCTTGGGTTGGGTGCTATCTCGACCAAAAGACCTCCTGTCTGATCTTCCACTAAATGGTCGGTCCAACCTAGTCATCTTTCCCCTATTCCCAAAGTTGAAACTACTGCCAGCTAATGTAGGATTTTTTCGTTTTGAGGAGCCATCATTATAATCGTGGAGACGTTCAGCTGCAGCCATGGTTGTGGCCACGTCTTGCACTTTTTGTCTTTGTAGTTCTGTCTTAGCCCAAGGCTTGAGGTCCTCAAGAAAAGTGTCATGAGCCACCCATGTATAGGGCCATGGCCAGGTAAATCTCTTGTGCTAGGAAAAGTATCCTCATTTCAAACATTGTAATGGTTAGTAGTAGCATAGCTCTAAAATCTCTAAGGCTCTTTAGGGGGTGAGCCGGCAGCGTACTGTTGGGCTATCTCACCGGTTGCTATACGGGGCCTAGGCCATCCACCAAGGGCTGCCCCCTGGCCCTGGTAATGGTGGGAAGTCCCGATGTATGATTATCGATTATAATAAAATTCACCCCGATTGAATGTCCCGAATGTTGCCTCGATGTGTTTTTCTTTTTTTCGATGTGAATGTGACTTCTTGTGTATACTTGAGATTGATCTCGATATAATGTGTCTTATTGTGAATGCTTGGGACTAACCATGGCTTATGGTTATTTGTTCAGATATCGAACTGTTGAAGGCTGACTTGGGTGGGAGCGTCCATTCAAGTGCTGCACGGTCTATTGCTTATTGAGAGAAAGCTTAGTCCGTGACACGTGGTATCAGAGCACGGTTGAGAAGTGCTAGAAAATGGAGGAGATGGCCACAAGTGGTGGACCCAATTATCAACAGAGAATTGAGGAACTTGAGGCCGCGGTGGCCGCAATGAAAACTCACATGGTGACTAAAGATCGAGTGAGGGAGATCGAGACAACCCAGCGGGAGTTGTCCGATACTCTCCACAACGTGAGCGAGGAGGCTAGAGATGCCTTGAATATTCTCCAAAAGGAGTTTGAGGAGCTCAGAGCACAGGTGAGCATTTACAAATGGCTGTGGCCAGATCGGGTTCGAGCTCGACGAAAGGGGAAAAAGGTCCAAGCTGCCGGAGCCTCGATGCTATGAGGGGGCAAGGGATGCTAAGGAGCTTGAAAATTTCTTGTTTGATATGGAGCAGTACTTTCGAGCTGTACACACGGATTCAGAGGAAGACAAGGTAGCAATGGCGTCGATGTACCTCACAGGGGATGCCAAGCTATGGTGGCGCTCCAAGTTTGTCAATGACGAATGTCCGATTAAGACTTGGACGGACCTGAAACAAGAACTGAAAAACAGTTTTTCCTGAGAATGTGGAGTATATGGCTCGAAGGAGACTTCGAGAATTGGTGCAAACAGGAACAGTGCGAGAGTTTGTAAGGAGCTTTTCTACCCTGATGTTGGATATTCGAGACATGTCCGAAAAGGACAAGATGTTTTATTTTCTTGAGGGCCTCAAGCCTTGGGCCAGGACAGAACTACAAAGACAAAAAGTGCAAGACGTGGCCACGGCCATGGCTGCAGCTGAACGTCTCCACGATTATAATGATGGCTCCTCAAAATGGAAAAATCCTCCATCAGCTGGCAGTAGCTTCAACTTTGGGAGTGGGGGAAAGATGACTAGGTTGGACCGGCCCTTTAGTGGGGAATCAGACAGGAGGTCTTTGGTCGAGATAGCACCTAACCCAAGACAAGCAACGCAGTGACTTTCAAGCCTAAGCAACCGCTAGCTTGCTTTCTTTGCAATGGGCCGCATCGGGTGGCCGAATGCCCACACAGAGGAGCCCTTAATGCCTTAAGAGCCTCGTCTCAAGAGTCCGCAAAAGCGCCAGAGAGCGTTGAAGAGGAGCCAGCCAGGATGGGTTCAATAAGGTTCCTCAATGCCCTCCACACCCAACTGAACACAATAAAGAAAGAGCAGGGTAGAGGCCTGATGTATGTGAACTTAATGATCAATGAGAAGGCCACCAAGGCCATGGTAGATACGGGTGCAACCGATACTTTCATCACACCAGAAAAAGCAAAAAGGTGTGGTCTCCAGGTTAGCAAAGACTGTGGACGAATGAAGACGGTCAATTCGCTAGCCTTTGCGATTAGCGGAAGCTCCAAGAGTGTGACAACCAAATTCTCCAAAATATGAAGCTACTGCTAGCTGATGCAGAACTTCAATTTTGAGGAGCCATATATCATAATAATGTAAGACTCACGTTCAGCTGCAACCATGGACGTGAAACACGTCTTTGTCAATTCACTTTTTGCTTTTATGTATTTGTACTGATGCCGTACTAAGTTCTTGAGCCTCTCAAGAAAATCAATAGGAGTTTTGTGGATGGTTCGAACAGGTTCTCGAATATCAACACTCAGGGTAGATTTTGTACTTTGAAAAAACTTGCTCGAAATTCCTGTTTGCTCCAAGTAATCTTGAGCTTCTCCATTCGAGCCATATCTCCACATACATCTCAGGAAAAATATTGGCCGAGATTTTTCAGTTCTTGTTTGCAAGGTTCTGTCATGCAAGTCAAAAATCGGTAACATTCTTCCAACATTCTCATAATTACTGATTAGCTTTGAGCTATAATTCTGCACAATTAGCTTGGCATCCCCTGTGAGGTACATCGACCCATTGCTCTACTTGTCTTCCTCTGAATCCGTGTGTACAGCTCGAAAGTACTGCTCCATGTCAAAACAGAAAATTTCAAACTCCTTAGGCATCCCTTGCCCCCTCATTAGCAATCGAGGCTCCGGGCAGCTTGGGCCTTTTTCCCCTTTCCGTCGAGCTTCGAACCCGATCTGGCCACAGCCATTTGAAAAATGCCTCACCTGTGGCTCTGAGCTCCTCAAACTCCTTTTGGAGAATATTCAGGCATCTCTAGCCTCCTCGCTTCGACGCTGGTTGTGGAGAGTATCGACAACTCCCGCTGGGTTTGTCTCGAATCTCCCTCACTACGATCTTTAGTCACCGATGTGAAGTTTTCAATTGCGGCCACTGCGGCGCTCAAGTTTCCTTCAATTCTCTGTTGATAATTGGGTCCACCACTTGTGGCCACTCCTCCATTTTCTAGCACTTCATCAACCGTGCTCTGTACACGTAGTCACGGACTAAGTTTCTCTCAATAAGCAATAGACCGTGCAGCACTTGAATGGACGCTCCCACCCAAGTCAGCCTTCAACAGTTCGATATCTGAACAAATAACCATAAGCCATGGTTAGTCCCAAGCATTCACAATAAGACACATTATATCGAGATCAATCTCAAGTATACACAAGAAGTCACATTCACATCGAAAAAAAGAAAAACACATCGAGGCAACATTCGGGACATTCAATCGGGGTGAATTTTATTATAATCGATAATCATACATCGGCACTTCCCACCATCACCAGGGCCAGGGGCAGCCCTTGGTGGATGGCCTAGGCCCGTATAGCAACCTGTGAGACAGCCCAACAGTACGCTGCCGGCTCACCCCTAAAGAGCTTTAGAGATTTTAGAGCTATGCTACTACTAACCATTACAATGTTTGAAATGGGGATACTTTTCCTAGCACAAGAGATCTACCCAGCCATGGCCCTATACATAGGTGGCTCATGACAACCTAAGCCCCCGGTCATGGCCCTATACAAGGTTGGCTCATGACACTTAGCCTGTGTGGTTGTGGCTTAACGGTAATTTCCAACTTTTTTCTTTTCTTGCCCCCTTGAGTAGTTTGTCACTCCCTCATTGGTTGCTTAATTTTTGATACAGACACTGCCCGTCGACCTAACTCAATTGCCAATTCTTGAGAAACTATACCTTGATTACAACAAGCTATCAGTGTTACCACCTGAGCTTGGCGAAGTAAAAACTCTAAAAGTGCTTAGGGTTGACTACAACATGCTTGTTTCAGTTCCTGGTAAGCATGATCTTGTTTTTACGTCTAAACTATGATTCTGAGAGTTGCATTAGCATACCAAGTTCATAACTGGCCATACAAGGAGAGAAAAATGTGATCACTTGGTTTTTGAAGGTCTAGGTCATTGATGTTCCCTCTCACTTGTCTATTTACCAATTTTTTGTTGGTAATTTATGTGCAGTGGAGCTGAGGCAGTGTGTTGGGCTGTTGGAATTATCATTAGAGCATAACAAACTTGTTCGGCCACTTCTTGACTTCAGGTCACTTTATTGACTATCAACTTCTTTCTTTAGGCCTGTGAATAGCTTTCTCTGGTCTAATGCTTTTCTCAGTTGGATGGCAGGGCTATGGCTGAGTTACAAATTCTTAGGTTATTTGGTAATCCACTCGAATTCCTTCCTGAGATCTTGCCTTTATGCAAGCTACGGCATTTGTCCTTTCAAATATCAGAATTGTAGCTGATGAAAATTTAAGATCAGTGACTGTGCAAATAGAGGTATAGGTAACAAATATTAGATGTTTGTATGCTCATGCCTTTACATCAGCATAGATAAATCTATGAATAAAACTATTTTTCTTGTTGTGTTACAGATGGAGAATAGTTCTTATTTTGGTGCATCTAGACACAAGCTGAGTGCCTTTTTCTCTCTCATATTCCGTTTTTCCTCTTGCCATCACCCTTTGCTAGCCTCTGCACTGGCCAAGATAATAATGCAAGACCAGGGGAACCGTGTAGTTGTTGGTAAAGATGAAAATGCAATGTGGCAGCTTATAAGCATGATAAGTAGTGATAACCGCCATGTGGTATGCTGGATATACTTTCCTTTTATGAGTGACATCAGACATGTCTTTTCTTTCCTCTCCTTTTTGTGCACTGTCTTTATAGGTCTGACTTGTGTCAGGTTGAACAAGCCTGTTCTGCTTTATCAACTCTCGCTGGAGATGTTTCAGTGGCCATGCAGTTAATAAAATGTGACATTATGCAACCCATTGAAACTGTTTTGAAGTCTCCTGCCCCAGAAGAACTGGTTTCTGTGCTGCAAGTTGTGGTGACATTGGCCTTTGGATCTGATTCTGTAGCTCAGAAGATGCTAACCAAGGATGTTTTGAGATCGTTAAAAATATTGTGTGCCCATAAAAACCCAGAGGTAACATTCTGATTTTTATTGATTTTCTTATATTGAACAGTTATGTATAATTAGCCCTTTATATTTAATCAGGTGAAAAGGTTTGCTTTGTTAGCTGTTGGAAATTTGGCCTTCTGTCTGGAGAATCGCCACATTCTTCTCACCTCTGAAGCTTGAGGGAACTTCTCATACGCCTGACTGTTACAGCTGAACCACGTGTGAATAAAGCTGCAGCTCGTGCTTTGGCAATTCTGGGTATATTTCTTGGATTTGATTTTTAACTTTCTTTGAGAATCTTTAGATCATAGAGTCATCTGATTATGTTTTTTTTAGGAGAGAATGAAAACTTGCGACGTGCTATTAGAGGGAGACAGATACCAAAACAAGGCCTACGCATACTCTCAATGGATGGAGGTGGCATGAAAGGTCTTGCAACTGTGCAGATCCTTAAACAAATCGAGAAGGGAACTGGAAAGCGAATACATGAGCTATTTGACCTTGTATGTGGGACATCAACAGGTGGCATGCTTGCCATTGCCCTTGGTATTAAGTTGATGACCTTGGACCAATGTGAAGAAATATACAAAAATCTTGGTGGGTATGCTGCTTAAAGAATCATTGTTCAGCATCACTTTATTTATGGTTGTAGTTCACTTTGTTAAGTCTGTTCTCCTTTATTGGCTTTGTAGGAAAACTTGTTTTTGCTGAACCCGTGCCAAAGGATAATGAAGCTGCAACTTGGAGAGAAAAGTTGGATCAGCTTTACAAAAGTTCATCACAGAGTTTCAGAGTCGTTGTACATGGATCTAAAGTATGATTTTCTCTTTTTTATGTTTACGAATTTGTGCTTCTTCTTCAGTACTGCTAATCACTAGAGTTCGTTTCATGTTTTCCTTGAAAATGTACGTGTATGTACGCATGGAGAGGCATGAAAAACCATGTGAAACTATATCTGAACAAATGAGGATTTTTTGTGTTCCTAGTTCCTACAAGATATTTTCAGAGTTTTTAAAGGGTTTACTGTAATTTACTTTAAGGGGTGCTCACTATGTATATTGCCTTTAATCAATAAAACATGGTAATCACATCTCTGCAATTATTATTATAATTATTTTGAGTGGTATTTTGGTATGGTAAAATCAATTATTCAAATGTTATAGTATTGCAGCACAGTGCAGATCAGTTTGAGAGGCTGCTAAAGGAAATGTGTGCTGATGAGGATGGTGACCTACTAATTGAGTCTGCCGTGAAAAGCATTCCAAAAGTTTTTATTGTGTCAACTTTAGTGAGTGTTATGCCCGCTCAGCCTTTTGTATTCCGCAATTATCAGGTTTGAGGTCTCAAATTCCTTTTTCTATCATATAATATGAACTCTAATTGGGTTCAAGTATTATGCTGCTCATATAGATATATGTAGACTATTTTATTATCCATTATGGTAATGTCTTGGAAGCTGTATAAGTTTGTTTGTACGTTTATATTTTTCTTAATGTGCGGTACCCTGTGGGAACACCTGAGGTGCCTCTTGCGATATCAGAAAGTTCAGGAATCACCATTCTAGGATCTACAACTACAGGTGCTCAAGTTGGCTACAAACGAAGTGCTTTTATTGGAAGTTGTAAATACCATGTATGGCAAGCTATAAGGGCATCTTCTGCTGCCCCATATTATCTTGATGACTTCTCTGATGGTATTTTCTTCTTCTTGCTTAAGTTAACTATTTTTGTAAGAATGCCTAAGCTTTTTAACCTTTATTTTAATTTATTTTACCTTTTTTATAGATGTGTACCGCTGGCAAGATGGTGCTATAGTGGCAAACAATCCGACAATCTTTTCCATAAGAGAAGCGCAACTTTTGTGGCCTGATGCAAAAATTGACTGTTTAGTTTCAATTGGTTGTGGCTCTGTGCCTACAAAGGTAACTGCTTTGTTTTTGTATTTTTGCCATCTAAGCGATTTGTCATGAGTTCTGGCTTTAAGCTCCTATAAACCTTTTCCTATTATCATGGCCATTTGAAGTGCAAATCACCATTTTATGAGTATATTCATGCAGAATAACAGGAAATTGCGTAGGTGCTTTTAATGAATTCCAAGTTTAATAAGTTTCTAAATGGTTCTGATATTTTAACTAATTAGAGGATAAAAAATCTAGATTTTAATTTTCTATTTACCTTTTCATTGCTGGCATGGATTTATGAGCATCACCTCTGTTTTAGGCACGGAAAGGTGGTTGGCGCTATCTAGATACTGGGCAAGTGCTGATTGAGAGTGCATGCTCTGTGGACCGAGTCGAGGAAGCTTTGAGTACATTGTTACCTATGCTCCCTGAGATCCAATACTTTCAGTTTAATCCAGGTATAAGTTCTTGGTTCCTTATGGCCTTCACAGATGAAGGTTGGAGGTCTATTTTAACTGTGGCAGATGTCTCCATAACTAGCTTTCATCCAACCATTTTTTAATTTGATCTTGGAATTTATCCTTGTGCAATAGCTCTTTAGCGAAATAATTATGAACTCTTCATTTTTTATATGGTTGCCCTTGCAGTTGATGAACGTTGTGACATGGAGCTGGATGAGACTGATCCAACAGTTTGGCTGAAGCTGGAAGCTGCTGTAAAGGACTACATCCAAAAAAATTCGGAGTCCTTCAAGAATGCATGTGAAAGACTCCTTCTACCCTTTGCACATGATGAGAAGTGGACGGAGAATTTGAAATCTCTAACACTTTTCCAGGTCAAAGGCATCAAATGCAGGTATTAGACTTTGATTTTGATAGTATATGTTCTAAATTACTGGATGCTCTGCTGAATCTTTTGAAATTTTTTATCTTGGGCTATACTAGATGAGAATAACCCTTCATTAGGTTGGAGACGAAATGTACTACTTGTTGAAGCATTGCATAGTCCTGATTCGGGAAGAACTGTGCACCATGCTCGGGCACTTGAGTCATTTTGTGTACGAACTGGAATAAGATTATCCCGTTTGCATGACATATCTGGAATTTCAAAGGCATTGCCAACAACAACATTTCCAACACCATTTACCTCTCCACTGATCACTGGAAGTTTCCCCTCAAGCCCTCTGTTGTTCAGTCCGGATGTTGGCCTGCAGAGGCTTGGCCAAATTGACATGGTCCCACCTTTAAGCTTGGATGGATTACAATCTGGAAAGACAGCATCACCCCCAAAGTCTCCTGGACCCAGGCAGCTCTCTTTACCTGTACGGTCATTGCATGAGATGTTACAGAATCTACCACAAGTGGGCATTATACATTTGGCCCTTCAAAATGACTCAATTGGCTCAATATTAAGGTCTAAAAACCTTTCTATTTTATGGCATTACTTGTGAGTAGTTTATGCACCAGTCCTAACCTTCTAGCTGCTTCTTTTTTCTAGTTGGCAGAATGATGTGTTTGTCGTGGCTGAACCTGGAGAACTGGCTGATAAGTTCATACAAAGTGTCAAGGTTAGCATGTTGTCAGTGATGCGGAGCCAGCATCAGAAGGGTGCATCGCCATTTGCCAATATAACAACTATTGCCAATTTGGTTCACTGTAGACCATACTTCCAAGTTGGAAATATAGGGCATAGATATATTGGACGCCAAACCCAAGTGTGCATGCTTTTCTCATTTGCTTTCAAATGATTTCATTTATTGTTAGATTGATGTTATCAAAACTAATGAACTTCTGTTGCGATTTTCATGACATCTCCTAAAGGTTATGGAAGACGATCAAGAAATTGGGGCATACATGTTTCATTGTACAGTACCTTCTTTGCACATGACACCTGATGATGTTCGTTGGATGGTATGTATATAGCTCTCATTTGGCTATCTGATTTACCTGTTAAAGCACATGATACCTGATGATGTTCATTGGATGGATTTCGAATTTCCCTTTTTTTCACTCTGGTGAAGATTTACCTGGAGAATTTGTTGATTGTCAACCTCCATTCTCTACTTTATGTCTATTGATGTCCTGTGTCCTGTGTGCTGCTTGGCTTGTTAAGGCAATATTGCATTCTCTGGATTTGTGTAATTTTCCTTGGTTCTATTGCATAAACTTCTATAGATCAAGATGACCTCACCAGACATAAGATTAACTTGAGATAATTGCTTCTAATCATTGAATGAATAGTAATAGGTTACAAGGACGTGAGGATTATAGTTAGTTTTCAGCCAAATAGCATTTATTCTTGATGTTTTCCATGTTAACTTGGGGCCATTATGTCAGCATATTTAATGATCCCACTCCATTTCAATGGCACCAGAAGTCTTTTGTTTATATGTTTAATGTAATTTTACTCATGTTCTCTGTGGATCATGAATTATGTTATACTCAATGGAATCTTGTTTTAGTACTACTTGGCTGATACTTTGTCAAATATTGCTAGGTTGGAGCTTGGAGGGACCGAATCATTATCTGCACGGGAACTTATGGTTTCCCTGCAAATTTAATTAAGGCCTTTCTAGATTCTGGGGTCAACGCTGTTATATGCCCTACAGCCGAGCCCCAAGATGTGTCACTGACAACAGATGGTGGATCAGGAGAGTATAATGTTCTGGAAAATGGGAGGTTCGAGACTGGTGTGGAAGACGGAGAAGATGAAGAGGTTGAACCTATCAGTCCAGGTTTAGTGAGTGACTGGGAAGATAGTGACTCGGAGAAGAATGGGAACCACCATTCTACAGGTTTTTGGAATGAAGAAGACGAGGAACTATCAAGGTTTGTCTGTCAGTTGTATGACTTAGTATTTCGTGAAGGCTTAAGAGTGGATGTTGCCCTAAAAAGTGCTCTTGCCTCCCATCGGAAGCTGAGATACTCCTGTCATCTTCCCAATGTAAAGTAGTTTGTCAAATAAATCTCATACAACATTAAAAATAATAATAAGAAGAAGAAGAATAAGAAAAATAAAATGAAATAAGAGGTACCATTCAATTTTGAGGCTTATAAGAAAACATTTGTTGTCTATCATTCATTACATGAAACTTGAGTATGGTTATTAACATTTTTTAACTGGAAAGATGTATGGAAATTTAAATTTCTTCAAAGCAGTGCCTGCTGAAAATGGTCTTTTTCTGTTATGGAAAATCCTAATGTCAGGTGTGTTCTGTCTAATCTGTATCTTTTGATAAGCCCATTTCTATATCAGTATGAATTTCATTTCATACCGTTCAAGTGCTGGGTGTTCATGCATAGTCTGCATTGGTGAAATTGCCATCAGCCAGGTTCTCTAGCAAAGTTACTTTTCTTGGTAAGGCTGTCCTGAACTTCAATAACTTTCAGTTCCTGGGATCAGGCCCGTCTGCCCATGGTATGAGTGGTTGATGCCCTAGAGACGCTCTTTGTTCTTTATGTGAGACTTGTTTCATTGGCAAATTTTCAGTTGACCTTGCCTCTTTTACCCGTTGCCAAGGGAGTAAAACAAAACCTTATGGGCGAAGTGGAAAGCTTGACTGAATGAATACACATGAACCACAGAATAAACGTTGTTCAAGTTAAGAAACTGGTTGTCCTAAAATGTCGGATTCTGAGTAAAATGAGTCAGAATATTTGTGGAAAGAGACAGCATTACGAAAGAACGAAAAGACTTGGGCCAAAAATAATAATAATAAAAATAAAAGTTGTTTAAATTTTAAAATTATAACCAAGAAATGATTTCGGCCACTACCATGAATAAGTTTAATCAATTGAACCGGCACAGTGCTTTTTAAAAGTTGATTTTTGATTCAAACGATTGCGTTCTTCACTTTAAAAAGAAAACAAAAATGAACATTCCACCAAAGCGAAAGGAAGGAGAGAAATCAACGGCACTGGGACCCCATACTTAATAACCTGAAAAGCACTCAATTGGAGAAGCATTCCTTTTTCCTTTCCCTATCCAAGCCATGAGAAGAAAACAAGTTTAACCTAAAAAGGGTTGTAAGGAAACTAGCAAGAGGGACTTAAGACAGACTGACGGACAGACTTATTATGGTAGGTTCATCACAGTTAAAAGTTTTTTTTTTAGATCATTGTTCAGATCATAAAGTTTTATACAGCTTTAAAAAGTGCAGGTGGGGCAGACAACTTACGTGGCTGATGGCTTCAACGGTCAATGGGATAAACAGAAAACTATCCGGGAAACATGCATGCTTTCATTACAAACACAAGATGGATATGATGGTGTTATCCCTATCCTACGCGCCAATTATGCAGAAACTCATGCTGTCCACTTTGATAAAATGATTAGACTAAAATAGCATTATTAAGGTCAGAGAGATGCTCCGAAATCAAAGTAATCTTCCCATACAGACAAAAGAACCAGGGCCACCACTTTCTTTAGACACAAGCCTCCAACTCCACTTAAAATGCAGCATAAAGCCAGCTTCACAAACACTAAGTTTTTCCCTGAGAAAATGGCTGCAGCAGCTCCTATCGCAATAGGCACAAGGGGAACCGTAGGATCACTTCTCAAGAAGGAAATTGAGTACTTCACCAAGTTTGAGTTAGAGGGACGAGGGAGCTCCTGGAAACCTCATAGACAAATAGTGGAAATAGATTGCAGAAGTGATCATTCAAGGCCTAGTTTCTGGTTGCTGATTACTGGGTGGAAAAGGAAGAAGCGAAGAGGAGGCGGCGGATTCCTACCAAGTATGTGTTCTGCAACGGAAGTTGCAGATATGAATCAGCTAAACAGGATTCCTGGTTTCAATTACAGGATCCTTAAAAATGATGTCAACAACTTTCATGTTTAGCCCATCATGCTGAAGCCAGCCTCTGAGTTCTTGCCATTCTCAGTTGGAATTTAAGGAACTTACTTTGCCCACCCTTCAAGCCTAGGGCTTCAACAAATATTGTTAATTATCTGTTTTTCTCTGATACTCGTGAGCTACTCTATAATCTGATCAGAGCTAAGCATCAGAATCCTGTGATGAACTTTTGAATTTTAGCTTTTGCTTTTAAGAATTCGAACTTGGTTTGTGATTCCTGTCTCTTGATGCTTTTATCAAAGCTCTCTTCATAAACTCACAATCCACAGTTCTTTTTTTTTTTTTTTCCTTGGAGGAACATTCCTATTGAGCTGTCATCTGTGACATAGATAACTTGGAGGTTCTCCGCTGTACGGTTTCGTTATCTGTGGTGTACAATCCATGATTTGTATATGCTGATATACCAAATCTCGAAGGAAAAACTGTCTTAGTTCTGCTTGGTCTTGCTCTGATTTGTTGTTATGAAACCCTAGCCCTTTTTTGCATCTTTTCTTTTGCATTGTAAGTTCATTTGTCTTGTGTTTTGAAGGTCTATGCGATCTTCCATCACCTCTCTTACATCTTTTCAAACATAGGGCTATAATATATGGTGTATATTCGCTAAAAAATTTTATGGTTACCACGTGTCTTTCTTTTCTTTTTTTTTTACTGCCTCTCCTTATTTTTTTACCTGGTAGATATATACTCGAAAGAAATCATGGTTTTTCTACCAAAAATATCGCTATCAATAGAAATGATGTTTGCATACTCCAGTTGTCGCAAAAGCATCCCCCAACAAAATGGTTTAATTTATTGACAATAGTTTCGCTGGAGTCAATCCCGCATCATAAGTTATCACTAATTGGCTTCCAGAATCATATCAGAAATGGCTACGATTGCTACTCAAACAATTACACCCCTAATCAAATAGTTGACAGACTCACAATAATCTACACAACAACATGCTAGTGTGGTGTGAAGGTTCCATGCAATTTTTCCAAGCTTCAGGGTTGCTCACCTAGCTACGCTAGCTACAAGCCTAAGAGTCACGGTATCTTTTGGCAATTACTTCTTCCACGGACTTAACATGCAAGTTACTGTTTCTTTTGTAATTCTGCAGCAATTTTGTCATTGTCCTTTGGCCCGGCCAGAAACTCAAGGGCAGTTACAACATCACCAATCAATGGTCGGTTATCAGCTTCCTCCTGAAGGCACATGGCTGCAACTGCAAGAGCTTGATAAAGACCCTTTACAGGGTACTTCTCTTCAAGCAGGGGATCTGCCATCAGCATGAACTTCTGCCTGTCCTTAAGTAATGGCTCTGCCTGCAAGATGTGGACGAGAATGGATGATAAACTTAGTTTGACGAACTTAATTCAAATTTAAAAACCCAAAATCACGCAAAGGTTGCATTTATTTACAGTAACATCACGGCATAATGACAAGTAGCATAATTATCTGGGAAGACCAGAAATAAATGTCAAACAAAAGGCTTGGCCCCAGTAACGGTTGCCGATTTGCCAGGTTTAATCATAGTAATAAACTAATACTGACCAGAACTTGTATGTTTTGGTCATTATGGCATTTGTTTTTTCTTTTTGATAAACAGGAAAACAATGGAATGAAATGGACATTTGTTACTAAAAACAAGTGATTATGAACTCCATGAACATACCCAAGCAACAAGGTTCTGCTCTTCGGTCGGTCTTTCAATATCAATAGCTCTCCTCCCCGAGATTAGCTCCAGAAACACTACACCAAAACTGTAAACATCAGATTTTGTAGTCAGCTGCCCTGTCATTGCATACTCCGGAGCACAATAACCATAGGTCCCCATGACCCTTGTTGATACGTGGTCCTTCCCTCCAGTAGGGCCTAACTTTGCAAGTCCAAAATCAGAGAGCTTGGGATTGAAGTTCGCATCTAGTAATATGTTTGATGCTTTAAAGTCACGATAAATTATTGGCGGGTCAGCAAAGTCATGTAGGTATTCTAGCCCTTTGGCTGCTCCTTCAGCTATTTTCATCCTAGTGGTCCAATCCAATGGCTCCTGACCTGGAATTAAATCTGAATAAACAGATAATATAATCAGAAGCCACATAATTATGAATCAGATAAGAAGAATAGTCTTTCTCAAATCCAACTCCCATAATTTCCACAATATTCAGTGAAAATGTTAAGTCCAAAAATTCCATCAGTAGGCTTTCTGGTTCACACAATCAATTGGCAAAAACGAATTAGTAATATAAATGAGTACTAAATAAGTGAAAATGTATCTTTTAACATACCAAGAAGATGATTTTCCAAAGATCCATTTGGCATGTATTCATAAACTAAAATTCTTTGATCCCCATCAGCACAATAGCCAATCAGATTCACAAGGTTCGGATGGTGAACCAAACTTAACATCAGAACCTCCGAGAAGAATTCTCTACTTCCTTGCATTCCATTCCTGTCAAGTTGCTTCACGGCTACAATCTAGAAAAGAGTTAAAACCGAGCATAAACTTAGAGTAGGACATGCATGAAATGTCGTCCTCATCAGAAAAACAGTTCAGAGAAAAAGAGATATACTTTATCAATGCTCTCTATGTATCCTTTATAGACCCTGCCAAATCCACCTTCGCCTATCAGACAATCGGGATTGAAGTTGTCTGTAGCAACCACTAGTTCTCGGAATGTGAAAATACGAGCTGAAAATTTTGCATTTCCAATTTTTTGAATTTCTTCAGCTATTTTCTGCTTGCTGTTACCTGCACATTGGTTAACATGGCTATAAAAAAGTTTCCAGATTGGGAACATGAGCACAAATATGGTTTCTCATTTGCCTATTTCTGGAAGGCTTTTTGCTTGAACAACCACTAGAAGATTATTTACGTCAAATAAACAAGACTTCTATTGGAGAACTTTCCAAAAAAATGAAACTTGAAAATGAACATCATCTATTAATACCTGTTTTGTTTGATAAATTATTCATGAAAGACCTCAATAATTTCCCATTGCTGTTATTGCCGCCAATGGCATTGTTTCTCTCCTTAAAGGAAGAAATGCGTTGCTGTACCTCCACCCTACAACAAGAGAAGCAGCTCATCTCCTCTATCCCTTGGCCACTCTTCTCCAATGAAAGGATTCTATGAAAGATGAACAAAAGGGACAAAAGAAATGAAGGGTTACAAGCACAGAAGAAACCGAAAACCCTTGTTCATATAAAGCAATGGTTAAGTCTGCTTTAACTCCATTTATCAGCTTGGTGGTCAGTATATCAGTTTCAGTTTGCTAAACATAGTTGTCGTCATTCAAGCAATAGATAAAGATCAAAGGAGAAAACTGAAGAAACAAACAAAAAAACAAAAGGAAGAGTTAAATTGTTTGAATAGTTTGGTAGAACAGAACAGACGCGTACACTTTAATTCCATTTAACAAAATATGAAAAATTTTCCAACAACTTTCCATTCCATAATTTGATTTTGGTATTCAATAAAGAGGAAGATGATGATACCCAACCTAACTGTTTATTATAAATATAAGATCAAATATCAAAACTTACTAATAATATATATATATATATGCCTACTATTCTCAATTATGTAAAATACTTAATTTAATTTATTTTTCTTCCTCTTTTGAAGAAAAAAATTGTCATTTTTCCTCCTTGGTAGAGTTTAGTATATAAGATTTGATTTCTTTTTATCATATTGCTTTTCTTTTTTCTTTTTATGTCTCGAAATTATTTTTTTAATAGTTAAATATTTTATTTTTTATATTTCAATGTTATTTTTTATTTTTTGATATTAAAAATTATGAAAATGAAATTTATAAAAAATAAAAAATTAATATTATGTTACTAAAATCAAAATTTTTGTTAAACTTTGTAAAAATCAATAAAATTAACAATTTGAAGAATAAATTTTTCATATGCATATAAAATATACAATACTATTATTTAAATTTAAATTGTTGTCAAATGATTCAATTTGATTTGACCATACATTCTTTAATATGAACCTATAATTGAGGTTTAAAATTCATTATTCTATTTTTTTAGAAAAGAAAATAACCATGTTCCAAAAAAAATAAATAGATTTCCCTTTTGCACTCGTATGTCATTTTTTTTTTTTTCATTCTGGTTAGAATTGGGGGAAAACTTACACGTGGCAAATTTGGCCCTTGCAAATCGTCGTCATCAAATCGTCACCTAAACCCTCGCAAAACCTAGGAATATCCAAACAACAAAGAAACAGTGTTTGTCTGTCCTGTCTTTCTGTTGGAGAAAAAGCAATGCTTTATCGATGGGGATTTACAGATCTCTGCAAACCCTAATCACGAAAAGCCCTAAAAAAGCACAACTTTTTTTACCGCAGCATCAACGAATTCAACGACTTGTATAATTCCACCTCTATCCTCTCCTCTCTTTCACAGTCGAGTCTTACCTTTTTCTCCATCTCTTTCTAAATGGATCGCTCCTTTCAATGGCCCTCTCTTCCCGTCTTTTCCTCCCTGGAAACTCTCTCAATCTGCCACTCCGCTTTGGGCAAATGTCGCCGTTTTACGAAAAGTCCAAGCTTTAAATCTTGACTTGAGTAGAGGCGGCGGAGCCAAGTTTCCAGTCAAGTTACGATTCGGGTCGGTCCTATCAGACCCGAGAGTCTCGGATCGGGTGGAAACCTACGGGGAATGGAATAATGAGAGGGACGATGTGGTGGAGAGTTTCGTGAATTTGCCGAATTTAATTTCAATGAGTCGATTGGTTTCTGGTCCTTTGCTTGGATGGTAAGTTTTAAATCATTTCTGTTTTTGTTTTTGGATAATTGATTTTTGCAGTAACTAAGTAATGAGTTAAATGTAGGATGATTGTAAATGAAATGTTTGGTTTTGCATTTGTGGGATTGGCTGTCTCTGGTGCAACTGATTGGGTATGGATTCTCTGAGACTTTTTTAATATTAATGGAGACATGTAAAAGTTTTGTATAAATCATGGGGATTTAAGTTCCTTTTTATCATTTCTGTTTGATTTTCTAGTTGGATGGATATATAGCTAGAAAAATTAGCATTAATTCGGTCGTGGGTTCTTATCTTGATCCTCTTGCCGACAAGGTAAAATGATTAATGCCACAAACTTCTTTGTAGGTTTTTGTGACTTGCTTCTGAGTTTCATTTGACAAGTAGTTTATTTTTGGTCTTCTTGGTATCTAGGTTCTCATTGGATGTGTTGCTTTATCAATGGTGCATAACCATCTTTTGCACCGTAAGTAATGTGCATTTGTTTGGATCTTCTGCAATTCTCTGGTTAGTAATGTTAGTTGAGATACTGAGTACATAACATGTTTTAATGAATATTGTCTCTCTTTCGTTGGATCCACAAACAAGTGTGCCGTCATGCAAATACACATGAAATATCCACATGTCAAATCCTGATATTATCTTAGTCAGACAGAGTTTAAGAAGTGTGGTAACTGATCACTTCTGTGCAATGAGGATAATTTGGAATTATCATACTGGATGACCATAGTTACAGCTTATATGAGCAGTTTTGCAAGTCATTGCCTCAGAATCCTTCATCTTGATATCTATTCCACCTACTCTTAACACAAGGAATTGCGGCTGTTGTATAACAGAAATTATCTGTGTATGTTTTTTTTTATACTTACATTTTACACATATAGAGGTACTATGTTATCTGTAAATGTTTGATGACATCTATCTTATTAGTCTTCTTTGCTGTAAAGCTGGACTTGTAGGGCTTGTTGTGTTGCGAGATGTTGCCCTTGTTAGTGGTGCAGTGTACCAAAGAGCTAGTAGCTTGTGTTGGCAGGTGAAGTTTGCTTAACTTGTGCTTTATTAGCACATGTGCTTTATTAGCACATGTTTTTGTTCCAATTGTGTTATGACTTGGCAAACTTTGGCAATCATTTATCTAGTCTTGGCTCTTATTGTTGGATTTTTTAATTCAGTGGAAAAGTTGGCTAGATTTCTTCAATCTTGAAGGGACTAGGCCACAGAAGGTTGAGCCTCTCTTTATAAGCAAGGTAAGTATTATCCTTTCTTTTCCTAATTGGAATGGGAATAGACGGTTAGCCATGGAGTCTGCATTTCTTTAACATTTTAACCAGTACAAGTGGACAGTGATAACAAGGAGCAGAAAATGGTGGCAATAAATGGAAAAAAACCATATAGTGAACGCAAAAAACCTGAATCCTGCAGCTTTGGAAAACAGCTTAACGCCTTTATATCTGAAAAGACTTAAAATTTTTGCAGGTTAACACAGTTTTCCAGCTGATTTTAGTTGCCTCGGCTCTCCTTCAACCAGAGTTTGGAACGCCAGAAACTCAATCATGTATCACATACTTAAGGCGAACTACTCTTTGCTTATCAAACCATACTCAAATGGATTATAAGAAACGAAAACCTATTTTTCTTAACATATCAACAGTTGGCTAGTGGCTGCAACAACAGTGGGTTCTACCATTGCGTATGGAGCACAACACATAAGAAAGAGACATGGATCGATCACAAGGGAGTCATAGTTTGAACTTTTAGTGCAACTCTGAGACAATTGATAAGTTCCTTTGACTCTGTCAGCGCATGATCGAACATTTAGAGCCCTGGCCCCTAGGAGGAAAGGAATAGTTCATGGAGTACAAACTGGATGGAGATTCAAAGGATCTTACTGGCCTCTGGTAAATGGCAAACGTGCTATTTAGCATAGAGTAACTTAAAACTATCACTTGTAAAATCTTGTTATAGATGTTTAACCTTTGTTTTCGGAAATTATATTGATTTCTGCTATGTCTCAGTCTCGCAATCCATTCGTTTTCCTTTTCTCTTCACTTGAGCAACACTTACTGGTACGAGTGATTCAAACTGAACCCATCACTTTTGGTTTGAACGTGAATAAGCTTCCGTCTAAACAGGACATCTCGAAGGTCAAATCTAACATTAAGGTTCATATTCGGCAGAGATATAGCTTTTATAAATCACCTAATGGGATAAACACAATTCACGTGAGAGGATATGAGATTTCCCCACAGGCAAATATTTCAGTTAGGACCATCCAAATCATTTGCCAAGCTGAGATTCAAGCAACATGCACAAATTAATGTGGTATATCGAAATATATACGCAAAGGGGAAGGAATTAAGAATTCATCTGATACCTTTGCGGTGAAACAGATAGAGCAATAAACCAGCTTTCTAATAAAAACTCTCAATCAGGGGAAACTTTTTAAGTTTGGAAGAGAAAATCTTGAAGCTGATCCAAGATAAGTATCAATATGCACCACATAAGTATCAGTATCCAAAAATCTTGGAACATGTCACTGTAGTAATTTCACAGATACACCCAATGACACATACAATGTAGTAACTTATGAGTCATGACAAAAAGTTCCATAGCCCACAGCATTCAATCAAGATTTGTCTCGATCAACCTTACGTCCATAATGCAAGAAGTTGTCATGGAATATCCAATAAACTGAACATGTTGCATCCCCCTACCCCAAGGAAAAAGAAGAACTTGACTTCAATCAATGTCAAGTTAAATAATTCAATAAATCCAGCGCTGGAGCCAACCCAGCTTCAATTCCATTGTCAACATCAACTTGTTAAACTAAGGCCATTTTTTGGAGGTAGCTTAGGGTTTTGGGATTTTTCACTTTTCTAGTTAGAAATCAGTGTCGATTGGAGACTAATGAGAAAGGAGGATTCTTTTTCTGGGTCAAAACACCCCAAAAAAAAAGGAGGATCCGGATCGAACCGAGAATTTGAACCCGACGTGAATCGAACACGCAACCTTCTGATCTGGAGTCAGACGCGCTACCATTGCGCCACGGATCCGATTTGGCTTGTGTAGTCTTATAAAGAAATTTATAGTAAGTTTCTTTCATAGAAGAACATTAATATTAAGTACCTAAATGCCAAAACTTAAACAACGAAAAGGACTAATTTAATTTTTCTTCCAAAGTTGAATTTATTAAAATGTTTTGTGCATATTAAACTACATTCTATTAGCTAAATTATAAAAATATACCTAAATACACAGTCAAAAAATGTCAAAACCATACCGTCTATTCAAATATAGTAAGCTTTTGCTTTATGTAAGGATCTAGTACTAACTAAGAGTAAGAAAAAAAAATAACAAAAATCGACCCAATAAGTATGAGATTCATGACAAAGTCAAAAACAAAACACCCCACCCCGGGAGAGTAGCTCATGTAGACTCAGAGAACCATCATCTGGACGTCCCTTGTCTTGTCAAGAATGCAACTTATAAATCACTTATCTTGATTCTTGACTGAGTATATCACCTATAGACAGAAATGCATTACCCTTGACCATAGTCAAAAGCCTTCAAACAAGCAGTTGGAGGATAAGTAAGATATCTCCATTTTCCGCATTCTAAGCTTATTTTTCAACGTTTCTCACATATAATATTGGTAATAGATAAATCGTCTTAGAATTTAGCAATATTAATATTCCAAAATTAAAGAAAAAAAAAAGGTCCTTTTCCAATATTGAATGTTTGCTCTTTTGCAGTGAATTATTTGGAACAGTTGCATTGATGAGAAGAAAGCGGATAAGATCATTCATTTTCGCATGTGATGTGAAAGCCAAGGTAGTGCTTACTTAATTGACGTGTAATTATAGTAACCAACTAGCTATGTTTAGACGGAAACTCGGTTGCCAAAGGCTGCGGGTTTCAACAATCCAAATCGACATGCTGTAAGAATTAGATCATATAATTTATATTATTATGTCATATAAAACATTATTTTATATTATATTTTATATAAAAATTATATATCTGGTATAATATGAAAATATAAGATATATTTTTTTGATTTTATTTTATTTATTTATTATTTAAAAAAAATTTTAAATTATATTATTTTTATATTTTTTATTCGTATATATTTAAAATTATAAAATCTAATAAGAATTGAGGATTAACATCAATTATTTAATGTGCATGCCAGCTAAACCCACTTAAACACCTTTGAAAAAAAATAATAATAAACCAATTTTAGACAATATATATATATATATATATGAACAATTTTTGGTCTTTGGGTTGCATGAAAATTGACACAATTATACTTGTTATGGTCAATCCAAATCGGGGTTTATTTTTTAATTTAAAAAATAAATAATTCAAATTAAAAAAAAGTTTAAACTATATGTTATGTTGAATCAAATATTTAGATATTATATGTAAATTATTTTATAAAATTGCATCTTAAGCAAATTGTATTTTTCAACATTTATTTTTATTGATTAATTTTATACAAGGATAATTGTATATTTTTTTAATAAATTATGTTTCATTTTTAAAAAAAATACTAAATTGTTACAGTGCATTCATACCATACAATCTTAGTTTATTGTTTGTATAATCGAATCATATTCTCATTATCGCTTTATTTATATTTCAAACATCATATTATTTTTTATTGATTGAGTCAACATCAACTAAATACAATCTATATAATCAAACTTTAACAATCTTCATAATTCGATCACACTTTTTTTTCGTTTCCTTTTCATTTTTAAATAAGTTCTAATTCGATCATTTTCCATATGTGACATATGCGAATATTTTAAGCAATGCACAATTCCATTAATATCAATGCCTTCGTCTTTGTCACTCTCTATTTTAATTATTTAGTCTACTCACCAACTCCTTTGTCATTTTTGCATAATCGCAATACATTTTTTCACACCATTTTTGCATAATTTATTTAGTGCCAACGTCATTACCTTTTCTTTTAAAGAATTTATAATAGTTTAATACTCAAATTTTAATTACTCATCTTATTTCACTTTGGCATTATTTAACATACCTATAGACAAATTACCATATAGTTAATACATATAAAATAACACTGAATACACTTTTAGAAAAAATTACCGAATCCACTGGTAATTTTTTTATATAATTTGTTTGATTGGTATTTAGTAGGTAGTAAAAGAAGATAAAATCAAAAAGTAAAAAAAGTGAATTAATCATTATGGTTCATATGAGACAACATTATTAGTATTTAAAAATGAGGATAAATTCAATCATAATGAGGCTTTGTTTGCATTAATTAATAATTTGAATTGGAAATGGAAATGGAGGCAAAAACAATTAAACATGAGAGGAATGAAAAAAATCAAAAGAAATACCGCCAAAACCGGCCATGGCCCATGCTATGTGTTGTCGGCAGTGAAGAAACTTCGCGTCACAAGCTGTTAAAGTAGTACTCCCTCCTGGGGTTGTGGGACCCCAGGAATCTTCTACAGCATATCTTCATCTGCGACACGTGATCCTCCAATTCACTGACATCAGCCCCGTTTTTCAAAATATAAATATGCATATTTTAATTCTTCATTGTTATCTTGTCTTATTATTATTATTTTTCCGTATCATTAAAAAAAACCTCTCAATTTAATTTTTCAGGCCAAAAAATCTATATTTTGTTCAGAAGCATTTTTAATAGAAAAGGAAGGCTAGGAATTAGAGTTACAATCAATCGAGACGATGTAGTGAAAAATTTTAATTTAATTTAAAATTTAATTCGAATTTGATTAAATTTTAAATGTTATTTTAAATAAAAATTAAATTATTTAAATTTATTTGTCAAATAAAAATAAAAATAAAAATAATTTTAATTTTTATGTTTGATTTTAAATTTAATAATTTATATTCTAACTTAAACTTATATATAAAATAAAATAAAAAAAATTTGATTAAACATATAAAATATTAAAACAAATTTAAAAAAATTTAAATTTTATTCGTTTGATAAATTATATTACTTAACTCAAATAATATTTAAATTTAATATAAATTTTATTCGAATTCAAATAATTTAAATATATCTTTTACATCTCTAAAACAATACATTATTTTACAATTTATGACAACAACCAAATCAAACATTACTTATCTAAATTTATGACACAGCACAGCGGAAAAATAGAGAAATAAAAGAAGTTTTTAATAAAATTAAACTGGAAAAAAACAAAAACCAGTTTGCAAATTGCAACTACCACGATCGTTGATGAACTCGTAGAAGCTTAGGTGAGAGTTGATAAGAGAGGGATCCAAAAAGAACAGCAAATGGCTTCATTACTTCATTACTGACATTAGTTGCTAACTCCATCCCTTTGGACCGTCGACTGGTAGATAGATTTAAGCTAAAAAAAAATCCTCAAAATTTCTCTCTCTCACAGTTGTATTCTATCGTGTCTCTGTTTCTCAGATTTTCTTTTCCCTCTCTGCTCTTTTGTTGTTTTCTGTTTGGTTGAGGGGATTTTGACTTTTGCGGGAAAGCTCGGGGAAATAAGAGAAATGGTCAGAATGACGAAAATGCCACTGAACTTAACGCCTATGGAGCTTCCAGCTCTGGTGTCCGATTGGTGGGACGAGATCAATGATTCGACTCAGTGGCAGGATGGAATCTTCTATACTCTTTGCGCCGCTTATGCTCTAGTCTCCTCCGTTGCTCTGGTCATCTTTCTTTTCCCTCTTTTCAGTTTTCAAGTTCTCATGCGTTTTTATTTGATTCACTGAACGGTTCCATTTTTTTTTGGCTCGGATCAGTGCTGAGTAGAAGATTTGTTTCAAGTGTTAATTATTATTTTTATTTTTTTTCATTTTAGTACTTTTCGTATTTTTTGATTCAAACTGATTGAGTTTGTTTAGATGCTGACATTTTTTATTTAATTAAATGATTGGAGTAAACATCTGATGTGGAATTAAAGCTTTTAAATGTTAATGATTTCAATTTCGAGAAATTTCTTCAGGGGATTAGGATATTAGATTAGTTTGTATGTGATAGTTGGTGTTTGTAATGTGCAGATACAATTAATAAGGATTGAATTGAGAGTGCCCGAATATGGTTGGACGACGCAGAAGGTTTTCCATCTTATGAACTTCATTGTTAATGGAGGTGATTCTCAAAGTTCTAAAATCACATGAAGTGTTTTTTATTACATTGTTATTGGAATTCTGGACATAAGTTTGATCATTTGATTGTGAATTTTCTTGTTGTTGCAGTGCGTGCTATTGTGTTTGGATTGCACAAACAAGTATTTGTATTGTATCCCAAGGTTAGTTTGCTATGGATTCGAGAGATATTGGCTCATATAGTAAAGTTATTATTGCCTGACACAGCTTGCATTGGCTTTCAAATGCAATAAGATTACATTTTATATTTGGTCATGATAACTAAATTCCATTCACTCTTTCTGCTCCACAATCTAGGTCTAGATTGTTTGAGTTTCTCAGACAAATTAAGGCTTCTTGGGTAGCATAAGGAAAATAAAGGAGAAGATTTAAATTTGATGTACTATTAGTGTATAGACTCTATATATTATCAGTGAATTGGATAATGCTACCTGATTAATGAGGTCAATTAGATGATGCCACCTCATTAATAAGTAAGTTTTGAGAGAAAAATCGAGTATGTAACTAACAAGTTGTTATGATTCAATAGACACAAGGCTTTTATACTGACATGAGCCATTACTTCTTGAACTAGGTACTCACATTTGTACTGTTGGATCTTCCTGGCCTTCTGTTTTTCTCCACATACACATTACTTGTCCTGTTTTGGGCAGAGATTTATCACCAGGCAAGTAACTTTTCTTAGTTATTTTTGTGAAATGATGTGTCTTGTTTGGCTTGTCCTTGATCAATAGACCCAAGTACAAACTTGAGCACTTGGTTCGTTCTTGTATTTCTGTGAGGAACTATGACATTTTTCCTTGCCATTACGAGCAGGCAAGAAGCTTACCAACGGATAAACTCAGAATTTTTTATGTATCAATCAATGGTGTTATTTATGTTATACAGGTGCGCTCCGACTCACTTCTCTTGTGCTGTTTACTTTGCATATTACCATCATTAATACCAGTTTAATCTCTGAGGGAAATTATTTGTATCTGTTTATTTGTTAGTCTCTTGAGTTTTCTATCTCAAAGGTTCCTGCCACAACTAGCTATGACACATACTTAATGTGTAAGTGAAGTTAAAAGGAAGTTTTGACTTCAGGTCTGCATTTGGTTATACCTCTGGATAGATGACAACAGCGTGGTGGAATTTATTGGAAAAATATTTATTGCTGGTAAGTTTAATAGTGAATCATTAAAACAAGTTTCACAAGGTTTATCTCTGGATATTAATCTTTTTCTTAAAAGAAGTTTTATCCATGTTAAGTCTTACTTCTTTTGTTTAACTGTGCCACTTATTTTCTTTGTTCTTTTCTCCAGTGGTGTCATTTATAGCTGCATTAGGATTCTTGCTGTATGGAGGAAGGTAATTGTTGTTTGTTAACACAATATTATGGCTATTGTGATTAGAGTTTGAATTTCTAAAGATTCCGTAATCCTGCTCACTCAACTCCTTCCAGATTATTTTTCATGCTAAGACGTTTCCCTATTGAATCAAAAGGAAGAAGGAAGAAGCTGCATGAGGTATTTTCCTTATAGTTCACCTAGTAAATAACAATTCTAACATCGTAGCATAAGTTTAATTTGCATTTCTACGTGCTAATCACTTGGTTTTTAACTTGGCATCACTCTGTGGAAATTACTTCAAATGAATTAGGGCCTGTTCATGAATTTATTGAGAATATGTTCTTGAATAGAGTTCAACAAAACCATATAGCCCACTATATGCAGTGGGAAAAGGCTTAGTTTGTTGTTGTAGGACTTTCTCAGCATTACTATCGTTTACTTGATGTCTTCTCTTTTCTTAGGTTGGTTCTGTTACAGCCATTTGTTTCACGTGCTTCCTGATTAGGTGCTTTGTGGTAAGTTTTTCTTTTACCAAACTTTGTGGTAGGTTTTAAAACTATATAATTTATGGCTTGAAGGAGAATGTAGCACTTTAAACTGCTACTTATTCGGTTAGTCTCTTGTATGCAACTCATACAGCAGTATCTCTGTTCTCAGTAGATGACAATCTATTTGATTATTATATCCTGAGGCAAATTAATAATCTGAACATTCAAGTATGCATGCTAGAGATGCTACATCCTTCATATGAGAGAGAACCTCTGGGAGATTTAGTTTGCATAGTATTTTTTTAGATTAAAATAAAGTAAAAGACTTCAATACAATTTTTTCCTAGTAAAAATCCATTCTTCGTGAGTTTATTCCATTTGAATCAAAAGGAAGCATGAATATTTCCTGGAGTTTTCATACATTTTTTCTAATAATGACTAGATGAAGTACAAAGAGGTAGGTCGTTTGCCTCCAGCTAAATTCTCCTAGTAATAGTTCAATAGCTGAATGAAAGTCAAAAGTTAGGTATTTGGCCATGGAGAGAGAGGCATGAGCGTATGCTTCACCTGAGTTCTTTCTTTCTAGGTTCATCTTAGATTGTCTTAGCAAGAGAAATTGGTCAAGAAGTTGAATGTTATAAGTAATTTCTGACTCTCAGAATGGTTTTATGAACAATGTTAGATGTCAATATTTGACCGAAATAAATTGAGCTTGACAAAAGTTCAATAAAACTCTTTTTTATCCACTGTTTAGAAACAGACAACTATATTGTGACGCTGCTTTTTTTCATTTGGTTGCTAACATATTCCTGCTGCTTTATGTGACTCATTTGTTTATGTGCAGGTGGTTTTATCGGCTTTTGATTCAGATGCATCACTTGATGTTTTGGACCATCCAATTTTGAACTTGATCTATTACATGGTATTTTACATATCCCTTTTATTTGTGGCATCCTATTTCTCTCACTTGTATTTTCCTAAGCATACAATTTCTATTGATCAAATTACAGCTTGTTGAGATCCTACCTTCAGCTCTAGTTTTGTATATCCTGCGTAAGTTGCCTCCAAAGAGAATATCTGCCCAATATCACCCCATCCGTTAGCCAGAATGCTATTCTGTTGGTAGGATTGTTTTTCCCCTAGAAAAATAGTTTTGGCATGGTTCAGATAGTTAGTTGCTGTCGGAATTAAGGGAAGCATGGCCGGTGAACAATCCAGTAATAAACTGGAACGGCTCGTGGTGGGGCAAAATTTTTTACATGTAGATTACATATCTATTTGCAGCTTTCTTAAGGGGAGATCATTGAATTGATTTCTTCATGGGTTATATGATCGAAGAGTTGGTAAAGTCACCCTCTTTGTGCATTATTGGTTGCAATTGGAAGATTTTGTTTTTTCTTGTAGTTTCAATCATCAATTCAGTAGTTGTTATTTCTGTTTGTTCTTAGAGATGATGGGTTTGTTATAAATACTTGATGGAAATGATATTAGTTTGATTTTTTTCCTCCAATTGTCGGCCAGCCATTCTTTCTTATGTTTTGTAGCTCTTCTGAAAGTTCCTTTTGCTCCCATGTTAGAATCCATTGACTCCATATCAAAGGAGAATACTTGTTAGTTATTACATACTCCTAATAAGTGTGGTACAGAATCTTTTTTGAATAAGAGAGGGTTATATAGAGTCCAACTAAACTCTACATTGGGCTTATCCCATTTGTCAATCAAGGAAATTATACAAAAATACTTCAGGGAAATTGCATAAAGGGAAGAAGGCACAAAGGGCATTGTACACCAACCAAAAGCACTTAGTCTAGGTATACAAAATTTCAACCCCAACAACATCAAGATGTACACATTAGCATGGAAGCTTGAACATTTTAAAGAAATGGTCAGCCACACATTTTATGCCTTTGCCATGTCCAATCAGAGATCGGTTTAGCGAAAGATACCACCCGTTGGTATAGTTTCCGCAGGGCAGATTAATCTCTGTGAAATTCCTCTGCAGGTGGTGGAGCAAATCTCACATTTCCTGGCTGTGCTACCACTACAGCCTCATCTGCAAACAATGCTTTAATAAAGGATGGAGTTTTTAGGGGTTGGCGACCGGTCATTTGCGGATATACATCTTCAAGAAAATAGTATGCATGACCAGCTATCATTCCCTGCATTAACAAAATATTGAGTTTGACAAGGAAAAGCCGCAAAAGTAACAATGATAAGTGACAAGATGCAAAAGTTAAGCATGGCTGCAATGAGGATCTAAAGCATTAGTGAGACAAGAACAGGGGGGAGTTTATAGGACCACTGCATAATCATAAGGCGGTCTCACAGTCCTTACGCAACATCCCTCCCTTTTCCTTTTTCACACACTTCATCCCAAGAATCACACCAAGACCTCTCCTGAAGTGATGATATATTATGATTACAGAAAAGCTTAATTAGACTAGCTTATATCCGCTATGGTGAACATGATAATGGATTTCGAAGATAGGCAGAAAATTCACACAAATAATACTATCCCTATATTTCAACATTAAAGCAAACTCTGGGAATGGACACGCACCAGGAGATCCACCAAGGCACTAGCACCTACAAGGACAGAAAATCCCAAAAGCACCTGAAAGACGGACGAGGAATTGATGCCATTACACACTAACAAGGAGAAGTAGGATCAAACTCACAAATGTAATACGAAGAATAAAACTTTTGCCCAATGGGAAAATCTACCATAACTACTTCTTTCTTGGTCAAAACCTTTAAAAGCTTTGAAAGAGAAGATACGTAACAATAATAAAAAAAAAGGGATGGAATGAATAGAAGCACTCACCCAGGGTAAGTAACCAGCAGTAAATGTAAAAAGACCCAGAAAACTCATATGTATGAAAGGATTCTGTTTGCTCCACACATAAACCTACATGGTATTGCAAAATAATATGGCTTCCAAAATGACAATGAAGAATATACGGTACTAGTAAAACATATTTTGCATGTAAACAGAGGCAGACAAATTTACCATCATGAATGTCAATGAATTGCTTAGAAATATGATTTTGGCAAATGATTCTGACAGATAAGGTATCATTCCTCCAATAAGAACAATGCCAGTTAAGACAGAAGCTCCAAACAAGAGCATGTAAAAAAAATCTGCAGTCCTTCCCCTGAAAGAGTTCTCTTCAAGAAGCTTGCAGTACCGAGCAAGAAAGAACATGTGAAACATGAAATCCAAATCTGGCATTATCAAGCAATACTGTGTTAAAGGAGCGAAAACGTATACATGCCCCTATAAGCAATACCAATTTTTAAAGACCCTTAATGCCATTGATGGAACTCTCTCTGTTTCATTTGGAAAATTCTACATCTTTAGCAATAACATGCATGACACATTACATAGCATTGTTCTCAAGGCATAACGAACCAGAGAGTTCATGGCACTCAGACATAAAGGCACATGAAATTTACCCATCTTGCGGAAGTACAGGAAGTTAGTAATGAGGCGCCAGAATTGATACTGCTTAACCACGAGGATAGGGTTCAAGTACAGATGATAAGGTGATATTATCTGCAAAAAGAAAACTAAATCACAATAACAATCCCAAACACGTATTAATTCTTTTCAAAATCAAGATGGCAAAACCAATCATACCCAATTACCAAAAAAAAAGACTCATCTTTTCAGAAAGGAGTTACAAACTAACGGTCAACTTTACCTGCCCAAATTCACAACTAACTTTTTCAAGAAATAAAATTTTGAAACTTGAAAGAAAAGCTGGAAACCCATATAGCAAATCCAATGGGAATCACCAAATTCACAAAATTGAGACAAACACAGCTTAAATCAGCCTAAAATAATCAAATCCATTTGCATAGAAACTTAAAAAGTACGCACTAATAATTGAAAATTGAAGACACAATCACAATCCCATAGCCCATATTGAGAAAAATAACACCAAAAAACATACAAAAAAAAAAGGAGAGAAGATGTGAAAAAGAGGCATACGTCGAGAGAGCAACCAATAGTGATGACTATGGCAGCTGTGAGATAAGAGCGGGTGATAATGGGCATCTGTTTATACCATTCTTCAACAGCTTGAGCCATTTTTTTACAATAACAAAATTGAAACAAGATATTTGAAAAGGCTAATTCGATAAAATTGTTAATAAGATTTTCTGGGTTTTGGGGTTTTTGAAGATCGAAGCAGAGTGTTTTTTTTTTTTTTCTTTTGAAGAACCAAATAGAAGAAACAAAAGAAAATGTGTATTAGGAACAGAAAATGTAGTAGTCAACAAGTTTGGTTTTATACTTTATGTTTTGTTTAGTGACAAATCCAGGCGAATCAGAGCGCGTGTGGTTACACGAACCAATTGGATTGATATAATAAACTATATATATTTAAAAAAAAAAACATAATCCTAAACATTTAAAAGGAAAAAAAAAGAAAAGACAGGCACAATTAGAACAAAAATTTAAAAGAGAAACTGGAGAGAAAAGCCACTCAGCTATCACCTCTTTGTTTTTTTTTTGTGGGGTACTCAGGTTCACACTGATATTATCTCTTAACAACATGGGAAATTGTACCTGCAGCCTCCAGTTGCTTCTGAAGTTCTTGGCCTGTAGCATCATTTTCAGCCTGGACAACAGGTAAGATTAGAACAAAAAAGAAAAGACAATTAACAAAGAATTCCCGATATGTAATTTAAAACGAAAACAGTAATGAGTAAAGCAGTTGACTCTATATACCTGGAATTCAGTAATACTTCTCAGTTGAGCTTCTTCGCCTCCCTCGGAAGATGGAAGTGCTGCAACCAATGTATCAAACTGCGATAGTAGTAACATTTAGTAATATCCCACGTACGGCCATGAAACCATGAACGCATTGATACCATCACCCACCTGTTTAGCAGCCTTAACAAGAGCAGCACTCATAAGCTTAGGTTGATTGGCGAAATTCGCTGACTCCTCCATGGGATTAGCAGGGGGTTCTGGGTAATATGGGGAAAGTGTGACCAGTGGAGCATCTCTTCGCAATGTCCCGAAAGTGTTTAAGGCTAGGCCAGCTATTGAATTCACTTGTTCTTCTAATTGGGAAATCGCATCCATCTTCCAAAACCAAAGACAACCCGAATCTTATAGGACAGAACAGATCGAGACAACCACAAGATCTACAAGCTTGGTAGGTGCTACTTAAAAGTTAGTCTTCGCCCTTGGTAAACTGCTTAAATTGAAGACCCAAAGATAAAAACAAGAACCTGAAGGGGAAATCAACGTCAAATGTGTAGGATCAAAAGGAAAATGGGAGTCATATGGGCCCAAGGGGTATCAGTAGTCAAAAACTTGGGCTCCTTGAGAAGAATTGACCTGAAAGGCAGTAATTTAGGCCTATTTCTTTTCAGAATTAAACCCAGTTCCTGGTCTTGGCCCGTGAACTGTATATAATTCAAATAGAGTTGGGATAAATCAGGAGCATGAGAATGCAAAAGAACAACGAAGTCGGAAGGCAAAGGTAGGTTGGTAAAATCTTTCTCATTGAAAGATACTTAAAAAAAAGATTGTATATAATAAAATAGATGTAATAAAAATATTTTAAAAGATTGTATATAATAAAATAGATGTAATAAAAATATTTTGACCATTTTATATACCCGTAAAAGTTATGCTTAATAAAAACAGAAAAATCTTTTAAAAGATGAAAAAAAAAAGATTTGTACAGTAATTTATCTGATTAAACCAAATTCAATGCTTTTTACATCAAATATTTTGATCAAGTTGAAATTTAATTTTCGATATGAATTCACCAAGTGCGATTGCAAACAGTAACCATTACAAATAATCCAAATTAGAGACAAAGTGCCTATTTGCCTTAAACTCTCAACTATTCTCAGTCATGATTTGCATTGGTCCTTCAAGCCTTGATTTTTAAGGCTCGTTCTAGTTTCACAACTCGAAAACTAAGACTGTGCTGGTGGAATGGCATCTTTCGCATTAGATTCCACACTATTGGTGTTGGCAGGCCTTAAGGAACTACTAACTTCAGGTACAATCATTCTTGGAAGAACAGATTTTTCAGCAGCAGGCTTGGGTTCAGATAGAATAGTTTCTACCCCAAATATCATTATTGGTAGGCTGGTCATTGATTCAGAGCATGGAGTTGTCACAGTAGTTGTTGCAGCATCATTAGCAGATAATCCATCCATGTTAGATGCCTCATCTCCACTAATAATCTTCTTAGCAAGCTCCAATCGAGTATCATGTGAAGTATCTAGATCTCGCCTTGACGAAGCCTGTTTTTCGAACATGTTGATTCCAGTGGGTTCACAAGGCATGGCTTTAGGTTCAAGTTCAGAAAATATGGGAGTTTGGTCGTTGCCAAGGTAAAGGATTTTCACATCATCATGAACCAATTCCTGTGGCTTAAGATCAGAACTCACGGCCTGGTGTTCAACTTGAGGCTTCAGATTTACAGTCTTGGCAGCTGGCAAAGTAGCAGTAAATGTTGCAGACACTGGCTCAGATGCTTTAGGTGCCTCTGCGTTAATAATTAGTCCCTTCATCTGTTTGAAGGCTTCAAATCCCTGCAGTGATTGATTATGTCCAACGGCTTTATCATTCTGCAATCCAGAATCAAAGATTCGTTCTTGCAGGACCTTTTGTCCCAGGGGAAGACCAGTGTCATTTATTGGCAAGTTACCAGCTAGAGGAATTAGAATAGAGGCAAATTGGCTCTCAGTAGCAGCAGTGGCACCAGATTGAAGCACAGTATGTAGACCTTGGTCTGGAAGGTTAGGTTCGTCATTTTTATGGCCAACAGGCTTCTCACTTTTCCCAGATGGACGACTCACAGCATGGAGCTGACCTTGAGGGTTTACAAATGGGATAGGCATCTCTTTTCTTTTGTACATCTTAGCATATCGAGCCACATCATTTGCAGCACTAACTGGAGTGAATCGCCCTGGTAGAAATATAACACCTCTAAGATGCGTGTTGGTATCACCTACTTTAACATTAAGAAGATATCCAGCATCAAATGAACCTTCGATGACACCAGAAACCATCTGACCTACCACGTTCTCAGAGGCAGGGTTACTTGTTCCAACAATCTGCTTTTTTTTCTTCAGACTGTCAGATGCAGGTGCTACAAGTGTGTTGTCCCCTTGAACACTCTCATCCTTGTGTGGACGCCCACGTTTCCACGTCATAGGGGGGTCTGCTAAAGAAGATAAGCTAGCCCGTTGATCCTGGCAGCTCATCCTGCACAAATGGATCTACAAACTCCTTTACACTATCCTATTATAATTCCTTGTACGATAATCGTTCTGAGTTTACCTGCAACCACAAAAGCAATTAAAATTTTTGTCATCAATATGACCACACAATTAGATGGTAAAAAATTGTAGTTGATCAACAATACACTAGTTCTACTTCCTTTGCCATGCCATTAAACCATATTTCACAAGAATCAAAGTATACCAAACTGTATACTATCAGGAAATCCTGTGGATTATTATTAACATAAGATTGCCTATTGGTGTGATAACTAAGGCTCCTTTGGTTGGTGCTTTTGTTTTTCGTTTTTTTTTTTCAATAGAAAGTGAAAAGCAAAAAATAAAAAATAAATTGAAAACAAGGGATAACTAGAAAAAAAAAAAAAGCAAAAGCACCAAACAAACAGAGCCTAAACGTTCTTCTTGGAGTAAGCTCAGGTTCTGGTCTAAAATTTTGATATTATTATGTCCTCAATGCCATGAAGAAATTATATTAATGTTTTAATTTTCAGAAGTGCTGATTACTATAAATGGGTTAGATTTGAACAGCTAACATCACCAACTAAATGGAAGAGCTATGGTGATGAGCTAAGATATGCATGTCAAGAAGGTTGTCTATGTAATAGGTAGATACAAAAACAAGCCAGATGGATATACATTCAATTATGACAAGTCGTGATTGTGATATCTTACATTGATGCTTCGCAAATTTTGGGCACCTAAGCAGAGGATATACATTCATGACAGATTGTTGCAAGGTTTTACTCAAAATAATGACAAAAACTAAATGCTTCCTAGTTTCTCTTTCTACATACAATTCATTTTGTAAAATAAGGTTCACAAAATAAAAGCTATGATATCAGGATCTTGTAAGACCTTCTTGCCATCTCTACGAGAATAAGTTCCAACCTTTTTTCTTTTTGTGGTAAAATCATATAGATATGATCTGCTAAGGATGGTGGATGTGCAAGCAGGGCCATAGGTTTTTGCTTGATTGTCTATTTATATTATTTTGCCTACAGCAATGTACTTGCTGGTCTTATCTGCCATTGAAATGCTAAGCGAATCCCCATTTTGAACCATGATTTCTTCACCCAAGACTCATTATCAAGGACATTGAGACTTAACAGAACAACAATTTTTTTCAGATAAATAGTTTCTAACATGGAATGGTTCCCAACAGAACTAAACATTAATTAGAAAAAGAATACAGGGACAATCACAAACACCAACCAAGGATAAAAGAGAATTCTAACTTCTAATAACTGTGCATAACAAATATAAAGCCCGAAACCATTCTATAAAACAATGCCAACCAACCTATACATTCCAAGAGGACAACCTGCCCTTTTCCAACAGAACTACATTCACATTGGATCAAAATACACCTTAAATATATAGAAAAATTGAGCACTTAATCAAAACCCAAATCAGGCAAGCTAGACAATGCAAACACCCTTTTGACACATTTCAAATATGTCATAGATTTTAAAGTGAAAATGTCAGGCTACAAATAAAAAAATACCATTTTTTTCGCAACCTAAATAGGCAAATGAATCTCAGCTAAGTTATGAACTAATCCACAATTCCAAATAAAATCTGTTACTCATTCCATCATTAAAACATAAATGAAAGAAAAGAAAAGAAAAATAAAGTCACTAATCAGTTGTGCTTTATTTCACCTTTTTCCATTAAAATTTTTAACTATTAAACTAGACTTTTTAACCCAATGATGATAACATAAAAGTAAAAACTTAACAAACCTGTGTTGTAGGAGGGATTCCAAATCACTTGAGTAAAAATGGAAGGTGAGGTAATCAATAAACAAATCCATAATTTGCTGCTTTATTAATAATAATAATATTTTCTTTCTCTTTTTGTTTTTTTTTTTAGTTCTGCTGTTTGGTTCGCGGGATAGTATAACGACCGAAACGCGAGGAAACCAGGAAGTGAGTTGTTGTGGGCTGCCTTCTTTTTGGGCCTCCATCGTGGGGCTTCGCCTCAGCTTTCAAGAAATTATCAAAAGTAAAGAAGGGATGGGTTAAACGGTCGCGTTGATAGAACGCTGAGACGCCTTATCTATTAGCCCACAGGCGCCTCGTGTGGGCTGTTGATGGGTTCTAAAATGGTCACCAAAGGGCACGTGTTGTCCACGAGACAATCAAACAATCTCAGCCAAGAAAAATCAAAATTAGAAGTAAGAAACCCAAAATTTTCATTTCACCTCTTTTAATTTTGATTTGCTTTTGTATTGTTTGGCGTCTGCTGTTTTCTTTCTCTGTCCTGAAACCACAGCCATAACAATGGCTTCCTTGCTAGCCAACGGCATCTCAAGCTTCTCACCACAAACCACTTCAGATTCAACCAAGTTCCCAAAAGGGTTTTATCCAAAGCTCGATTCCGTCAAACCCATAACTCCAAAACCGCCAAATTCAAGGCTTTTCAAAGTCAGGGCAGATGTGGGTTTCGATTCTCAGACCTTGACGTCAGATCTCAGCTCTTCATCAGGTAAATCCTACGATGAGAAAATACAGGAAATTCTTCGAAACCGTGATTATAATAAAAAATTTGGCTTTACTATGGATATTGATTCGTTTTCGATACCCAAAGGGCTTTCTACAGAAACAATTCGTTTAATTTCTTCTTTGAAGGAAGAACCTGATTGGATGTTGGAGTTTAGACTGAACGCTTATGAGAAATTTTTGAAAATGAAAGAACCCAAATGGTCTGATAATCGATATCCGCCAATTAATTTCCAAGATATTTGTTATTACTCTGCGCCCAAGAGGAAGCCAACTTTGAATAGCTTAGATGAGGCAGATCCTGAACTTCTAAAGTACTTTGATAGATTGGGTGTCCCTTTGAATGAACGTAATCGATTGGCTAATGTTGCGGTTGATGCGGTTCTTGATAGTGTTTCAATTGCCACTACACATAGGAAGACTCTAGAGAAAGCTGGGGTGATCTTTTGTTCTATATCCGAGGCAATCAGGGAGTACCCTGATCTAGTTAGGAAATATTTAGGGAGAGTTGTGCCCAGTGAGGATAACTATTATGCAGGTTTGAATTCAGCTGTTTTTAGTGATGGGTCATTTTGTTATATACCTAAGGATACGAAATGCCCAATGCCGATTTCAACGTATTTTCGGATCAATGCTTTGGAAACTGGGCAATTTGAGAGGACTTTGATTGTTGCTGATGAAGGGAGTTTTGTGGAGTATTTAGAAGGATGTACAGCACCTTCTTATGACAGGAATCAGCTTCATGCAGCTGTTGTTGAGTTGTATTGTTCTAAGGGTGCAGAGATTAAATACTCCACTGTGCAGAATTGGTATGCTGGTGATGAGGAAGGAAAAGGTGGGATTTATAATTTTGTTACCAAGCGTGGACTTTGTGCTGGAGATTGCTCGAAGATATCATGGACCCAAGTGGAGACAGGGTCTGCAATTACTTGGAAGTACCCGAGTGTTGTTTTGGAGGGTGATGATACTGTGGGTGAGTTTTATTCTGTAGCACTGACGAATAATTATCAGCAGGCGGACACGGGAACAAAGATGATACACAAGGGGAATAATACAAGAAGTAGGATTATCTCGAAGGGTATTTCAGCTGGAAATTCAAGAAACTGTTACAGGGGGCTTGTTCAGGTTCAATCAAAGGCAGAAAATGCTAGAAATTCATCACAATGTGATTCAATGCTTATTGGTGATAATGCTGCTGCAAACACCTATCCTTACATCCAGGTGCATATGTTTGATTTTTTGGCATTTTTTTCCAATATTGCTTTACTTGTGTCGTTACTAATTTTTATCACCTTTATCTTTATGAGTATTCATTTGGGTAAGCAGATGGCTACCCTTTCTTTTCTGTTTGCTTTACCTTTTTACCCATATAATATACTGCTGCAAAGCTCAAGCTTTTGGATTGATTTTTGGAGCATGCATGTGTGAGCTTTTTCTGTCTGTTCCAACTCCTTGTCATCTGTGTGTATTACTCTATGCTGACAAATTTTTACTGTCATAACCATGCATGCTACAAAATATAAATCCATGACCATGTTTACTCTCATTAGTCATTACTCTCTAACCATGCTTAACAACAAGAGCTCCTTTGTTCAACCTCCTATGAAGAAAACAGTGGAATGCTAGTTAGGGTAGAATTTTATTCTCATTCTTGTTTTGACAAAAATCTTTTTGATGCTTCTACTGTTATAGTTACTTCTTAATAGTGGCATTGCATTATTATGTCTGATTTACTTTTTGCTTATTTGTTGCACCAAGAAAGTAGTAGCTCCATTTTGTTGCTTATGATTGGATTGCTTTTATTGAACAGGTTAAGAACCCCTCAGCTCGCGTTGAACATGAAGCCAGCACCTCCAAAATCGGTGAAGATCAGTTATTTTACTTTCAACAGAGGGGAATTGACTATGAGAAGGCCATGGCTGCCATGATTTCTGGTTTTTGCCGTGACGTTTTCAATGAGCTTCCTGATGAGTTTGGTGCTGAGGTGAACCAACTCATGAGTTTGAAGCTTGAGGGATCCGTGGGTTAAACATGATGAAGTTAGCTCAATTCAGGTCAATTTAGATAATGAAATAATTGTCAATGAGTTCAATAATGTTCAAGTTCTTGGGAATCTTTTTGTATATGATGACTACTTAGCTTTAATGTACTATTGCTGTTCCCATTTCCCAGCATGTCGTTTGGAACAATAAATTTTACATGTTTCATGGAAATGTGTTCCTAAAACTTTGTATATACTCATCACTTGGACCTATAACAAGCGTGTAATATACATCTTATGAGTTCATTTTAGTCAAAATTTTGTTTGCTGTGAAAGCATTGGTCTTTTATATTTGCCTCCTTTGATTTCTAGATCTCTCCTCATTACTAGCAGGCATTCATTTGTTTTTTGTATTTAAAAAACCAAATTTAATTTGATGAAACCTGAAAAAAAAAAAAAAAAAAAAAGAAGAAGAAGAAGAAGAAATTTATTATTAATTTATTGGAAGAGAAAACCCTAGAAATTATCAAGTGGCACGCTGTTTCCAGAGCAGGTAAGTTTTCACACAGAGGAAAAGCCAGCTAATTAAAAATCAATATTTTTCGTCCATTATTATTATTTTTTCTAACAAATTAATATCAATGCACATGTACAGCTTCATTACAGTATGACAACTCAAGTCACAACGGCTTGGTTCCCTAATAAATACTTGCTTCAATCCTATATGTCACATCTGTCTCTTGCTAGTAAAATTTATCCTATAGAAAAAGCATGGCTGTTCTGAGGAGATCATATGGTTACTCAAAGGTGGATAAGGAAGACCAAGAAGAGATGAGTCATCGACGAGCACAGTTCTTGATCTACAAAGTGCTGGAACAAGCAGATTCTAGACGAAAATCATCGTATCTACGAATCAGATTGTGTAGGCCAAAGGTGAAGATTGGGAGAAGATTGAAGAAGTTAAGGAAGAGTGCATTGGTTTGTATTTCTGCAGCAAAAGTTGGTGTTTACAAGCAGGTTGTTAATCATTTGAAAACTTGGAGACGCTTGTTTAACCTTGGTGATGGAGCCATTGCCAGCCTTCCTCTTCCTTTGTTCACTTGAAATATATATATATATATATTCTCTTTTTGTTTTGTTAAAATACAAGAGTGATTGTGTTATCTTCTTGCAATAACCAGTTTTTCTGTTAAAACCAGAGCTTTCCAGCAGCTATAGCTTGCAGGTTAATCTATTTAGTTGAAAAGCATTTTCTACTTTTCTTTTTGCCTTGAAACCATTTTCTTTCCTCCCCTGTTTTCTTGGGTATGCAAAGAGCACTAAGAAATCAAGGACGGCATGAATGAATCAAAAGAACAATAAGCTTGATTAATTAATTCAAGCCTGGACTAATGGGGTGTCCCGAGCGTCTTCTCCTTTATCAATAGATTCAAACGCTCACCAATATGCTTGAAGGGTCATCAGCTGTGCATAAGTAGATTTCGACCTTCTACTAGCCTACCAATCTTTAGCTTCAAACAATGGAACCGAAGGCTGATAAATTGAGGTCTCCGCTGGTGAGGTGAGCAAGAGAAGATAAAAGCCTGTTGGAACGATGCCGGTGGCCAACTGGCCTCTGGTCAACCCAGCATGAACAGCCTGGCTTAATTAATGCTCTTAAAAAACAAGTATATTTTGCCTTTTGGGGTTCTGGAATAGATCATTGGATATTCCGATTCTATGATTATACATTCAAAACAGCAACAAATTAAATTATTACTTACTCTTTTACCTCTCATCATATAAATATAAATATATATATATATATATATATTCATGCAAAGCACACCTATTTTATATCTTTTGCATTGGTTCGAATTTTTTTTATGTGTTTGTATATATAAATCCATGTATATTTTCGCTCTATTTTGAAAATTTTATATTTTTATTGGATATTTTAACATGCATTAATATAAATAATTTCATAATTATGACCTGTATCCAATTGAAAAATAAAATTTCAATTATAAACATAATGTTTTAATATTTTTTTTTTTATAAAACATATTATTCACTTGTAAATATAACATTTATCAAAAAAATTATTAATAAAATTAGCATTCAAAGTTATTAGTTTTCATTGGATACCTCAACGAGATTCCAACTTAAAAGTTTTTGTTCCAATCTTAAGATGAAATGAAAGGAACATACAAAAAATAAATAAATAAATACATACAAAAAGAAAATAATAAAAATTCAAAATTATTAGTTTTTTGGATTAAAAATCATTAAAATCATGTTAATAAAATTATCTTCACCTTCCTCTCTCTTCATTGTTATTTAAAAAAAAAAGAAAAATATATTTATTTTTTAAAAATTGTGTATGGAATATAGTGCATTTTAACCATAAGTTATAAACAATAAGCGTCAAATAGCATGAAGAACTAGCAAAATTAAAAAACAATCATGAATAAATTAGAGCACAATGGGAACATATGTAGTTTTTATTTCATTGAATAAATCAATCAAACAAACCTCGATTCTGAACCAAGAGTCAAAGCCAACAATATTTCAAAGCTTATATATAGCCCATGAAAAACTATCAGAACAACTTGTAGCAAGCCATTTTATTAGAGCAAGAGCAAAACGCCATGGTAGTAGCAGTATTAAGCTTAGGGTCAATCAATTTCTCACCCAATATTTCTTCATTTTTTATGCATTGTAGGCAAGCTTAATAATCTCTTCGATAATTAGTTCTTAACTAAGAAGAGGCTCCTTCTTGTCTTCCCATCTGTCCAGCCGCTTCCTTGCTTTCTCCACCTGAAATTTCAGTAGGTTCATCAATGCTAGCTTCATCGATTTCAACCCACCATTCATGCATTGCAAAAATTAAACAGATTACAAACTGATCAAACGTTTCAAAGGTACTTGCCTCTTTGTTCCAATCTGTTCTAAATGTCACCCACAACAAAATGATGCTCTGCATCGCTGTTCCTCCTATCATCCCGGACCATATTCCCTGCCCAAAGGTAAATGTTGAATAACAAATATGTTTTCCCGGAAACGATTACATTATAATTTCTACGAGACTTTACCTTTGCACCAAGGTTAAACTTAAAACCAAGAACACAGCCCAATGGAATCCCAACCACGTAGTAGCATCCCACGTTCACATAAGCTACAAATGCTTGCCATCCACATCCAACAGCCACCCCTTCATCAATCAATTCTCACTTCTAAGTTAGAAACTTTCAATTCCCACCAGTGAAAGTATCTATAATTCATTAGCTGGTGGTTTCAAAAATTTTCTTACCAGATAAGACAGGTTGAACCCCATTAAGAATAAGAGTTACAGCTAAAAGCGGACAAAGCTCCGACACTGCTTTTGCCACGGTCTCACCCTCCGTAAATGCATAGCTTATTACATCCCGTAGAGATAAAATAACAACAGCTTCCACTACAGAAATGACGAAGGAAACCAAAGTCACTACGGCAACCGAGAATGCCGCCGACTTGGGATGCCCGGCTCCCAGCTCATTGCTGACCCTAACACTGTTTTGATGGAAACAGAAACGCTAGCAAAATTAACTTTTGGTTTCAGCTTAAATATCGATTTGATTAAAATTAAAGGGAGTTCAATGTAATTATTCTTCAAATTGTTTTTATTTTTTTAATTGATAGAGCAATTTCTTTGTCTTTTTGAAGACTTTTCGGGGTTATAGAAGCATGTTTTTTGATCCTTTTGCTTGTGGAATTGAATCATTAAATGGTAATATTAACCGCATAGAGGACTAGCGTGGTCCTGAAAGTGACGAACCTTGCAGCTGCGTTGAACCCGACTGAAACCATGAACAACAACCCAGATATAGCCATGCTGCACCATTGCAACCAACATTCATGGTCAATTAATAGTTGAAAACTGCCAGTGAGTAAATATATTTGCCAGAAAAGAGCAATCAAAATAAAGCATGCATATCAGAATTGTACGCACCATCAGTGTTTGAATAAAGCAAAATGGATGGGGCACCTATATGAATTACGGTACTAATGCTTTTCCTTCTCAAGATAGACATCCACTAATATTCTAGTCACAGAACTTGGAAAAGCTAGCAATCATTTTTTTCTTTATTTTCCTTGCAGGAAAAGAAAGCTTCACGTTTGGTTTAGTCGGGGGCTCCAGGCACAGAACAAAGATCTGGGATTTTTGTTTCCCTTTCACATTGTGTCAAGACATCGTCTCTAGAGTGGACCAAACGAATATTATGATCATGCAGCATGCCGAGAAAGCAAAAGGAAAAGTAAAAAAAAAAAAGTTTAGCATGTGTTTCACGACTTATCGATTTCATGGAAATTAGTAGCAGAGAATATATATCGTCAAATATCCTCGGCAATAAAAATGGAGATATTCGAACCCATCCTTTACTCCAACTCCATTTATATACATTGGAATAATGCTTGTATGCAGTTTGTAATAAAGTAATAAGGTTTTATTCCCTCTTTTTACCCTTTCATTGAGCAGATATCTCTATAATTCATGATTTCATGTACTGCTTAATGTAGACTAACAACGAAAAGTGAACAAGAAGCTGTGAAGGGGAATTACTGTATATAAAGAAAAAGCTGATATTTTTAATTGTATGGACGAATTAGAATATGAAACATGATTCCATACCGATGACTGTTGGGTTTTTCCACTTCGAAGAAAAAATTATCGGTCAAAAGTTGAAAGACGAAAGTTAACAAAAGACAAATCATGATCACAAGCTAATTAATGTCTCTATAATGGAATTAACTGAATTTTTAAATGATCAAGAATAAAAAAATGATGATCAATCTTATCATTTTAATGTCAAAGAGTGGACTTGCTAAGCTTCTTACCAGATAGAAAGAGAGTCCAATGCAAGCTCAGGATTCTCCAGCAAACCAGCAATCAAGACCAGTATCTGAAAGTACCACGTCTCCAAGCACAGCATCACGGCCGAAGCAGCTGACAATTTCAAGAAGTCCCATAACCCAGAAAAGGCCTGCAAACTCAGCCCAGCCCATGTAAGCTTACACTTTTCACTCATTAAGATGTACACAATCTGGGCCACCACTATAATCCACCATGACAGACTGAGCACCAGAGAAGCACCTATCAACCCCAAACCCAGCTTGTACACTGCTAGCCAACTTAGCAGAAGGTGCACCACAAGCGTGGCAGCTGATATGTACGCACTTGGAGTTACAATGCTTTGAGATTGGAGGAATTTTTGTATGGGGAAGTTCATAGCGTAAGCAAATATTTGTGGGATCAAACCATAGACGAAAACAGCAGCCGCCGATGCAACCTCGGTCGATTCGCCTAGTAAGATCAAGATTGGCTTGGACAAGACATACACCACCGTCAGTGGAATCCCTGTTAGAGTAAGGACAATGGTTGATCTTTGAAGATATACCCCTAACATGTCATATCTAAGGGCCCCATAAGCTTGTCCGCATAGAGTTTCTACAGCACTTCCCATTCCTAGCTGCAAAGATGTTGGTTTTAACAGATAAAATATGAATAAAAACCCATTAGAACATACTAGTACGTGAATTAACAGGAAGCAAAAGGAGTAGAAGATATAGTTATAGTACCATGAGGCCATAGGCAAGGAGTTGGATGCCGCTGTTGCCAAGTGAGGCTGCGGCCAACTCAAGATTGCCTAGATGACCACAAAAGACACGAGTGGATAAGGACATGAAATTGTTGATCATATAAACAAAAACCGCCGGTGCTGCCAGGCGGAAGAGGAGACTCAGTTCAATCCTTAAGGCCAATCGGAGACGCCTGCAAAATGACAGCTCGGTTCCTGACAAAACTTTCTCAAGTCTAGAGTCCACCTCATGGACATGGTCACGACTGGCTTCTGATGACTCGTGAGTTGGTGGCAGCTGACCACCCATGGAGTTCAGGATTGGCTGATCCAGCTCCTCTTGACAATCCATGATTTTCTTTACCAACAAGTTCTAGCTATGGTGATACTAATTTGGAGGATATTGATTGGCCCTAAAGAAACGAAAATATAAGGAATGGGACTTTTTTTCCCATTTTTTCTTTGTATTCTTACAGGGTCTTGTTTGCAATAAAATGATGCTTGATGCCGGTGGCCATGTCAGGAATACTTGTGTTATTCTATCTCCTATTCTCGGGATTCTTTCTTTTTATGGCTGAATCAACTAATGATGATTATAGTATACTGTCTATCACGAAAAAATACTATATACATCCAAAAACTAATGTCATTTTCTTCCGCCAGCCATGTTATTTATTTTTTCATTTTTAAATTTTATCTATTTAACCTATTTAAAAAAGTATTACGTACTTAAATCCTCTTGCATCCGTAAACTCCAAAAATATATTTCACAAATACATTATCTAAAGGAAGCTCAATTGACTCGTTACCACGTTACTATATACACGTATTGGTAATTTTCTATCTAAATTAAAAAGGAAACACTTTATCACTCCATTTTATTAGTACAAAGTAGCCTTTGACTTATATTTGAATACGTGGATTTGAATTTTTTTATTTTAATTTTTAATTATATAATTACTCACTTTTAATAAAAAAAATTCACGAAATTAATTTAAAAATTTTATCTAATCTTTGCCATATATGTTTAACCAAATCATCGTCAAGTAAAGAAATGAAGCAATTATAAAGATTAATTGACTTGAATAAACCAGTTAATATATTTGATTGTTTTACATCTTATTTAAGATCTTCAAAATGATTTGTAAGTAGTACATATTTCAAATTTATACTGAAACAAAAAAAAAAAAATGGTTGCTTTCAATTTCCGTTATAATAGTACGTCTATTTTTAGGATTTTTTAACATTTAATATTATTTATACTGATATTTATAGCATTGTCATGAATTTGAATAGCACAAAGAGGGCCTTCCTTTTTTGTACTACTACTAGCTATTTTGTTTTTTTAGTTAGATATTAATATAATATATCACAATTTTAATTAGGGATATTAATTCAAGTTAATAAATTTATTTTTTTTTTTTAATTTGATTGATTGATTTAAACATGTAAAATTTGAATTCGACTTGATTTGATAATTTTTTATTATTTTTATATTCGAATCCAATCCGATTCGATATTGTATAAAATCATATCTTATTCGATCTGACTTGAAATTAATAAAATATTATTTTTAATATAAATATAAAATTAAATATAAAAAAAATATATAAATAATTATAAAATTAAATAAATAATTAAAAAAATTATTTATATATATATCAGATCAAATAGGATCGAGTTTGCCTAAAATCCAATCTCGACCTGATCCCAATTTTTTTATTATGTCATCCGATCTGATATCCGATTTTTAAAAAAAAAAATCAACCTTAAAAAATTAAATTGAGTCGAAACCGTTAATTTCGAATTTTTTTATCTTTTCTAATTTTAACTCTTATAAAATAAATAAATAAGCCTCATGACGGTTCAGTGGAGATAAATATTAAGGAATAAATAAATATTTAACTAATTAAGATAAAAAAAAGTTATAAAATTTTCCAAATTTCTCCTAAATCGAGGGTCTTGATCGAATTTAATTTATAAAGTAGTGCCGGTTCCTTTCCCAATTGTCCATAGCAGCATTAAATATGGTTATCTTTCAATTTTTTTAGAATAAATACACTCCTTTTATCTGTTTAAAAGCTAACACTACATTTTCAATAGGTCCCTCTCCTGAAAACTCAAGCTGTGCATGGCATGTTTGTCTTAATATGTTGGATTGGTTGGTGGTCCAACATTATTCCATGATATTTATTATTTAATGTTGCTTTCCTTTCCTTTTTTTTTTATCACATAATTGGAGTGAACATTAATTGGTTACATCATTTTTATGCAAATTAAAAAATTCTTAAGTGGCCAATTGTATCTTATTTCAATGGTAAAGATGAGAGTTGTGAAAGTGGCTAAAAAATTCTTAAATCAGTTTGTTTGACAAATTGTTCAAAGAGACTAAAGCTATAAATTTTGATATTTGCTATAGTATCGCCGTCATTTACAATGACAATTGCCATGTTATAGTAAGTTGTCGAGATGGAAAGTTAGACGAATAAAGTTTTAGAGAAAATTCGATTTTGACACTTAGATGATGTCATGGGAATTTGAAGAATTATTGTAAGAAGGATTGGCGCCCAAACAAATTAGAAGTGATCACAACCATTGATGCATCACGTGATGATGAAGGAGTTGTTACCTTTTTTTAAATTTAAACGAAGACCAATAGCCAATAGTTTATGTGGCATTTTAAGAGCTTCTAATCGATCCTATCTAACATATGTTATTACTATTTCATTGCGTAAATTTGGGACTGATCGACTTATAAATACATCATCCTTTAAATTTAATAATTAAAAATATAATATAATAATGTGATATAAATATAATTTAAAATTTTAATAATTCTTATTTAATAAAATTAATAAAATAAAATATATATTTTATAATATATAATTATAATATAAAATATAATATAAATATATAAATTTTAATATTTTATTAAATATAAATTCACTAATCATCAAATTTGATGGGCTGGAATGCAAAATGTGCTTCAGGTGCCAAGAAGAGGTACTGTAAGTGTCTTTTGGTACCTACAAATAGCATAGAAGTGTCAGTTGTTTTTGGGAGAAGTAGTCACGAGGAGATGGTGAACTTTACGACTAAAAGGCTGGTGCCTGGAGAAGTTGCGGTGAAAAGTACCAGTGTAGGCATAGTTATGTAGCCTTAAATGGAGAAGGCTAGAGCCTAGAGAGGGTACCAAGAAAGGTACCAGGGTAAGCAACGGTTATAGCTCTTGTGTATAGGCTGGTGAAGCTTTGAGGTATGTTTCTAAACACTGTATTCATCTTGTGTCAATTGAAAATATTTTGTCGTCTCTATCTGTAGATACAGGTATCATGTCTAATCACGTAAATTTAAAATATTTTAAATTTTTTATTCCACGAGTCGATCGAATTATGAATTAAATTTTTTTAAAAATCAGTCGGATGTAACCTAATTTAATTTGATTTTCTATATTTAATGTAATTTTAAGTTGTTTTTTTTTATAATTTATTTGTTTGATTATTGATTTTTTATAAATATAATATTTAATATATATAGAATTACTTGATTAGAATGGAAATTTTTACGTATAATTGTAACCAACAAAAAATTTTCTTAATTAACTGGATAATCGATCATAAATGATTGAACTGCCTCTGACTCAGGCGCCCACCAAAATGAAGAATTGGAACATGATCAACAACCTAAGAAACCAAATCCAAATTCATTTGCTTGAAAAAAAAAAAAGAATCCAAATTCTTTTTTTTTTCCTCTTTCAATATGAATTCGTGACAAGTTGATTTGGTGATGATTAATGATAAGGGTCTGACCTTCTGCAGCTAAAAATTAATTTACTGTTAATTAAGCTGTTACAGGTGTCTTGTCAGTTTTTTATCGTTAATTACTTGATTGAAATATCCTTTATTCTTATCATATTATTATTCTTATCATATTATTTAATCATATCATTTCGTATTTGATTTATATTTATCAAATTAATATTATTTGTGAAAAAAGTAAAACTAATGCTAATCATGTCGTTGATAATTGGTTCATGCAATTTTTAAAAAAATTAATATTTTTATTTTTAAATTATGATATTTAAAAATAATAGTAAGGATAAATTTAAAAAATTAAGAATAATTTCCTAATTAATTACTTTATCCAATTTGTCTACTTCTTGTTGTACGTGATCGACAACGTCGTTATCTCGAGCAAGCAAAAACCAATTTGAATACCGCTTCAATCTTCAGTGAACACGTCACTTAGTCGTTTCCATTGAATTAAAACCCATTAAAAAGATTGGGTTCATAGGCATTGAATTTCGTGGTCACGGAATGATCGAACTTGGAGAAGATAAAAGAAACAAAAGAGAGATTTAAGACTTAAGAGAACATAAAAGCCAAAACCTTCTAACCTGACAGGACATATTGGACACCATTTAAGTTGATAGAGATGGCAAGGCATGTAGCGTGATAAGACAGCAACAGCAACTCACAACCTAACTGGAACAGGTAAAGCTACTGCTCATGACATCGCCCTTTACAACCCCAAGCTAGCATATCTATAGGAAAGATTGATTACATGCAATATGTTAAAAGAACTTGAAGAGATATAGCTAGCCTATGATCATTACTACTATTGTTGAACATTAATGTCAGGTCACTGGAGATAAGATAATTTAAAATAAAATAAAATGATACAATAATAAAAAATAAAAATGATATAATTTAAATTTTTCATAAAATTAAATAAATTTAGTAAAATACATTTTTTTAATTTTTTATATTGATATAAATTATAATATATAATTTTTAAATAAAATAAAATAAAATATATAAATTATTAATATTTTCATAATACAAATATATAAATTATTATATCTACCTAATTGAACTTTAAGCAGAGAGTATGATAATCCCTAACTTGGCATGGGCTACAACTTACCTTGTACCTGCATTAAAGTCTGGGGCAATGTCTGCCTGCATTTAATAACATACCGGAGCTCATCATCAACCATATGTAACATCAGAAGAGGGTAGGCCAAGCCATTAAATCCCCAAACTACCGCATTCCAATGGAATGCTTATATATGAGTGCAATTGTGTGTATATATATATAATATCAACAATAGGCTAGAATTTCAATCCGATATGGATGGATCTTGCATCCAGACATTGAGCTTTAATCCAAAATCCTGTTTGTGGAACTCACAGTACTTGCAAAATGATCAATTACATGTGTTATTTTTCACATTCCTGGATATCAAAAGAGAGAAATGATCATAGGAATGGCAGCAAAGGTTCTAGTTCACATAGACTTTAAGAACGGTAATCGCTTGCTTATATATATATAAAAGGTTGTTCCAATGAGCCTTGAATTACAAAAGCCCCATAATATTGTTTGTGACCTCAGAAAGTCATCGACTAGTGGATTACCCATTATGTTTATTTTTTTCCCAATGGCCCATTATATAATCTAAGTCCAACATATGTCAAGCAATAATGGAGCGCCCCAAAAGCTTGTTGAAAACTGTTTCAATTGACCATTGAATGAATATGAACTGATAATTTGTTCACAAACCGAAAATAGTCTTGTAAGAACAGCTCATTTGAAAATTTGGCCACCTAAACTCCTCCATCGTTGTGTTCAAATCAAAGGTCATTTATTCTTTCTTTTGTCATTACTAGTGCTTGTTATTATTGAACACAAGTATGTTACCATGTAATGGGAGTTTTGGGAAACTTTGATGTAGGCGAAACAGCATTTATGAGTTTCTGCAACAAACATAGACCCACCACCTCAAGTGAGGACTCCAATGACACAACCCAAGCCCAAATAGCTCTGCAGGCGACTCTCTATTGTTGAAGTAACATCCCTTTTCATATATGTAGATCTAGTAATATGCACCATGAGCTTTCACGCAACGTGTGAGGATCTAAGCGCTAAATTAGCTGTATAAGTCCATTCCCAGCTTGGCAATTGGATTTTATTGTCTACTTGAGAATGGTTTACTGTAGAAATTTTGTGCAGGGAAAACAGTTCAGATCACTTTGTAGTAGGGATGGTTGTGGGGTTCTTTTTTTCCCTCTTTTAAGCCATAGATACAGAAAAGGGAATGTCAGTAATTTGATCGACTAAAGAAGAAATGCATTGGCGCAATATATCCCAGAGGCCACGGCTCCCAAGGAAGAGTAAAATTCTTATAAATCGCCAATAAAAATTTACATGTATGGTAAAAAATACTCACAGATACAACATAACTTTTCTCTTCTCCCAAGTTATTTTGCAAAATATTATCACACAAAACATGCAAGAATCGTGAATTAATATGATCAGAAGCATGAACTTGGATCCACCTCTGGTTGAGAGTAGTGATTAAACATTCAATAAACAGGGGTCTAGCCTGTATCATAGTGTATAACTTTTTCTTGAGAAGACTTCATCCAGTTACCCTCGACTTACAAAGACTGATATTACATCATGCAGTCACGGAGAAAGATTGAATCAGCCTCAAACTAGAACTGTAAGAGCATCATTATAACCATTGAAGAGGCAATGAGAAGATAAACTGCAACATATTCAATGTAAAGACCTGCAAAAGAGACAATGACTACTCAGAGAGAGGCAAAGACCGTATGTTTGAGGTGTAACTTTATTCAAAGATTATCTTGTGTAAACCCTATGTTTGACCAACACATTTTAACATCCAACTTGACTCAGCAACTCAACATCAATTAAACATTTACAGTCCGCATGGTCAGACCGACATCCACAAATTCCTCTCATCTCAAAGTGATTACAACAATTTGAGGAGTTAAAAGGCCTATTTCTTACCACTTTGAGCATTTGTTGCAGCAGGTAGTGCAGGAATTCTGACAGCTGCATGCCAAAAGCCCAGGTGAAATAAATAAAAGAGGACAGAGTGGGAAAACAGCATATGGTAATTTGAAACTATTTTCTAAAATGGACTACCCCTTCTAGCAGTAAACTTGAGATTACATACTTTTATTGCATGATGAAGATGGTAGAAGTGACAGAGAGGGCCATGGAGCTGGAATATTATCATTTAGATCGCAAATGAAACTGATCCCAGAGAACTTGTCAAATGTCGCATCAGAGGGCAAGCTTGGCAGGAGGCATCCAGATCCTAAAAGCAGTTGAAAAAACATATTAATTAAATGATCAGGGGGGTGCTGGATAATCTTATATGCTCATTTTGCACATGAAGGGTACAAACGGTTGACAATTAATTAAAGTTTTCTAGCTCCGAAACAGGCATGAATCTTCCAGTTGTAACACTCCCATCCCATCTTTCCTAAATCCAAGGGCAAACAACAAAATAGCTAATGCTTCTCTTACTAAGGAGAACTATCTCTAGGTAGCATGAGCAACATTGTTGCTTTCAGACAGAGCTTTCAACATGATTCAAATACCATACCAAAGAAATTACAAGTCACAGTTAGAAAAAATAGAGAAGCTAAACTAACTTAAAGAAAAAAAATATAGGAATGGATTCCCTATATGTAAATGCAAATGTATGCAGCCAATTCTGAGTGTAGTAAGCATCTTACTCTGACTCGCAACTGATTCATACATGTTGTCGGTAACTAGATCAAATCGACCATGACAACAAAAACAAATAAATTGTTAGTAACAGCTCAAAATTGTCACATAACGATCAATTCAGTTTGCTCATCACAGGTGCGTCAAGATACAAAACCAACCTTGAAGGGAGAAATCCTTGAGGCTTATGTGACATAGGCTATAAACATCTTTGGTGATATTGTATTTCTGTAGCTTCAACCCTAGTGAGGTAGCACAATCCAAAGCTTGTAAGTTGGTGACAAGGGTCTGCTTTTGCAAGTGAGAAACATAGCTATCCATAGCATCACAACAAGCTGTCCGGTTACTTATTCCATTTCCACAGCTGTTTGCAACATGCCTCATGTTGGAGAAAACGAGGGGGCAAACTAAAGCAGATGACAGACCATAGAAAAAAGGACTTAAATATAAAATCAAAGAGGTAATAGAAACTTCTGTGCTACTCGATATCCACAAGGATGCTCTTATATGCATAAATCCGATGGTAAATTGGTAATACCTAAGAAGAAAGGTAGAGAGGTGAATCCTAATCTATGAATATAACACATTTAAAGAAGAGGAATTGCACATCTATTCTTTAGTCCAAACTCACCCTTGTTAACATTGCAATTGGTTAGTCCTCTGAGAACTTCCTTTGCATGATAAGAATCAAGTTTACTTGCCAGCCACCGAAGGACAACCGTTATACAATCATTTACCCTTGTTGAGTGCTCAGGTAAAACATGGGGTCCATCCATGCTCAAAGGATCAGAAGCTTTCAGTGCTAGTTTCGTTGCAGCTTCCGATATGGCACCTTGGCAAACTTGGTCGCAACATTCTTTCATAGGATCAATCTTTTCACATGAAGCTAGAAGCTCAGAAGAATCTACAGTGTTCTCAAATTCATCAACATCTTTTACTGGGCAAGAGGCTTCAGTAAGGTTTGATGGATGAATCGAGCAAATCTGCTTGAGATTATCACCAGCACCCTGGCCTGCCAAGACTTGCTCAATATCTGAGAGGCAAGGCTTGGCAAGTGTTCTATTTAAAGCAAGCAAACCAGTCTCTTTACTTGATTGACCAACAAGAATCACAAGAGTTGCATGTAGCTGCGGACAACAAATTACATTCGCCAACAATGGAGCAAATGCAGCCCAACAATCGATTGAGGTCATGCTTATCAAGCTTTGAGCAGCAGTGAAATTTAAGATACAGAGTCCTACAAAACGCCAAGTGCAAAATGTAATTAGACACTTAAACCCCCATTGCTTTGACATTCCAATGTGCCCAACTATGTAAAACATACCCGATAATTTAGGAACAGTACTATTTGTGAAGGGTGACAATGGAGAGGGTGCAAGAAGAGCAAGAAATGGCTGAGGAGCTGCACTCGGGGTAACTTCAGGTGAGAAGGCATCTACTCCTCTTTCTGTTAACATATATCCTTTAAGATGATCCAGTGGGCTGGATAAACATTCATGGTAGCCTGAAATGAAAGCATGGGTTAACGAGATGAAGATATTATACTCTTTACCAAGATAACCAGATAAGTATGATGCTAAAAAAAAGTTATATAAAGCATTCAAGCTGGCAAGAACTAAAGGCTTACAATATATCAGAATCATAGTGCCAATAATGCAAGAAAGTAGAGGTTCATTAAGTTAAACAGTCAATAGAGCACTTTACTAAAAATTGCAAATACTATTTCCAATCAAGAACCTTCCCACATAAAGTACGGAACTTTACGAAGGCTTATTTATTGTCAAATCCAAGAACGAACCGTTTCTCTAAGGCCAACAATACAAATAAAAACGTAAGAAATGTAGGCTAAGATTGGCCACACAAAAATGCAATTTTGACAACAATGACCCAACCGTTAAAACTAACAGATCATGCTAAAACAAGCAAAAGCCAGGAGAAGAAACAAGAAACAAGAGTTGAAAAATCACTCACAGGCAAAAAACATAAACAACTGAAGCATTAGCATGCTAAAACTGTGCTTGAAAGACACCCCAGCACTCATGTCTTCTTTCTCCCTTGATAAAAAGTAAGGTTGCAAGACAAGAAAACCAAAAACCCAAAGTTGAAAAGATATTAGAATAACGGTTAAGGAGTTATAGAAGTGTGGGAATGTAAGAAAAGAAAGAAGGAAGCCAAGGCATGGCATACAGAGAGCGAAGAGAGCCCAGAGAAGCCATGAATGAGCTTCAAAGCGTAAGCAGTGAAGAGTAACGAAAATATATGTCCTCAAGTAGACCCTACATTCAAATTAAGCAATCAGATGTAAAAACACCCACTGGTGTATAAACGCCATCAATACCCTTTCTTTTCTTTTTCTCTCCAGTCTCCCCTCCATTGACACGTGTAACGCAATGTTTCTGAGACGAGTGAATGCTGTTGGGGTTGTGATATGCCACGGGGCTGTTTGATGAGAGTTGTTGTGTCTCTGGTTATGCTTCCTTGGGTGTATTACATAAGTGTTGGACCTGACAACCAGGTGACAAATTAAATAAGGCTCTATGTCAAGCCCAAAAATAGAACTGACATGAGCCCAATAGGCTTAAAGACAAGCCTAACTAATGACCCAAAGGTCCAAACATTGCAGAATCATCGACATTGTTGTTGAAATTGCTGAGTTAATACATATCATCAAGTACACCATTTGAGCTTTCCTGTCCTTAATGTCGAACTGATTTTTATGAAACTATTTTTCTTGTAGTAGCTTATTTTAGTAGGTCTTGTTACAATAATTTTGTTTATTTATTACTAAGGCAATCGTAGAATATATTATTTATTTCATTGTAAATCATAATAGAGCAATAAATTGATCAATTACTAGACTTGAAGGATGAAGATAGCCAAAAGAGGAGAAATTTAAAAATTCATAATTTATATTTCACAAATAAATTACAAGAGAAATTGGTTAGACACGCATATTGAAAACACAATTTTAATTATACAAGCTGGAATTTGAACTGAAGAATAATGCTTTATTTATGAAATGAGACTATGGCCAAGAGACAGTTAAGGGAATATCAAAATCAGTTTTGAATTGCTATGAGAGGAAATGATCAACCCATTCACAAATACCTTCTAAAATAACTTCTGAAGTTTGGACGGGATTAAGCCATATAAGATAACTAGGGCTTTGAATATGTCATGAATCCATCTTATGTCTGGCAAATGACTTGTTTCAGCAAAAGTTAAAAGGTCAAATTGACGAGTCTTTCTTCTAGTTGGTTGGATTTGGTATCCCATGGTTTCGTTGATATGTATCAGGGGATACAACCACCAAGGTTCGTTTAAAAATGGAAGCAATTTATAAGGTGTTTGGAGAATGTGAGACTTGTTGAGCTTGCAAAGCCTTTGGAGTATGAGTCTGTATTCTGTAGAGTAGAGGAAAATTCCTTTGTCTAGTGAATATGGACTACAGTCATATACTGCTGTAAAAAGGCATGTGACAGTATTTTCACTGTTGACTTGACAGGATAAATAGGATGATGATGTAGAAATTAAAGATCTGTGGATGATGACGTAAAAATTCTCATGGAGATGTCTAATGGATTGGATCCACGAACTTAAAGATTTAAACTACTCAAAAAAGGTTTTGAAATTACATTGTAAGGGGTTTTCCTTCTAATTAGTAGGTGTGGGGTAGGTAAGGTCTTGCAGAAGGTGTGCAATCTTAAATTCTATTGCAATAGTTTAATTTTGGCAAAAATACCATAAGAAAAGTATTACTTCTTTTGAAAGTAACACCGTGAAAGAGATAGCGTACAAATGGAGGAATGGATATTGGAGATGGATTCCAATGGGTTGGATACCAAAATCAGCATCGCTTTGGATGAGGATAGACCGGTATCTATAAAAGGAATCCTTGGCCTTTGCATCAATGGTTTCTTTTGCAATGATTTGCTGGACTTTTGATGGGAGTTGTTCTAATTAATGGAACATTTAGGTCATTAGGTAGGTTAAAGGTATTGGACCTGAAACAATAAACACAATAATACAAAAGTAATATATCACAGTAAATTAATAGTAATAGACAATGATCAATAATTAACAATGCAGAAAAAATAAAACACATCAAAATTTACGTGAAAAACCCTCAAATGTAGAGAAAAAATCACGAACCACTAGAAAAAAATCTTCACTATCAAATAATTAATATACAAAGTTCTTCTTTAGCTAAAACTAGAACTAATCAACAACTAAAAAGATAATTGGAAAAATCTCATCAAATATATAACTCAACAAATATATCATAGATTTGTTTTTAAAAAGCTTCAAACCCGATCTTCATCATATAAAATGTAGAACTCTGAATCATAAACCTGCTGATAAAATTTTAGCTCAATCGGACTACGGATTGACTTCCATTCAATTAACTCTCCTTTCTCTCTTTTCTTTCTATTTTTTTGACTTTTTTTTTCTCATTTCTTTTCTTAGTTTGCAACGCCTCTTCCTTTTTTTTTAGGTAGCTAGGGTTCTGTATAAAAAGAAAGACTAAGACCCATGGCCTTTGATTGGTCCAAACATAATTACATAGGACTAGATCCTATTTTCCTAACAATCTCCCCCTTCAGTCCCATTAGAAAAAGATTCATCACCATAGTAGTTTCATTTAGAATTTACCTTGGCCAAGGAACTCATTCTGACCAAGTTAGTGCAGAGCTTAAGCTTTTCTATGAGAAATATCTTAGTCAATATATATGCTACATTTTCATCTATTTGGATTTTTTTCAATAGCATTTATCGTTCCTCAATCATTAAACGTAACCGGTGATATCTAATATTAATTTGCTTCATTTAGAATGGTACATGACATTCTTACTCAAATCTAAAGCACTCTAACTATCAAAGAATACCATATATTCTTTCTGATTCAACTATAATTCAAGAAGAAAATATTTCGTCCAAAGCATTTCTTTACCTGTTTCAATTGCTGTAATATACTCAGCTTCTGTAGTTGACAAAGCAACACATTTCTATAACTTAGGCTACCAAGACCTGCTTTCCTGTAAAAGTGAACAAATACCTTTAAGTAGATTTCTTACCATCAAGATCACATGTCATGTTAGCATCAGTAAACCCTTCTAGAACTGGTTGTGAAACTTTATAACTTAAGCATATTTTTGAAGTGCCTCTCAAATATTTAAAAATCCATTTCACTGTTTCTTAGTGAACCTTTTTCGGATTAGAAAGAAATCTGTTCACTATATCAACTGCATGAGCAATATCAAGCCGTGTAAAAATTATAAGATACATCAAAGAACCAATTGCAAAAAAATAAAGAATACTAGACATAGCTAGTTGCTCTTCCTTAGTCATCGGATAAAATTTTTTACTCAGATGAAAATGGTTGACAAGTGGACTGCTAACTGATTTAGCATGTTGCATGTTGAATCTACTAAGCACTCGTTCAACATACTTTTCTTATGACAATTACAGCTTTTTAGCTCTCTTATCCCAGATAATATTCATACTGAGAATATGCTTTGTTGGACCTAAATTTTTCATATCAAAAGACTTGACAATTATTCTTTCAACCTGCAAATCATACTAGCATCTTATCATGTAACCAACATATTATCAATATATAATAAGAGAATAATGAAGTTACCATCAAAAATTTTTTTGATATACACACAAGGATCAGCTACCATTCTTTTATAGCTATGGCTCACCATAAAAGAATCAAATTTTTTGTACCATTGTCACAAAGCTTGTTTAAGCCATACAAGCTTTTTTTCAGTTTACAAACTAAGTGCTATTTTCCTTTCACTTCAAAACCTTTAGGCTGATTTATATAAATGACTTCTTGCAAGTCACCATATAAGAACGCAGTCTTGAATCAAGTTGCTCAAGCTCAAGATTCAAACTAACTGCTAATCTCAGTACCACTCAAATGGAACTCATCTTCATAACTGAGGAGAAAATCTTATCAAAATCGATTCTTGATTTCAGAGAAAAACTTTTCACTATTAATCAAGCTTTGTACCTCACTGATTTATCAACATATTTTTTCAACTTGAACACTTATTTATTTTTCAACGATCTTCTTTATTTTGGAAGTTTAACAAGATTATAAGTATTATTTTTTTTTATAATGACTTCATCTTTTTTTTATTATTTTTAATCAGTGCTCTCTATTTGGAGTAGCCTGCACATCTTGAAAGCTCTCTGACCTCCTTTCACTGGTAACTAAAATAAAATCTAAACTCGGATACCTGATAGATAGCTTGTGCTCTTTAATAGATCTTTTTAGCTGAAACTCTACATCACTTAATACCGAAGATAGCTCCCCTTACTCAACACTCTCAGGTAAAAAAGATTGTTTTGCCTGCTTAAAACTAATTACATCTGGCTCATCACTAACTGTGATTGGCTCATTTATATCTTCAAGTTTTATTTTTTTCTTCATTTTCACTATCAGTGACGCTTTCTTATGAAATCTCTATTGGTGTTGAAACATCACACTCAATAGTAACTATGTAGACTTTTCATTTTTTTTAAGATTTGCTATGGTTTCTTTTTCATGAAAAACTATATCTTTACTTTTGACTGTCTTTTTCTTCACTGGATCTCATACCCTATAGCCAAATTTCTTATCATCATATCCTATAAACACATACTATATGGCTTTACTGTCAACCTTTGACTTCTATTTTTTCATCACATGCATGAATGTTTTACACTTAAAAACTTTTAAGTAAAAGTATGAAGCATTTTTTCCTATCCCACTCTTTTTAGAATGTCAAAGCTCAAAAAAATGATGGTGGTCTGTTAAGCAAATAACAAGCTATGTTAATTGCTTCACCCTAGAATGGTTTTGATAATTTTATCATCTTTAACATATATCTAACTTTTTTCATAATGGTGCAGTTCATCCTTTCAGCTACATCATTATGCTATGGTGTTTTAGGTTCTATCATCTCATGTATGATTTCATGCTTTGAACGGTACTCTTCAAACTCTTTGGATGTATATTCTCCATTATTATCAGTTCGAATACATTTCAAACATAACCCTGTCATTCTTTTCATCATGGTATGAAATTTTTAAAATTACTGTAATATTTAGCTTTTATTTTTCAACATATACACTCAAGTTATATGTGAAGCATCATCAATAAAAGTAACAAAATACTTGCTACCACTTAATGACTCAACTTCAATGGGATCATATATATCAGAATAAATCAATTTTAATCAATTTTTTTCTTTGAGAACTCTTACAAAAAAAACTTTACAATTCTTATCAAATAAATAATGATCACATGAATCAAGAGACGTAACTTTAGTCAAGGGAATAAGAGACTACTTTACTAAAAACTTGTAACCCATTCTCACTTATGTGTACCAACCTCTTATAACACAAGTTTGTTGAGGCATCATCCTCAATGGCATTTATCTTATTGTCATTCAATTACATTTATGTCTTGTATATTGTGTGACATAGTTTTTCCCTTGTAACTATCATAGATCTTTTGAGAAATTTTTACTATTTATTCTTTTGTTGACTCTCATATCCTTCTTTATCAAAGACATTAATAAAAAGTTAATTCATTCTCATATATGAAATGTGTCTGACATCTCTCAACGTCAACATGTAACCTGTATTAGTTTGTACAATAATATCATCAATTAATATCACCAATCCCAACAATCTATGATATACTCTTATTTTTCATCTTGGTGTAATCAAAGTCTCTTACTTTGTAAAGTATAAATAACTTTTTCTTAGGAACACAATAATATGTCGCTCTTTTATCAACTATTCACTTAATATCATAATCACTAACGTGATTATAATCATTATGTATACAAATTAAAGTAACTAAATCACTATTTGAATTCACTACTGTAACATTACCATCATCCGAACTCTTACCTTTCTTATCTTTTCGCTCTTACTTTAAGATTTACAGTATCATTTTATATGACCTACTTTATCATAATGAAAGTACTTCATTTATCTCTAGACTTAAAACTATGTTTAGACTTACTACGACTTTTTGAATTCTAACTCTGTCGATGTTTCTACCTCTGTTCTCTATGACTAGAGCTTGATTTTTAAGGTCTGAATCTTTTCGCCTTACTTTTTCATTAAGCATATTGTCCTTTACCATCTCCAATATCATTTGGTAATTATAAGCTAAATTAAAAATAGTCACAACTAGAGAATTTTAGTTGTTTAGCAATGAACTCAAAAGAAATAATGTTTTTATTTTATCATCCACCTTAAGCTTATAGTAGTCATCCGATTAAATATATCTTAAAAATCACTCGAGTGCTCTGTAATCTATCATCCATTCTTGTATTGTAAAGTTGTAAGTTTTTTAACAAGCATAACTTTATTCATCATATTTTTCTCTCATACAATGATGCTAATTTTTTTTAAATAGTGTGGGCATCTGTCTCTTGTGTTACATGATGAAACACGCTGATATCAACCTATTTTTTTTTATTATAATCAGTATTTTTTTGTCTAACTTCTTTCATCTTTTATCTTTTAGCTTTCATCTTTCATATCTGCTGGTTTAATCGAATCACATAATATCGGCTCATACAAATCTTTACAGTATAAATAATCTTTCATCATAGGCTTCCAAATTAATTAATTTGATGCTGTCAATTTTATCATAGAACATATATCACCCTCTATGATCTAAAACAGAATTTACTTTTATCTTGGGCTGTTTTTGTTTTGATGTCTTAAAAATAACCCTAAATCTAATATCATTTGTTAGGCTAAAAGTAATAAACACAACAACACAGAAGTAATATATCGCAATAAACTCATGTAATAGACAAAAATCAATAATCAACAAAGCAAAAAAAATAAAGTATATTAAGATTTATGTGGAAAACCTTCCAGTGTAGAGGAAAAAATCATGAACCACCCGAAAAAAATCTTCACTATCAAATAATGGATATACAAAGTTCTTTTCTAGCTAAAACTAAAGCTAATCAATAACTAGAGAGATAATTGAAGAAATATCACTAAATAAGTGACTTAACAAATACACATTGGATTTGTTTCTAGAGAATTTCAAACTTGATCTTCACTGTTTGGAATGTAAAACTCTGAATCATAAGCCTGTTGACAAAATATTAGCTCAATCGAATCATGATTTGACTTCCGTTCAATTAACTTTTCCTTTTTCTATTTTTTTTATTTTTCTGGCTTTTTTTTTCTCATTTCTTTTTTTGGTTTGCGGCGTCTTCTTTTTCTTTTTTTTTAAGTAGCTAGGGTTCTATATAAAAAGAAAAAACCAAGGCTCATGGTCTTTAATTGGTCCAAACCCAATTACATAGGCCTAAAGCAATAAACACAATAACACAAAAGAAATATATCGCAACAAACCCACAGTAATAGACAACAATCAATAATCAACAACGCAAAAAAAATAAAGCACACCAAGATTTACATGAAAAACCCTCAAGTGTAGTGGAAAACACCACAGACCACCAGAAAAAAAATCTATACTATCAAATAATGTATATACAAAGTTTTTCTCTAGCTAAAACTAGAACTAATCAACAAATAGAGAGATAATCAGAGAAATCTCACCAAATAGGTGACTCAACAAATATCCCATGGATTTATTCCTAAAGGGCTTCAAACCCGATATTTACTGTTCATAATGTAGAACTTTAAATTATAAACCTGCTGACAAAATTTTAGCTCAATTAAATCACAAATCGACTTCCATTCAATCAACTCTCCCTTCTCCTGTTTCTCTCTATTTTCCTGGCAATCTTAAATTCCATTGCAATGGTTTAATTTTGGCAAAAATACCATAAGAAAGTATGAATTCTTTTGAAAGTAACACCCATGAAAGAGATAGCGTACAAATGGAGGAATGGATATTGGGGATGGATTCCAATGGGTTGGATACCAAAATCAGCATAGCTTTGGATGAGGATAGACTGGTATCTCTAAAGGGAATCCTTGGCCTTTGCATCAATGGTTTCTTTTGCAATGATTTGCTGGACTTTTGATGGGAGTTGTTCTAATTAATGGAACATTTAGGTCATCAGGTAGGTCAAAGGGAGCTTATCTGATAGATTCTTTGGAAGAGGACAGGTGATTTCAAATTTGAGGAAGAAGGCTGAGAGGGATTCATCATTGGGAAGTGAATTGATTAATATAAGATGCTTTTGACGAGAGAGGAAAACATAGAATCGATGGAAATACATACATATAGGAGGCCTGCCCTGGTGGTTTTGCCGAGTATTTCAGATGTAGTTGCAGCTGTGGCTAGCTGCTAATATTTCAAAAGTTTGCCAGTGTTGGTCTCTACCAATCATCAATACGCGTCTTACACACAGAATCCTAGTCTTAACTCTCAGTTGGCATAAATAAGATATTTGGCGGGGCTTTTTTGCCTTATTTTGATCTTATCGCTGTTCTCGCCTGATCACCTTACTCTTAACATTAACCACCATTGAGTTCTTATTTCCATTGGGACTTTGTATCCGATTGCGAAAGACACCCCTTGTTCTCAGATATTTCCTTTACAAATTCAAAAAAATGAGTTGGGACTTGGGTGGAAGTTGATATGGTAATTTACTAATTTTTGATTGTTTATTCGCCTAAAACTATGCATAACAAGCCCTCCAACAGGAAACAAAAAAAAAAAAAAAATCTAAAACCAACATGTTTAAATATTATTAATTACTGAAAATTTTCATGCATCAGAGTTCAGGATATACACATCAACAATCCAGAATGACCTAGTCTCTATGTACAATAACCGTAACAAAATTATTTCCAAGTCTAATATAGTTTTCATTTTTCAAGGCAATCAAACCCAGAAAACTGAGGATGAAGAAATTCATGGAATATATTGGCACCATCTACGACTCATTAACTAGTTCACCTCCGGAATACTTTGTAGCACCGGCTTCCATGACCGGTGGTGCTCCTCCTCGTATACATTTCCACCCTTAACCATCCTGGCCAGGACTTGTTCAAGAGTCAAACCCTGCATGTCCACCTTCTGTACCAATTTCTCGAGCTCCTTCTTTGAAATGGTTATCTTCAGCACTCTGGAATTTGCAGCTCGCTTGCCACCAATAAACTTCTCCTTCTCCATAATGCTAATCTCACCATCATCTGTTCCTTGCCTGTGAGTTGACACCAAAGATCCCCACTCGTCGTTATCAGCCCAAGATGACTTTTCGTGTCTAATACAATTTCCCATGACTGGTTTTTTTTTTTTTTTTCAGTAGTTTCTCAGTTAATTTGTATCTATATTAATGCTATAAATTTTCAGGGAGAAGAGATGTTAAACATGGAAGGGTCACGGAATTTATAGAGGAAAGAAGCGAGGTGACTAAGGTTCCTGGAATGAGAGGACCTTGGGCTCTGGCCTTACGTGGAAACCTGATAGCGTGGTTCGTTGACCAAATTAAAATTAACAGGCTGTACAAGAAGGAACCCAGATGAGACGGTGATCTCAGCAGCCAAACCGCTTTGAGCTTGTCTGGGCGGTGTGGATGGGGCCAAGAAGGAGGTTAGCTAGGGATGGCTAAAACAAGCAACGTTAGGAGAAACCCTGCAGCTGCAACAAAGTCAAACCAATTGGGAACTGAAAGCTAAAGATAAGTGTGAAATGGATTAAGAGAGGCATCTTTGGATTAGAAAACTAAGGTGTGAACAAAAAATATGCTATTGGAATCTTTGACATGTTTCCTTCGTCCCTCACGTTGGTGCTATGCTTGATTCAAATAATTGTACACTAGCTTCATCATTAACAAATTTTGAAAAGAGTGAATATTCTATTCATATTAACTGGCTTCAAGTACTGGTAACTTGTTGACTAACTTCTGCAAATGAAATAAAAGTGATTAAATATAAAAAATGAATCAAGTAAGATAAACATGTTTTATTAATCTAAAATTCTTCGAATTTTCTCATATGAATACCTCATACATAAGTTTTTCCCATGTTTTCTCTTGAATGTGCTCAATCTTCTCAGTTGCTATAATTTGGAAAACATGTTGCATTGCATAATCAAATTCCAGGTAAGACTGTAACTTATGGTTGTGTCATCAACGTCAAAAAAAGGATCCTTCATTCAAAATAAATACTTCATTTTCTGTTAGTTGATTGGTCTATGTTGCTTTTCTTGCTTAAATTTTGCATGCAACCACCTGATTGTTGCTTATAGATGTCAGCAATATATACATTTTCCTTTGTTTTAACCTTCAATCGAGTGCTAGAAACTAGAATGAAGCCCACAGGAATGCTAAGAATGTTACAACAATGGTTATCCCAACTATAATAAAATAATCAAACATGACTTGAAATGAAGGGTTAATCGATCATCTTTGATGCATGCACTTAATTTCTCCTCGTGCAATTCCGTAAGGAAATGATAGTCCTTGATTTGCTAGCTTGTTAAACAATTATGTTTTTATTTAACAAGTTTGAAGTTAGCTTGATAATTATCATAAAAACTAATCTTGATTTCATCATCCCTGATGACCCTGACTAGCTATCAAACATCTTGATTTCTTATGAATTACAGAACTCATGGTCAATGCCGTATTTGAGGCTTTCTAGATTGCGTTACCGGTAAAATTACCCATGGTTGCTGAAAATATCTGTCTCTTGTTGCCTATTTTGAAAGGGTCGTAATTGAAATATCCAAGAGAATTAACCTTCTTAAAAGCTAGCTATGTCAGAGTTTTTCTTTGTCGTGCTTCGCCATAACTTTTTCTCTCAGGGGAAAAAAAAATAAAACACAAAACTGCAAATCTATATTTCAGATCAAACGCCAAATAACAAAGAAGAAATTAATTTCCCCAATACCGTTTGGGCTGTGGCCTGGCCTGAGTAAATATCGAACGAAATATTTCAAGGAAAAAAGTTGTTGCTATTACTACAATTAATTAATTAATTAATATTATTTATTATTCTAAATTAATTTGTCTTTTTTTTTCCAATAATTAATTTGAGTCTTTGCACGTGAGTGGATTAAGAAAAAACGATTGGGAGAGAACACCTTATAATTCAATTCCATATTAAGAAAAAAAATATTTTTTTCTTAAAAAAATATTATAATATCATATATATGACCATGCTGAGCATAAAAATTCTTGGAGCAAGTTTTTCTTCTGTTGGGAGCTTGGAAAAAATGATGAAACGTAAACAAGCCCCTGCCAAGGCTATCCAATTATAAAACAGAAGAAAAACTAGAAAGATCATCGAGCTCTTTAGGATAATACCAAAGGATCATTGAGCTGTCCCTTTCGTTTTTGGAAAGCAAAATGAAGAATTTATAGCCTCCTAGAAAACTAGAAAGTCTTCACTTTTACCTCATGGCATTTGATAAACATGTCTATTATATTTATAAGATATTCATGTTTTATTATCTTACATTATTATTTTGATGATAAAATTACTATGTATTTTTCTTTTCAGTATTATATAAAAAAATTTTATACAGATTGAGTAAAATTTTTTAATTCCTCAAATAAAATTTACGAGTTCTCGTGTGATTATTTATTAATTAATTCTTTTGATATTCATAAATATATCCCACTAATTCACTTATCAATTTTTTAATTTTGTTGATGAAATCCAAAAACTCTGTGTATATGAGATAATTATATATATATATAAATATATATATATATATATATATATCAATAGGATCAAATCTAGGATCCCCAAAGATGAGGGGTAAAGTCTCCCGAGGTGGATGCCAAAAAAATAAAGGATCATTTAAATGTATTTATATATATAAATAAAGGATCATTTAAATGTATTAAACTGGGTGGGGGATTTGATTTGGCTTCAATACACGTTTTCGGTTTGGCATTGGACTCATATATAACCTGTTGATTTAAATGACTTGCTGCTTTCTAAAACTTACTACCACAATATTTGCCAATGGAAATTTATTACTTGTTATTTGTACAAACAGGTTTGTCATATTTACATATAGCTCTGATTTTAAATATGACAATTTAAAATATAATATAGTGATGCGATATGAATATGATGTTAAAATAAGATATAAAAATGATATAGTTTAATTATATATGAATTTAATAAAATTAAAAAATATATTTTATATTTTCGTATTGACATAAATTATGATATATAATTTTTGTATAAAACATAATACGGATACATGAATTTTAATATTTTACGTGATATAAATTCATAAATCATCATACCTATCCAATTTCTAACTTTTTTTTACGTCCGGAAAAATCTAGACATCATGTAGCAGTGGAATTTCTTCCTGATCTGTAAAATAGAGCAATCAAGACCCACCAACTTATAGGTTGCAGTTAATGAGTTCAATATAAAAGCGAAATATAAACGTTATACTACACATGATTCGTGAAAGGATAATTGGGTTTTTGCTTGTGACTCAACTTGGAAAATTATACTTATATTGCTGAATTAAGGGACAGATTAGCATATATAGTTCCATTTGAAGACGTCATTGAATAAAAGAATCTAATAAAAAAAATCAAGATGAAGATTTTCAATCAACTCGTATATATATATATATATATTATCTTTTCAGGAAATTAGATTTATGTTACTCTTTTGAGAGAGCAAGTAACTGCTGATGGCGAATTGGCAACACTCCTTATTGCTGTATAAATTCAAATAACCCACTGTAATGTCGACGGACACCTGGTAGTACCACTCAAATAACTTCTCTGATTCTCTGAGAATTTGACAAAGGCGCAAAGCCAAAACAGCTCCAATTGATAGCCTGCACCATCTGCCATTCCTTTCAGCTTCCCACACACCATTATAATCACCTGCTTTTACCTGCTGGTAATATACTCCTGCTAACCAATCACGCTCAGGCACGGCTGCTACTGCTGGTCTCCTTCGGATGGATCATTCATTGCAACATTAAATCCTTCCATATATAACCAAAATTAATCTAAAGTTTATTTATATTATATAAAATATTAAAATTTATGTATTTATATTATGTTTTATATAAAATTATATATCATAATTTATATCAACATAAAAATATAAAATATATATTTTATATTTTGTTAAATTCATATATAATTATTAATATAATTTTAAATCGTATCACTTTTATATTTTATTTTTATATATATTCATATCATATTTTAAATTATCATACGTAACCAAATCCAACAACGGTAACAGTATTTTTGGAAACAAAACAATGATTATATTTGGCTTGATTTAGTCATTTACACGCATGCACTTCTTTTTTTTTTTTTTGGCAGAGTTGTTTATTTTTTATGAAAGTATTATTATTATAAAAAATTATAATTATATTCGAATATTTCACATAAAAAATCAATCAAATAAAAATAAGCCAATAAAAAAACCAACCAACAAATAATTATATAAATCCAATATAAAACTGGATCATATTCCCATATAATAAAATTTGAACTTAATATTTCAAATTAATTTCAAGATTTTTTGAGAAGAATATTTAATTCTTATTATTAGTTACACGTTGCAAATGTGAGATAATGTAACTATCTATATATATATTATGTTTTCAATATCAAAGAAATAAATACTAATAATCATGAATATTTGTAAAATTTTAACAAAAAATACTAGTATTTTTATTTTTGATTTTCAATTTTTTTTAAAGAGAAAGACAAAGACAAAAGTACACTTAAAAAAGCTCGACATTATAATAAGGTGAGTCGGGTATAGTTCCATTTTCATGCCGACTGAAGACCCAGACAAACTTACCGAAACTCGAGCCCTTTTGTTCCTGTCTCCGATGCCATCGCCATCCAAATGAGCTCATCTGGCGGGACCCACTCTCTAGCCACCGCTCGCTGCAAAACGCGGCAACGACGAAGGTGCGAAGGAGCTCCACCAACCCCTCTCTTGCACTGGACTTTCTACAACAACAACAACGAAAAGAAGAAACCGCACCGCTCATCCTCACGCGCTGAAGCAGTTGGAGATGGAGCCAAGTTTTCTGGAGGCAGACACGTGGAGCTATCTGCGAGGAAGCTGGCGGCTGGACTCTGGCAGTTGCGGTTGTCGTCTGGGTTGTTGGGCCGCGGAAATGGTGGTTTTGGCTCTAAACATAGATCCTCTGATCGGTTACGTTTAGGGGTACACGTGTCTTTTTCATTTTCCGATGTTTCTTTATGATCAATTCCCTCTTGAAATTATGGTTTCATTGTGAACTTAATAATCTTCTTTGAGAAAGACGGGTTTAGGATCGATATTGTGGTTTTGATATATCATTTTTTTTTTATTGTTGATAACGTGCTTTGCATGGGGATTTTTGGGATTAAATACGAAGTGGGTTTATTTTATTTTATTTATTGGATACTGGGAAAAATGATGCTGAAACCAGATATTAAAATGTTTCTTTCGGCTCAGTCGGATTCTTTTATAGTTGTCTTTGATTCTAAATTCTTGATATACATTTCTAGTCTTCATATAATCTTTTATAATTGATCTTCACAAAAATTTGAACCTCCATGTTCAAGTACAGATTAGGGAGAAGGAAACAGGAGTGTTGGAATTTGTCTGGACAAGTTCTTTCGATTTGATGTTTATTGATGCAAGATTTTAATGAAATCTCAGTTTCATTTGTTTTGCAAAGGAATGGAAAATATTGACATGTTTATTTTCCTCTGCAGCCTGGCATGGGGCATGTAAGTATGATGTTTTCTCAAAACCACTCTAGCAAACAGCATGGTTCAGACATGAAGCATCTACGGAGAAGCATCTTGGGTCCAACGCAAGGAACCTTTAATAAAGTATGTGTCTTAATATGAATAGAAGTAGTTGTCTGGCATTTGGTGATGACTGATGAAGCCGTCGGTCAAAACGGCAGCTAGAAGGACTCAATTCCCTTCTGGCCTTAATCTAGAGAGGCCAGAGATTGATGTTCATTCAATGGATCATTTGAAGGATAGATCCAATCTATTTGTTAGATTAAAGATTAATGTTTTGCAAACTGCATCCTATTCATCTTCATCTATGAAAAATTGTTTTCTGAAACTTGATTCTAGGATCTTTTTTCGCATTTTGGTTCATTTTGAGCTCCCTTTCTAGATTGCTTATAGGTTATGCCCGTCCCTTTCATTTTGAGCACTTACCATGAGGAACTTGCATTTTTGTTTCATGCAGTTTCTGTGCTGACTAATAAGATTGAATGTCCAGTTATTATTGTCTCTTACTTCTTCTTTTTTTTTTGTTTTTTAATTTGTTGAACTTTTGTAGCTTGAGCTTCTTGAAGATCAAGTTAAAACCTTGTCTTTTGGGTCTGCGCTGCAAGCAGAACTAGTGCAAGCTAAATTATACATTCATGACCTTGAATATGAAGTGCGGTCCTCTAGAAAAAAGGTCAAGTACCTACTGAGGAAGCTTGGTGATGAAAGAACGTCACAACAGAAAAAGGAACACGATAAGATTTGTGCACTTATTGATGATTTGAAGGGTCAATTGAGCAGGGAAAGAAAAATGCAACAAAGGATGGACGTTATTAATTCTCAATTAGTGAAGGAGCTCGCTGAAGCTAAATTATCAGCAATGCAGTTAGTTCAAAAATATGAGGAAGAAAAAAGGACCAGAGAGCTATTGGAGGAAGTATGTAATGAGCTAGCTATGAAGATTGGAGAAGATAAGGCTGAAGTTGAAGCCCTGAGAATAGAAACCAAGAAAATTCGAGAAGAGGTGGAAGAAGAGAGAAATATGTTACAGGTGGCTGAGGTTTGGCGTGAAGAACGTGTCCAAATGAAGTTGATTGATGCTAGGTTGGCTCTTGAAAGTAAGTACTCTCAGATGAACAAGCTGATAACTATTCTTGAAACTTTTCTCAAGTCAAGAAGCACAAGCATGGATTTGACAGATTTAAGAAAAGCTGAGCTGATTGCACAGGCCGTAAAATCAGTTAACATTCAAGATATGGAGGAATTTTCTTATGAGCCTCTGAGATCCGGGGATATATTCTCAATCCTTGAAGAACTACACTCAGTTGAAGTTTGTGAAAGGGAAATTGAACCATGCTTTAATTACTCTTCAACTGGTGATGTTTTTATTTACCAGCCTGTGAGTCCTGAGAAAAATGATCATGATAACGACCACTTGCGGAAGCGCCCAAGTGGCTTTGTTGATTATAACAGTAGCAACGAAGAAGATAACAAGGGCAGGGAAAGAGTTAATCATGTTGAGAATCAGGTTTCCGTTCAAGAAAGTGGTCATTCTATTATCACAGTTGGTGGATGCAAAAATGCTCCAAGGTGTGAAATAGAACAGGATGAAACCGCTGGTAGATGTTCTCCAAATACAGAAACTATTGAAGTATGCTCAATATCTGCAGAAGAGTCAAAGTGGAAGACATCTTCTGCAATGCTTAGGATATCATGTGCAAGTAGTAGTGGATCCTATAAAGCAATATCAGACGAAGGTAATGGAAGGCTTTCAAATGGAAAAGTTTCCAGTCTGGGGACAAATTTTCCAAATTGGAAGTCTATTAAAGGTGGACTTGAGCACCCAAAGCCAATGGGGAAGTGTGGCTCTACACACTTGGTAAATCCACACATAGCTCGAGGCATGAAGGGGCCCGTTGAATGGCGAAGTGGCTTCCAGAAAAATAGTTTGAAGGCAAAGCTTTCGGAAACCAGGGCTGAAAGCAAGAAAACTCAATTACACAGACACAATACTGGTTGATAGATAGGCAAACTATAGGTTTTTTCAATATTTGTTAAGAGCCAGTATCCAAGCAGCAGGAATATGGCCCTGAAAGTCATGTTAATTAAAAGCTATACTTTTCTTAAGGTTCTCTTCCCAGACACTGACACGAGATCTGCTGTTGCTAGGTGCTGCCTATACTTTGAACTCCAGTCACTTTCAACTCTGGTGAAAGATTCTTCCCGTCATGTATCAAGTTTGTTTTCACGAAGTCCTTGCTGTTGCCAAGCAAGGCATCCTTGCTTATTTGTAAAACTGATATAATAACTAGACTTTATCAATATATGATTCTTTTAGTTGAAACTGCTCGACAAATATCTTCCTTTATTTTCCTTATTACTTTTCAATTGATAATTCTATTTGTTTTATATCAGGATTCACGTTGTAGCATCGAAAACACTAGTTTTCCCTTCACAATTTCTGAAAGCCTTTCGAGCTATATATTTCTCATGAAACATTCTTTTAACTACAAGAAACCCCTTTTCCCTTGTCCAACGAATTTATGATGATGTTTTTTTACAAGTTCAGCATCAACAAAGGAACATAACACTGTAATTTCTTGTAATTTGCTTTTGGCTTTGACAATCTTGTACTAGAAATGTAGCTTAATTTAAATGCAAATTTGAAATTACAGCCTCATTTCTGTCTATCAGAAATGCCATTATGCCAATGCGCATGTTCAAATTCTTCTCTATGCTAGACCATTCTTTTTATTGTGCGGGTGGGGCAACACCCATGGAATTGCTTGCGAAGTCGTTGACAACTTTGGGCTCATTTCCAAGAAAGGAAAAAAAAAACACAAATAAAAGATTTAGATGTCTGTCTTGTAGAGAAAAGAAAAGAAAAGAAAATCTCAGATGCCAAGACGTGATTGTCCTTCTTGTTCACATCACCGTAGACCCACCTCCTTAAACTTTCATTACTACAATTATTTCTCTTGATATCATGCATTGTCTGACATAGAAAACATAACTTAATTTCCAGTTGCCATTGGCATTGGACATTCATCATCAGCTTAAAGATATCGCCAGTGAAGTCCAATCTTGTCTGTCTCCCATGACCCATATTAAGTCATTTACATTGTCTATGACAAGTTAATTAGATTATAGTAGTTAATTAAGACTCTTGCTGGCCTAATCCGCATATATCAGTAGTAGTACATTGTTTGCGCTCTCATGTCGTCTAGCACAACACAACCACGTTTTCAAGCTTCATTATCAACTGATATATGAAAGAAAACATTTCAAATATCCAATATATGTAGTTAGTGGAAACCTCGACTTCCTTCTTATAGTCACACTCACAGCCTCAGCTACGCTTTAATGATTGCTTTGGGCTAATCTACACGGGCTGAAAAGCCTATGAATAGTTTGTACATAACTTGACTTATGTTACAGAACAGAGATCCTTTAGGCAGAGTTGAAGTCCAAATCAGGACAATTACCACATATTGCCCACCTTGCTGTATTGTGGGGTTTGAATTGACAATTCTACGACCACCTACCAACATTTGTTACATGACAGATAACAAAAGTAACTGATCATTTCGCAAAGAAGGATCTCAATTGATTCTTGTATTATGCAAATTGAGACCATCTTTAAAGATTACATCCAGCCTAGCAATTCACTAGTTCATATACATTAAATGGGATAATGGCCTTATATTTATATTTTGAAAACAAATGAAAAGTGATCAAAATCAAGCATTCACAGATTCCTTCAATCTAGATAGTTATGAATCATATTGAGATGAGAAAATTAAGGATAACTTATATTTTTAGGATCTCTAGCTATATCATAAACACATTTAACATGAGTTCTAATCCATATATGAAGTTCTACTTGATTCTGTGGCTGAAAAGTTATTATATTAATGAGAAGGTGACTTAAGGTTGAGGATTTACCTAAACTGGGCTTTGCAGTTTAAAATACTTCCTTTATGTTTTTTCTTTGGTTGAATCACCTAAAATAAGCTATAAAGCAGTATGATTAGAGTTTTGAAACAATGTTGACATGCATCTGAACATCATATCTTCCTAAAACCTAGTATAATTAAGTTTTCAAATGACAAATTTCAAGGTATATGAAGAATGAGGAATTATTAATCATCAAATGCCTCAATTTTCATAAATTAACAAATTATTTGGTGTATCAGATAACTAAATTGAAATCCTTAATCAAAATATGATTACTTCAGGCAGAAATTGAGCTTGATTTGATCTGCCTTGGGGACCTAGTTACACTTAACAAATGATAAACAAGGAACCATAGTGCATGGCTTCATGATTAAATGAAACCCCAAAACTCAATCTCAATGAGAAATGGACTTGCCAACAGCACTAGAACCACAAGGTCTAGGCACCCACACCATGCAAGCACTCCTTTGATTAGCAATAACCTCATGTAAGCATATACTTTTCTCGTAACAGATAATTGAGATAACTTCATGATTTGAAAGTGACTTTTTTTTTTTCATTTAATTCATGGAAAGACACTACACTTGAAGAAGGTATAGTATAGTAGCTAATTGTTACCTAAAATCAGAGATAGACACATGGGGTTCAATGGCCCAACATTTACAACTATTTTTTATTAATCAGGTCAATAATTCATTGTTAATTATATATCTAATTAATATGGGAAAGCACTAGAAAATTGAGCAGCAATTATGAAAGGTCCTTGATGATCAATTTGAAGAGGCAATACGGTCAAACAAGATGATCCCTTTATGCCTTGGAAGGGTAAGATTCTTGCCATTTCATATTTTTTAATGGCAGATTGATTCATTGTTGAATAAATTACACAATATAGGAATCCTTTTATCGGAAGAAAAAGATTCTTTCCTCTTTTTATTTTTTTTAATAGAAAGATGCTTTTCGAGTATTTGTTTGTTTTGTACATGTTTTATATAAAATATATATATATTTGTTTTAATTAACAAAAGATTGAAAAACTATTGCAAACTAGTTTTAAATCCATGCTATGTATGGATCATTAAATGAATTTATTTTAATTTAATAACCTATAATTTTTTTTTGGCCAAAACGTGTAATATTATTTAAAAATAAATATAATTGCAATTTTAGATAACAATTAAATTTTAATTTTCATGCTAAACTGGTAAAGTAATTAAAAGTATATTAATAATGCATGGTAAATTGTGCAATTATTTATTAATATAGTTTATCAAAAAAAATTATTGATATAAATCTAATCACTCTAAATAGGGTTGTCAAAAAACTCAAACTCAAAGCTTTATTGATAAATGTAAAAATGTCCATGTTTATATAGTTATGATTTAGTCAACAAAATAAATTTTTTTAAATTTCAATAATATAAATAGTTGAGTATGAATTAAAAGACATACTTATGAAATGAAATGACAATATAGTACCCCAACAATGAATATTGAAGTTGCATTTACTGTAGCAATTGAACACGAGAATAAGATAGTTGAGGACTTTGACGGCATAGTGTAAATATGTAATAATATCACTGCACCATTCAAGGGTAGCAAGCCCTTGTTATGGCACCATCAATCATCGAGGGGATGAGAGATGAGACACGTGGGCACATGCATATGTTAACGAAAGACAAGGGGCCAACCTGAAAGTAACAATTCCGGATAGGGATGAGTTGGTGATTGTTGCAGTTCAATCTGTCATGCCTAAAGATAGGATCCACCCCACCACCTACAGTGAAACGGGCATCAAAGTTATCATCTTCTTACACTTACCAGACCATTCAAAAACAGGAACCGATTTTGGAAATTTGAATTCTAAAATGCACCTTTTTCTTCTGAGTAAATTTTAAAGCCATGGTTACTGTTTAGTCTTCAATCTTCATTGGAACATCCATGTGTTTGATGAAACAGGAGAGTTAGCTAATGCTCCTCAACAGCCACACGATCTTTCATTTTCATGCAAGGTTTTACAATGGAAATTGTCTTGCACTCGCTGTTCTGAGACGTGGCCCTGTAGTTTCGTTCTAGAAACAATGGAGCCCACTACCCTACAAGAATCTCGTTTGATTGGCTGGCCTGGCAACTCTAAGCCACACTTCCCGACAAAGCCCCCACCAAAAGTTAGCTGATTGTGTCCCTAGTAATTGAAACCCTTTATTCTTAAACTAATCACAGTCTGCGTGATTTTTTCAGTCTTCAAACTTATTAAACTCATAAAAAAAATGCTTCTGATTCCTCCCCACTCCCCAGTACAATCATTACTCAACCTCTGATCTAACGGATCTAACCGCGGCATGCATTATAGAATATATACAGCCATATAGTGGTATATAAATCAAGAGAATTACCAAAAATTCTGATAAATTTCAGTCAGTGATCTCTCCAATACAAAAGCACACACTTGTAATTAAACCATGAGATCACACGCATTGAAGTCATAAGTGCTAGGCTTTTGGATTTGTTGCGGAGAGGGGGATGGTGGTGGATGTGATGTGAGTTGTTGCAAGTGCAGCAGGTGAGATTCTGATTCTTCCAAAATATGCACATGACCCAGATCTCGTCTTCGGCTGGCGCCTGATGTTATGGAGCTAAATACTCATCTCAACAGAGAGATCCCAATTGCATGACATAATCTGATTTTGTTGATTATTGTAAGTATTTTGGGTTGTCATGTTTTGGTGTATAAGGACACGAGTGGTGGGTCATACAGGGAGTTTAGGGTTTTTTTTTTTTACAATCTAACTTCCACTTTGTTGGCCCTCCACGGAATTTTTAAGTCTGAATGATCAGCTCCAATGTTATTGGATGGTTTTTGTTTGATTGCAGGCATATTTTATAGCCTCCAATTGATCAGGAATGGAAAGCCCCCTGACTAGCTATAGGGTTGGCGTGATAGGAATTTGGATGCCACATCACAACCGCCGCAGTATATGTCTTTTTTAATCAGTTAATTATCACATTTGCGTTGCTTTGCTTTAATTTATATATATATATGGGGAATGACTCCAAGCGTCAATATTTCATGCGCAAGCGTTATCTCTTTGTCATTTCTATACAACCCTCATGCTCAACCCATTTTTCCTTTTTTTTTTTTTTTTGTTCATTGACAATGCTATTACAATTACCAAATGTTGAGACAGAAGCATCCTAATTTTTAAGTGATTATATTGGTTTTTGGTATAAAAAAATTAAAGATACAAAAAAATTGTACATATTGCAATTAAAATTTTAAATTTATTAGATATTAGAATGATTGCATATTAAAATTTAATAAAATCATAAATTAAATGGTTTATTCGTTTTTAAACCTTAAATATTATGATTATCCAATTGCAAAAGAAAATTCTGATAAACGGGTCCGAAACGTCCCAAAAGTTTTGCTGTTACATGGATATGGGAAAAAAAGAGTGACCGTCCGATTAACAAAGCTAACCTAGCATAGGATGCTGATTAACAATGATGATCCAATATACATTAGACAGAGAAGGGTCAGGGTGCACGATCCGCAGAAACCCAACTGATTGGGAATGGGTCCAGGGGCAGGTCCGGTCACTGCAAACCAAGGTCCCACCCCTTGTCCCCTATTTCACTACGAGTCAAATGCGAGGGAGAGAAAGAGACTAGTGAGCTGGAGTTCTCCTCAATAACAGTGTTGACGATGATTTGTGGACAATAAGGAGTCATTCTTGGGCTATTTATTGGGCCTTCTGATTGTGATTTGTGAGGTTTTTTATTGTACGGAAAAGACAATCGAATTGTTGGGACCCAGAAAAGGACCCCACCCATTGGCCTTTGTATTCTCAACCGCTCAATGTGCCCATCATGAAGAGACTTTGCTTTTCTTAACCCTCACCCACGAGTGGGATTAATTAACCTCCAAACCACCCAAAGTAAAAAAAATTAATAAATATAAAAAATAAAATAAACTTGTTTACATCTAAACCATCAATTATGGGGGGATAAGCTATCGTCACTATCATTAGCCTCAGCCCCTTCGTTTCAATCTCCTCCCACAACATTTCAACCTTTCTATTAGTTAAAAAAAACTTTAGCACGTCATATTTATCCACGTGGCTTGATGTGGTTGTGATTGGTGGGACCCGTTTAGTTTGATCGTTCACGTGCCTGAGCATCAAAGGACCAACGGAGTGGGAGGGTGCAGTGCGAGCACCCACGTGGAGCTGAGATGGAATTGTCGTAGTCAAACAAGATACATGGCTTTATGAAGTGGGCTCCACTACATGAGACGATAATGAAATCTGACGTGGATATATCTAATCACCGTCGTTTGAAACCTTTAATCATTAGCTATGCTACAGTAGAAATTATTATAAAAAAAATTTGTTAATTTCACCCGTCACATCCTTATTTTATTTAACGAACAATAATATTCCACCGTTTTCCTATTATTTAATAAGGAATGACCAGCATTATACAAAATCCAAATATAGTTATTCTCTTCCTTATTTACTTTTTATTTCTTTGTTTTTCCTTTAATTTCAATTCATAGTATATTTGTGTTTACAGTTTCGTACCGGTCTTGGCTTCTTCTGTTATCACCATGAATCTGATTGGAACTCGGGAGTGAATAGATGAAATGAAGTCTAAATTCACATGAAATGAAATGGTTTCCATTGTCTCGTTCCCCTATTGCTATATATTCATTGCTTCCCCTTCTAAGCCTCCTTATGTTTGTGTCTCTTCTCTGATGGACTCCAATTAACTTTTCTTCATTCTCTCTTAGAATAGATTTTTAATATTATTTTTTCTTTTGTTTTTTGTGTTTGTGGTGTTGAATAGTATTTGATTGTTTCATGGCGAAAGGCCGGCGGTTGACCACCAGCAGAAGTGAACGGTTTCTCGGAAGTTACAGTAACGGACACAGTCAAGGGGACTCCGTCACGGACGAAACGGAACTTGGGGAGGAAGATGTCTGGTCGATGGTTGATAACGTTGACCGAGACAACCAGAGTGTCAATAATTCTCAGAGCGATTTTAGTCCACGCGCTGGTGCTGAAAGTAATGGAAATGGGAACTTGGACATGAGGGGGCACCGTCGCCGAATTCCGCGGGATGATCGCAACGTGGGAGGGCTGTCGTTGGCTTTTGAGGATTCTTCTTCGACGACGCCTAGGATCGTGCATCAGTTTCGTGGTCATGATGGCGTGGCTGCCACAGCTTCGCCACGTGGGCACCATATGGCCACGTCAGCGCCTGTGAACGTGCCTGACTGGAGTAAGATTTACAGGGTCGACTTGTTGGAGTCTATACATGACTCGGATGATGGATTGGATGAGGGTAAGTCAGAGATGGTACCCCCGCACGAGTACTTGGCGCGTGAATACGCTCGGAGTAAGAAATCAGGCGGGGCTTCGGTTTTTGAAGGCGTGGGTCGGACTCTCAAGGGCCGGGACATGAGGCGGGTCAGGGATGCAGTATGGAGCCAAACAGGGTTCGATGGTTAACCAATTCGTTAGCCACTGAAAAAAAAAAAAAAGAGAAAACCAGCTTAATTATGATTGATTAAAATGCGACTACATTTTTTTTTTTTTAAACTTGGGCAATGATTCGGCTGAGTAACAGTTGAGTCAACTTAGTTTCGAGTGAGCTCAAGCGGGATTTTGAATTGATGAGTCCTAAAAAATTTCTGCTGATGGATTGGAATTTGAAAGTTGAGGTGTGTTTCCAGTTTCTCTTTAGTTGTAATTTTGGTACAAATTTTAATAATTTTGTTACGCCAATTGTATGGTCAATAAGATCAACTCGTATACTTGTTAAATCAGAATACGATCATATATCATGATATTATTAAAGAGGATTGACGCTTAAATAAACTCGACTTTGTGACACTTTGCAAAAGCTCTAGCAATTTGTCCAAGACATTAAATGCAGCATGCAGTGGTACACATCGACTTTCCTTTCAAGTTTTACATGGATTTTCCACCGTCATTTATTCTGATCCTATCATCGTCCGTTATTGTTTTATTGCCGCCCTAATCACCGCTGCATATTTTCTATATACTTTTTATATAAGAAAAACAGAAGGTCCAAGTAGGATCATGGCCAATCCTTCCAAGTTCTAAGTATTTCACTCTTAATCCTTTCATATTCTCCATCTTCTTTATTTTATAACCTTCATATATTTATCTAACTTTAAACATTGGAAAACATTTAGAAAAATAATTTCCGATATCTCTTGATCGTATTTTTTTATTGCAGATTCAGATCAATCTAACTCATCTCCACAAAAAATATCATCAAATCTTTTTTGGTTTATTTCTAAAATATTATTATAATTTGCAAGCATACTACTAATAAATAAAAATTTTATCATGTTTGTCCACGTTTACATGAAAAATCTCATACGTGTGAATGAAATTTGGTTTTGAAAATTTTTATTGATAGCTACCTCTTTATCATTGCAACAAACAATTTTAAATAATGATAAGTAAACATGAAGATTAGACGTAAAGATTACGTATTTAAGATCATTCAGTTCGACAATTAAATTAGGATAAAGTTTGAAAATAGTGCTTATCTTATTAAAAATAAGAATACGGTTGTCAGCGAGAGATATATAATTGAAGGAATAAATAGAGGGTAAAAAATTAAATTTGATAATGTAAAATATAACATAATAATATGACACGTAAATGATATGAATAAAAAATATAAAAATAATATGATTTAAAATTTTAATAAAAATTATATATGAGATTAATAAAATTTAATAAATGTATTTTATATTTTTATATTAATATAAGTTATAATACATATTTTTTTATATAAAATATAATATAAATATATAAATTATTAATATTTTATATGAGATGGGTACAAAAATTATTAGATTTATAAAATATCAACAAAAAAGAGAGGGAGGGAGAGGGGTCCATCTCAGGAGAGTAGAAACCAAAATTGCTTTTGATGGAAGGCGATGGATGGAGAGAATGGAGTGGGGATAACAGAAGTAGACAGCAAATTAAAGCCCAAGAGCCAAGAGAGTCTTGTTTGTAGCCTAAGATGGAACAATTTTAAATGGTGTAGCATGCTTCGTGGTGTTTGCCATTTTGCAAGAAAATTACTCCAAGCCCACCTTTTCCTGGGGCTCTCAAAGCATCACTGTCTTTTTAGAACCATTCTTTTTTTTTTTTTTTTTCATTTTTTTGGAGAAACTTTATAAACGCTATAATTGTCTTTCGACATTTTGAGGGCCCATGGCTAACGACATTGGTTATTGGTTAAAGTTCATTTGTTCTCTGATTCTCATTTTGTGATCCATGCAATTGATACGACTTTCAAAAGATGAACAAAATTTTTTTCTTTCACCACAAGTCCATTCTCAAATGATTTTTTTTCGATAATTTAAAATTCGATACGATAACATGATATAAATAAAAAAATAAAAATAAAACGATTAAAAATTAAATAATAATTATATAAGAGTTTAATAAAAAAAATATATTTTATATTTTTATGTCAATACAAATTATAATATATAATTTTTATATAAAATATAATATAAATACACGAATCACTATATCTTACATCAATTTTATCTTAAATATTTATACTTCATAATATGATATATTATCAATTTGAGTAAATAATTAATTTATAAATGAGATATTACAATTAAATAAATACATTATTATCACATCAAGAATAAATTGGGGAGACAAATAGTATTTTTATTGGTGCCATTCTTGATTGGTTATTAAGATTTCGAATGTAATTTCTACAGCCAATATGCCAATATTAGGATATAAAAGCTTTTGATTCATTTGTAAAGTTGAGTTGTCAAAGACAGCAAATTGAAAAAGGAAATCTTTGCAACTTACAAGAATCTGGGCTGACCCAAGCCCAGCCGATCATGTGTCGTTGTCCATTCCCCTTTTTCCTCATTCTGTGTTGGGCTTGTAATTTGTGGATCCATTCATTTACATAATAATGGTCTGTTGGATCTCCATAGTACCATAGTAAAAGCTGAAGGGCGCAGTCAAATGGAACAGTTATCAGGCCTGATTGAGATATTCTGTTCAAGCTCGACCCACAAACATAATGAAAAACCCAAAATCAAAGAAGCCTATCCATTTTTGTTCTAGATTTTTAATAAAATAAGAAAAAAAAATTTTCAATTGAAATTGAGAGAAAACAAGGAAAATAAAATTAAAGCACAGATTGACCCTAAGTTCCTAACAATAGGGTTATCCACACATGGCCCTGGATGTTGGCCGTTTTTATTTGCTTTCTCAGATTTGAAGTTCTAAACCCGTGAAATTATAATTTTTTTTTATAATTAGATTTAAATTTTAATACTTATAATATTTTTTTTAATTATGAAAATTTTTTAATAAAAAAATTAAAAAAGATAGCAGGACGGAATAGGTTACCAAGTTAACCAACACAAAGCAAAAACTACTAATTTGATAGAACTAGTGTCCTAACTCAACCATACATTACAAGATAAAAAAATCAATTCCGAAGCCCACCAACACCTCTCCATTTTTGCAAATCTTCTTTTGCTTACATGTTTTTCCAAATTAAATAAACAATTATAGTTATACTACAATCACTACTACTAATTACATGATCAAGGGGATGTGTCTTGGATAGTTGGATAGGATCCCTGAAAGAACGGGAGTTTGCTGCTCAGACATTTGACTTACGAGACACCAATCTCAGTTGATGAAGCCACAAGTCTCTCCGATGAAACAAGGCAAATGCGGCCCAGTAAGCGGCGGGCCTCAGCAATAGTCTCCTGTTGAAAAATATTTTATCACGACAAAAAAGGTCGGGTAAGCTTCGTTCGGCTTTGACCCACATGTGCTGCTATTGATCAGCTCTCGTGTCCTCTTCAGCTTCGCCAATTGTGTCTCAGTCACAGATTTTGACAGCTTGGGTGGGTATGTTTTTGCTGGTTCACACTCACACTGACAAAGCACATGATAAAAATTGATATATACATCTTCTATCCGCAGCCAATGCAATTTGGATATATCATGTTTATCTTTTTATTTTTTATAAAAATTTGTAATTAATATGAAATTTTTTATTTTTAAAATTCATATAAATTTCACATCAAGGGAAAATGTTTTGGTTACCAAGAAATTGTTAATTTGTTATGGTAAACAACTGCACTCATCTCCAATAGGAAAAAAGAGTAAATAAATTCTTTGTTTCAAATAGTACTAATCTAATTGACTAATTGTTGCATTTTATTTGTGATTGGCTGATTAATTGAGATTTAATTCACATTTTCCCTTTTTTGGTTTTTCATTCTGTGTTGTTATTAATTAACAAGATTTCTCTTAAAAATTCATCTTAACCAACAAAAAAGGGAGAAAAACCCTCAATTTTAATCTGGCTTCTGCTTGAAAATCTTATCTTTTTGTGCAAGCTACATTTCATATTTCTTCCTCTGAAGAAACCTAATTCCCAAGTCGAATTCTTTCATAGCAACTCCAAGTAGGCAGATGGGATGTTGGAGCAGCAAGCATAAATTGTCAGAACCTGACTACAATGGCTATAGATCAGGCATGCCTTCTTCAAGACCAAGCCAACCGACTTATCAACAACAGCAACAAGTTCAAACACGGAAAGTGTCCGTGCCTCAAACTCAAGTTCCACGAACAAGGCAGCCCCAGCAACAACTGCCACAGCCACAGCCTCAACCCATCCCTGCCCCTTTGAAACCTTCAGCAGCAAGCCCCAGGCCAGTTCAAATAAGACAAGAAACAATATTAGGAAAGCCTTTGGAAGACATTAAGCAATACTACAATCTTGGAAGGGAACTAGGTAGAGGCCAGTTTGGCATAACTTACTTATGCACTGAGAATTCTACTGGCAACACTTATGCTTGCAAATCAATATTGAAGAGAAAGCTAATAAGTAAACAAGACAGAGAGGATATAAAGAAGGAGGTTCAAATTATGCAGCATTTGTCTGGTCAGCCCAATATTGTGGAATTCAGGGGTGCTTATGAGGATAGACAATCTGTTCATCTTGTAATGGAGCTTTGTGCTGGTGGAGAGCTTTTTGATAGGATTATTGCTCAAGGCCATTACTCTGAGAGAGCTGCAGCATCTATTTGTAGATCAGTGGTGAATGTGGTTCACATTTGCCATTTCATGGGGGTGATGCATCGTGATCTCAAGCCAGAGAATTTCTTGCTGTCTAGCAAGGATGAGGGAGCTATGTTGAAGGCAACCGATTTTGGGTTGTCTGTCTTTATAGAAGAAGGTTAAATTTCCAATTTTCCCTATGTTTATATTGTTTTTTAATGAATTGAGTTATTTGCTATTGGAGTTTTTGTTTTTTATTTAAATGTCATTTCTTTCTAGAATTTTTGGAGTGAGCATGTATATGATTAAAAATTTGATGATTTGCCATATCTACCGTCATATGTCTTTTCTTTCTTCATACTTTTTGTGGTTTGTGATCTTCAACTTCACAAATTTTACTATTTTGTGCTTAAATCTGTGGTATTTGTACACTCAAATTTCAGATTCACTAATAAGTAATGAGAGAGTAATTGACCAAATTGGAAGTTGGCAGAGTTATTAAGATGCTATTTTAATGGAATAATCTTTCTCTGCTATTGCCTTCTAATAATATTCTATTTTGTGATTGATTCAAATAAAATGTTGCCACTGACGTACTAACCTTTCGAAATTCATCTCAGGCAAGCTATTTCGCGATATAGTAGGTAGTGCTTACTATGTAGCTCCTGAAGTTCTGCAACGTAGTTATGGAAAGGAAATTGACATCTGGAGTGCAGGAGTTATTTTGTACATTCTACTTAGCGGTGTCCCTCCATTTTGGGCTGGTATAGAAAAATATCAAACCTTTGCTAGTTTTACATGTTTTAGCAAGTTGTTGTGATTCTGTTTCTGATATATTCAATTACCAAACATTTATATATTTTGCTCAAATTGTATTACAGAAACTGAGAAAGGAATATTTGATGCCATTATTGAAGGAGAACTAGATTTTGAAAGTCAACCATGGCCTTCAATTTCTGAGAGCGCCAAAGATCTAGTGAGAAAGATGCTGACAATGGACCCGAAAAAGCGGCTCACTTCTGCACAAGTTCTTGGTCTGTACTCTTTTTAATCTTTGGTTATAGTCCCTGGAGATATTTTGTTCGGTCTAGTTTGTTGGTCTGGCTTTCCTGAGAAATTTAATTTTCTAATGGTTTCTTTACAAATTTTTTATCCATTTATATGACAGCATATGATATGGCAATATGTTGATTATATTTCTGATATTCTGTTTGTCTTTTTCTGATGCTTTCGATTAAAATGTGATGTTGGTATGGTCAGAGCATCCTTGGATGAGAGAAGGTGGAGAAGCATCAGACAAGCCAATAGATAGTGCTGTCCTATCCAGATTGAAGCAATTCAGTGCAATGAATAAGCTGAAGAAGCTTGCATTGAAGGTGCAGTATCTAACTGGATTGAAGGAGCTCCTTAAAATTCAAAAGTTTGTGTTAAACTACAGTTGAAATTGTGAGATGGGTGTAAATGTGGTACATATAGGTTTTTGGACCTGTGGTGATGGTGCCCTTCCTAGTAATGCTGAAAAATTGACATAGTTGAATATTCCTTAGGCACATTTGGCATAGAAGGAAGTATACAAAGAACAAAGTTACAATTTTCTAGTGCTCATTTTGCTGTTTGTTCTTACAAAGAAGCTGAGAATGGGCATTTGATACAGCCACTATTCCTAGGGAAACTATCAACTATGGGTCTATGCTGCACCTAGCAACCCATGTACACCACCACTGTCACACTATTGCCTTCAGTGATCAACCCTATGTCCATTACCAGCTCTTTGATGAGCAGCTCACACCAGCACTACTAGTACCCACTATCAAGTGCTGCCTGACCGCCAGTCCATGGCTACTTCACTTCTGTCAACAATGCACACCATAAAAATCTCCATTTCTATTACCAAACAAAAGCATGGCCATGATTGCATGCCTTTGCTTATTCTATATCCTACTTTAATCTACCTAAGCATGATAATTTATGCAGTGTACTTGTTTTTTACAAGTTACAACAGATACCCTGATCCTGAAAGTATTTGGACCTTTAAGTTATACCAGTGTAGATGGTTCTTCTTTCTGTCTTCATTTAATAAATTTTGGTTTATTTGAAATTCCCTAGGTTATTGCAGAAAATCTATCTGAAGAAGAGATTAAAGGTCTTAAAACAATGTTCACAAACATGGACACAGACAAGAGCGGCACAATCACCTATGAAGAACTGAAGACAGGTTTGGCTCGTCTTGGATCAAAGCTCTCTGAAACTGAAGTCAAGCAATTAATGGAAGCTGTAAGTATTTATCCACCCCCCAAGTGTGACCACTGCTCTGTTTGCGTACGGTTGATTATTGCTTGCATCTTAACTTCAATGGCATCCTTGCAATTATGTGCAATACTTTTCAGGCTGATGTGGATGGAAATGGAACAATAGACTATATTGAATTTATCTCAGCTACAATGCATAGATACAGACTTGAAAGAGATGAGCATCTGTGCAAAGCATTCCAGTATTTTGATAAAGATAACAGCGGGTGAGTTCTAAGGTTTCCTGTATTCATGATTATAGTTGCATCCTTTTACTGATCTCATGTTAAACTGTCCGCATTGGACATTGAACTAATTATTTCTACTAAAGAGCTTATGATTTTTTTTGTGTTAATGTTAAAAATACACATGCAAGCAATTCCTACCTGATTGATCGTGTTATTCTCAGGTATATATGTAACTATCTATGGTTTGGTTTTGTACCATATTGTGTACTGGGGTGGGTATCGTCAGATTTTCATTTATGACTTGCTGGATCTTCTCTTGGTTGCTTGAGAATAATTAAGAAGATTCCTGAGAAGCTAAAAATTTGAGGGGTTTCCAGGACAATTTCTTAAACTGCCCCTTGTTTGATATCTTTCATCTATATGTATATTGTTGTTTGCAGTTACATTACAAAAGATGAATTGGAGATTGCTATGAATGAGTATGGAATGGGTGATGAAGCCAGCATCAGGGAAGTAATCTCTGAGGTGGATACAGATAATGTAAGTTTGTTTCTGAATCAAATTTGGAAACTTCTTATAAAGATAATACATTACTGGTATTGATGCCATTATAATTAAACAGGATGGGAGAATTAACTATGAGGAATTCTGCACAATGATGAGAAGTGGAGCACAACAAACTGGAAAATTTTTTTAGGTACCTTTGACGGTTCCATTACAAGTAACAACTGAGTTGGCGAAGACTGAAGTGACCTAATTAATGGTGTCAGCAGGAGTAGACAATCACACCAGAAGGATATGGGTTGGATACAGACTTATAATCCAGGATTATTTTCTTTAGCTCATTAACTGCCCTGATTCTACAAGTGGGTACTTTGAGGATACCAAGTACGAATCAGAATTGATTTGAGATGCAGTATTGTTTGTCTATATCTACTTTCTGAACAATTCATCTATTAGTTTCCAAGTTCTTTCACTGATTTTTCTCTTTTTAAGGTGGATTCTTTTTATCTTTATGAAATAATTTGTAAATCTATTCTGTTATTTTCTCTAATTAATCATGTATAATATTTCAATATTACTGCAGTTTAAATCTTGTCTGCAGCTGGTGTTGTCAACTGATAAATTGAGATTCCGACATGATAATTGATTTGTTTCAGGCTCATTTCAATGAAAGGAAGTACAAATTGTTTTTTGATGAATCAGCAGCTAAGACCATATTAGGGCCGAGTTCACGGGCGGATTGGAGCCATCCCATCCGTCTTCCCAAAATTTGTCCATTGGCTGTTAGCTGTTGATAGATAGGAAATTGAAAAAGGAAGCTTTTGGGTTTGCAAAACATTGTCTTTAATGTAGCAATGATCAGCGTGGTTAGGATTCAACCGAAGACTTAACCAGCTCTCTGGCTGTGGCACCTTTAATATTGGCGGCAAGTAAGGTTGAGAGATGCTCTAAGGGGCCGGAAAAAGATTGAACTGTCTGCTACAGTTTGATTTTCACGACCACATGACAGACGTTGATGGAAAAACCGTTCAATCTTGTTTTGGTGAAATTACTTGCTAGGTATTATTATTTAACCATTCGATTTATATATGTATGCATTTGATTTTGATATACATAATAATACATACGTGCTCTTTCATGTGCTCTTTTTGCCGCTTTTCAACTTTCATTTCATGATGATAGAAGGCATTGATCATTAACGCCCCACGGCCAACGTCCTTTTCTTATTTGAATACTTTGACAAGAAATTAAAAAAAAAATGTAAAAGATTTTTTAATTTCAATAAATTCTTACTCGACCAACTTATCTAAGTAACACCATGGACTAAGGTCTGTGTGACTGAAGCTTCCAGTAAGTCTAATATGAGTTATTCAGGTTTGGGTGGAAAAATGGGTAATGAGCAGATCGGGCATTAGAATAGAACTTAAATGCCTGTTGCCACCCGTTACTCGGGTTATTCCTAGGAGACACACAGATACTATTTGTTACAAAATATTTCATCCTTGAATCTGCCTGCATCTAACATCAGCAACAAGATGGCGGATGTGCGGGGCATACCATTTCACTCTCTCAACATGATCAATGGTGACTTCCCAACAATGACCTGCAAAACAACAATAAGCATGCAAGGGCCACAATCTCTAAAGTGCTAATTCTTAAATAAAAATGAAACACAAGTGGTAGAAGTATATCGCATAAAGCCCAAAAAGTCATACCTTCTGATCTTGCAATTTCATATATCGATTTTGAAACATGGTTAGTCCATAATTCCTCCTCGGTGTCCTTCACATTCCCATGCACATGTAATATTCCACCCTCACTCCTGCAATTTTAGTACCATCATTAAATGAGAATCAGAGCAAAACTTTCAGATAAAAATGAGGTAATCAGGAGATATCTCCTACCACCAAGTACATGTAACTCTTTTCCTTCTATTTTATCATTGAATTCACGTTTTAAAGTGGAAATAGTAATGAAAGAGGTGACATGAAATGAAGCACAAGTAATAACATCAAAACAAAGCACCTTAATGCCCTCACAGCAGTAAGCCAGCTACCTTCACTTGAGGGAAGAAGACCAAGACAAACTCGATCTGCAATTCCCTGTAGGAAAATAATCAACAGGAAGTAATCAACACAAATTTACTTTGGTACTTAACGCTCAAGTTGCCAAGGAAATATGTTAATTTTAGTCCATTTGAATAGCCAATAAATTAAAAACACTAAGCTGAGTCATTTCATGAAAAAGTATTTCTTCATATGCTGCCTCAATCAGGCAAGTTAGAAAGAAATTGTCTCCAAAATGATGAAGGAAATTTTTCAAAAACAAAATAAAATAAATTCAATAGATACATTTAACTAAGGAATGAGGATCAACATCAAAACATTAAAACCATAATTTACAGCTGGTGCTTTTTGCAGGTGCTGTTAATATTTAATAAACATGCATTCATGGTCAGAATAGGAATAAACTCAAAGATAAAGGGCTACTGCATAGCAACCATTAACTGGTCATCCATGAGCCTTCAGATATTTACCTGCTGCGGTTGGGTTCTTAATATAGTCCTTTTGAGAAAATGACAGATTATTCTCTCACAAATTGTAGTTAAGAAAAACTGTGCATGCATCAGGCTCCCATGCCTTCGGTATAAATGTTTACAATGTGTGCAAGCAGATATCATTTTTCAAAATGCAAAAAAGCACATGAACATACCTTGGGTGCTGTAACTCGATTATCCCCTTCAAGTATGATACAATGATCCGAGACAGAATTGGCTTGAAGATTTTGTTTAAGAGCCTCGATGGCAAGGGGATTCCATTCACAAGCATATACCATCTTCGCTTTTGCCCTGATTGATGAGCATTACAATTCAAAAAAGCAAACAATAACAGAAAAGACAAATCAATCAGTGAAATTGCAAGTAATGTAAGCCAGTTGAAAGCTGAAAAGATAATAATAAATCTCCCCACACTAATGATTCCCCATCAAATCTTGTAATTTCTGTTAAGGGAAAAATGGTGGAATGACACAAACACTGTTATCCTCTTCATAACATGTGAAAGAACTCTTAGTCCAACACTATTTACAATCAACTATGAATCAAAACAAAATTATCCAATAATTTCAGCAGGTCAAAGAAGTCTGCTTCTAGTTGAAGATCACAAAACCAAGTCTGACATGCATTTGCCATAGATGTGTCCCCGAGTGTGATTGTATGCGTGCGTGTATGTGTGTGTATGAGAGAGAGAGAGAGAGAGAGAGAGAGAGAGAGAGAGAGATGAAAGTACTTAAGATTTAGACAATTTTGAAAGACAATAAAAAATCATAAATACAGCATACCTAACAAGGAAGGGCAACACAAAATATCCAATTCCAGCAAAAAGATCCACAATGACTGAACCTGTACAATCCAAATTGGCCATGCGGATTTTCTCAGAAAGATTGCCCCATGAGAACATGCACTTGGTAGCATCAAAAGAATATAGAATCCCATTTTCACAATGGGCAACCCAGCCACCATCTCCCACAAGAATCTCCAAAGTACTGTCCCTTGTACCATTTGCTGCAACTCGGCCCTTGATAAATTATAGAAATCAATGCAATAAGTGCATGAATTGCATATAAGAATATCTAATGACTGATATCCAAGAGATTCTCAATTATGGAATCTTGCCTAAATATGAAAATATAATATAATTCAACTCATTAATCCTAAATTGGCCAAAAAACTCATAAGTCCTTAAACAAATTGGAAACAATAGTGAAACACATAAACAAATTAAAACCTCAAAAGTCATCTTCTTGAAATCTTAACTTTGCCCTTCATGTAAAAATTGGCTAATAAATCTTGAATGAATCAACTGTCAAACTAATCGTTTAGAGTATTAGACTGAACCAGCATAAGACAATAAGTTATGGAGCAAATTAGGAAAGAAGCATTATCAGTCAATATAGCAACTACGATATAATTCATCCATATAGCTTACTTGGCGAGCAAGACGACAAGTATTAAGGGATCTGGCAATAATGGGCCAAAGCTCATCTCCAATTGAATCCCATACTGGGTCTTTAAAGGATGAAACTGGAAGCACAACAATATCACCAAGTCGTTCCCACCTGAATTGGTTAAAAGATGCTAAAATATTGTGAGGATATTGCATCCACATGTACACAATGAAAATAGAAGCAAACCACTGCAACTTTTTATCTAGCTCGAGAATCTTCACATAACTAACTAAAACTGACAAAGAAGCAAACAAAGAACATAAGTAATAAAACACAAACCTGTTTGGTAGCTGCTCCAGAAGTTTAACTGATAAGCCCTTTTGCCTCAGCAAAGAGGCAACAGCTTCAGTCATTATATTTAGGGGAGATTTGGAAGCTTTTCTGGCTTCAACAACCTCATCTGGTAGCTTAGTAGCACCATATTCCTTAAGAATATCCAAAGCTGCTGAGGAGGACACCTCATTTAAGAGACAACTTTCAGCTCTAAATGGTTTAGATGGATGATGATCATTCAGGCCTTCAGATTTGTCTTGCAGAAAAATAGCACAAAACTTCTCTGTCACAGGGAAAGAGATAAGTAAACCATCCTCTTTTGCATAAACCTTTCTCTCAAGATCTAACCATCCAAACTTCTTCAATATGTCCTTTCCTAATTTTGCATATTTTCTTTCAAGTTGTACAACCCAACTTGAAGCACCTGTCTGATTCCCAGCTTTTAAACTCTGAGGTTCAGGACTTTGAGTTGAAACAATGCCAACATGTGGAGCTTGAATACAAGCATTCCCATTTCCCATCATACCCTCCTCTTGCTTATTAACTTGATTTTCTCCTATCTTTGGAGAACTGTCATGATCATCTAAAGATAATAAAGGAAGTAAGTTGATTTTCATAGGCTCACTAAACCTTGTTCCAAATGCATAACAAGCTGCTCCACCACCAACCATAATAAGATCATCATGAACAACATTGGCTGTGCAACGGACAAACATTTCTTTATCCATTGAATAGAGGGTCACATGCTTCCAAACTAGGTTTCGCATATCTAGTAATGCCAACTCTTGACAATGTTGTCTAACAGGACAACCTCCAATTATTCCAATGTAATTTTTGTAGACAAACATCGAGTGGGAGAACCTAGCATGTGGGCTTCTTCCTCCTACCTTTTCTGCTTTCCATAAACATGTTTGAATATCAAAACTATACAAGTCCCCAAGTGCCTTCTCTCCAGAGTACCCTCCAAACATGAATAACTTAGATTCATATGCCACCATTGAGTGAGAATGACGGGCACGTGGCCTTTCACCCTGGACCACTAATTCTTCCCATGTCAGAGTATTGGTGTCAAGAACGTTCAAGGATGAAAAGATTGTTTCATTGTTAAGTCCACCAAAGACATAAATCTTTGATCCTATTACTGCTGCTGCATGCCGATGCCTGTGCTAGATACATACACAGTTGACAGTACAAGTTAAGAACTATATTGAGATGCGAGGTAAGGAGAAAGTACAGGAGATGAGGACATTAATGCACTTACATAAAATGTTCAACAAAGGATGAAAGAAGCATAAAAGACTGGCAAGTAGGAATACCTTACAAGTTACTATGCATTATTATGACATATATTTAACCAAAAGAAAATAAATAAAGAGGCGGATCAACAAGAGGAGCATAAAAAGTACTAGAGTATGACCTGGGAGCAAAAGCACGGCCAGTACAATCTAGTAGCCTCCATTCATTCTTAACAGTATTGAGAAGCCATACATCACTCAATATGTTCAAAGGATCAGCCCTGCCTCCAATCACAAACATGCAATCTCCTATCAAAGAAGATGTGTGACCCAAGCGAGGAGATGGACATCCCACTACATTAATTTCTTTCAGCGTTCCATGCAATGGATCAAGGAGAAAAGAATCATTTCTTCTTGCATGTCTTCCATTACCTCCAAAGCCACCAAATACAACAACCTTAGCCTTGTCTGTGTTTTCCAAGGCACAAGCCGAATGACCCCAAAGGAACAACCTTTCTATGGGTTCACCAGCAATTACCATCTGACTGATAGATAAACTGCAGCTAGGAACTCCTGTTCCTGCCAATGATTCACAAGAAAAACTTGCTTTCTCACCAAGAACGGTGTCCTGCAAGCACGTATACCACATAGCTCAAAATAAATGACTAAATCATTAAACAAAACTCCAATCACAAAGCTCAACGTTCATTAAAATAATTGCAAAATCATAAAAAATCAACATTTTGAACAAAAATTACCAACTTGGTTATCACCAAAACTTCTCTCCAAATCAGCCTGACCTTCATCACAATCACCACTCTCACTAGAGATTGAACCATTCGCATTCTCCAATGCTCCATCATGAGCCTTCAGAAAAGCTCTAAGAAACCCTTCACTTCTCTTCCTATTAGTTTCCATTTTCTCATTGGCAACCTCAAGAAGGAACCTCACGTAATCTTTAGACACCATAATCTTCTGGGTATCACCCAACGGCACCTCCAACCGTATGGAGCACCGTATCCCAACTATTACCCTCTTGCTTACGCTTGTAATCCCAGACTCTCTGAACCCACAGGAAATCGCTAAAGAAACTAAATTCTGAGCTGAGTTTAAGTCCCTGCACTCAACCGCAATGATAAGAGGCTCGAATCGGAAGACCAACTCACAGATTGGAGTCAACTTGGTAGAGTCTGCAAAGAGGAGGGAGATGACTGAGTCGGGATCGGCAATGTCGTGGGTGATGAAGACCCAGGTGCCTCCTCGGGCTTTCTTTTTGGTGGGATTATTCGAGTTGGGGTTTGGCTTCGGTTGGGAGAGGATAGAGATACGGCCGGAGCAGGAGCTGGTGGTGAAGTAAGAAGGGTGGCTGTTGAGGGCGTTGAGTAAAGGGATGATGGGTGTATCTAACGTGCCTTTCGGTGATTTGTCTATATCATTTGAGCTCAGTGACGCTAGAGTCGAAGCTTTCCTTTTGTCAAAGTCCATTTTTCTGCTACTATCCGTCTTTCTTTCTTTTCTGTTCGAAAAACCCTTGCTAAATATCGAGGAAAAGAAAATAAAGAGAAAGCTAAAGGGTAATTTGATGGGCGTTAGAGTTTAGATTGGTCTGTAAAATCTCATGAATTCATGTCATTTAGGTTTTGCAGATTTTGATTCGATGTTAGCCCATGGGCTCAGGCCTTTTTTGTTTTAACAGTAAAAACGAGTAGGCTCCTCATCTTCTTTTTTTTTTTTGGCAAAACCTGCATCTTAACGAGCAGTTCTGGGTTTAATTTCTTCGGCATTCGGATGATATAGCATATATATAGTGTGATTTGCATGTTTCAGGTTCAATGCAATAACAAAGGCCAGAGTAACTTGCATGAAATTGTATCAGACAATCATGAAATAAGATTAGGAACAATTGCAGCCAATGAATCTGTTTCTTCATGATACAGGGCATTCAACATGTCTTATCCATGATTTTCAAATTTCATGCACACCCTACATCTTGAAACTCTCTATGCTAGTCAAAAGGAGCTATTTACACCAGCAGGGTCCGGCCTGATCTGGAGTCTAGAGGATCATCTTTGCTTCTGTAACTGTGAGCTATGTCTTGAAGTCCAGTACTTCTCGATCTCCTCTGCTGTCCTTCCAGGGATTCTCCCAGCAATCAGAGACCACCTGGTGCATGTAAACACGCCAACATTTTTTTTCATTTTATTTGTGGAGTTAGATCCTTTATTGTTTTTACATGAATATAGCAACAAATGAAAAATTAATAAACCTCTCTCCAACCAAGTTAAACATTCTGGCAATAAGCATCTCCTCATCCTCAGAGAATTCCACCTTTGTATCGTCAGTTCTTACCTCTGCAATAGGACAGGCAGTACTAATACATGAGAATAAACAGGAAAAATAAAAGAAGTAGCAAATAATTAAGCTGAGATCGATGGTTCTTCCATTCAGGAACCTTTCTGCTTCGGGTCTTGACTTCTACGCCCGTTACTAGAGCTATGACCAAAATCTCCCATGATTTCCCCACAAGAAAACCCGGCAGTAGCCAGGGTGAGAGTATGATTTGCAGTATTTATCTGGTAAATATTAGACTGTGGAGGTCATAGGTGGTTGGAAAATAAATCCAACAGAGAAGACTGCCATGGATAGAAAAGCATATTATTAAATTAAATCATATTATTTTATTTTATGTTCGATGTATATAATAATTAGGATGTGATACTTTATTTACCAGTAAAAATTTTTTTTTAAAATTTATATAATTTAAATTATTGATATAATTTTTAAAAGTAAAATAAAATATATAAATTCAATCATATAAATTAAAAATAATCATCTTCACTTTGAGAGAATTAAATATCAAGAATATTATTAATATTTTTTATAATCATATTTTTTTCTTTAGATAAAAAGTAAACATAATATAAGATAATTATCATCTTATTTTATCTATCAACTTATGCACAAAATATGATTTTAAGATGTGTTTAATACAAAAGATTATGATAAAATAACAAAAGATGGTATTTTGAATAGGATTATATTAAATAAAATCATTTTATGTTGTGTTTGATATATACAAATATTAAAATAAGATAATTTATTTATTGATCAAAAATATTATTTCTTAAAATTTATATAATTTAAATCATTGATATAATTTTTAAAATATAATATCACATATAAATTTAATTTCATTAATTAAAAATAATTTTTTTTATTTTAAGAAAATTAAATCATTTTATGCTAAGAAAATGTTAATTTTTTAATAATCTTATTTTTTAAAATTATAAATCAAATATAATATAAAATAATCATCATATTATTTTATTTATTGTTTTATATCAAACATAATTTTAATTTTTAAAAATGATAAATTATTGGGAAGTTCAGATGTTTGTTGGTTTGAACTTTTTGTTAAGCTTGAAGTAATAAACACAATAACACATAAGTAATATATCATAATAAACATATAGTAATAGACAACAATCAACCACGTAAGAAAAATAAAAACACACAAAGATTTAAGTGAAAAATCTTTTAGTGTAGAGAAAAAAAATCATGAATTATCAAAAATATATTCACTATCAAATAATAGATATATAAAATTTTTTTTAGCTAAAATTATAACTAATCAATAATTAAAGAGATAATTAAAAAAATTTTATCAAATAAATGACTTAATAAATATACTTTAAATTTATTCTTAGAGAGTTTTAAACATTTTATTTACTGTTTAAAATGTAAAATTTTAAATTATAAATTTATTGATAAAATTTTAACTCAATTAAATTATGAATTAATTTTTGTTTAATTAATTATCTTTTTTTATTTTTTTATTTATTTTTCTTATTGATATGTGACATTACTTTAAAACAAACTCATCTTTTTTTAATTAATTAATTAAGATTCTGTATATAAAAAAAAAAGACTAAAATTCATAACTTTTGATCGGTTCAAAATCAATTATATTGAGCTGAACTATTTTCCTAACACTTTTTATGGCTAAATGAGCGAAAGTTAATCAATTTGAGTGCTTCTGATAAGGATGAGTAGGAACCAACAACAGTCAAATCCTTGTCGTACGTAAGAAGAGATTGAACCAAACATGACACGTCCTTAATTTGTTGTCTTGTGTATTGACTTCGTTGCCATTGCATTTTCTTGCATATATTTCACCATAATCCGGGGGAGAGATGCTGGCCTAAAGCATTACATTATGAATGATTAACGACAAGATAAGCAAAAAGGATAAACATGCATATCAATGTCAACAGTGATTTCCTTTATCATGTCAGTACTTTAAATATGAATACGTTCAAAACTGATTGCGTCGACCCGTTTGCAAAATGTAAAATTTTGAAAACATATAAAAAAATAATTGGTGAAAGATGAAGGTCGAGAATTATTTTATCGTTTGTGTTCACTTTCAAATTAGAATTCGATCTAAAATATTTAATGTGAAATAAAGATTTAAAAGGTAAGAGATCTAATTAGTTTAGAAATATTTAGATGAGGTGATTTATATTTATGTGATGGAGATTAAAGCTTAGATAATTTAAAATTAACATAAAGATTAGGATTAATTTCGTAAGTCCGTATTGAATTTACAGTTAATTGTTCATTTAAGGGAGAATAAATTAATAATTTAAAACATTAGTTCGTAACTGATAGGTTAGTGGGGTGGTAACTTGACGTAGATTTCAAGGTTTCATATTATCCTATATAGATCAAATAATTTATCTTTTTAAATTGACGTAGATTTCAAGGTTTCATATTATCCTATATAGATCAAATAATTTATTTTTTTTATCATATTTTATGTTATATTTGATATATATAATAATTAAATTATTAAAATATAAATATAATATAAATTATAAAATATATTTAAATTTTAAATATAAATACGATACGTTTAATATATATATATATATTATACACAATATGATATATTTAATATATATAATTAATTTATTTAAATATGATATAAATAAACATAAATAATATAAATATATATATATAAATAGATGTAAGTAATACGAGTATATATAAATATACATAATTAATATAAATATATACAAAAATTTTATGTATATAAAAATATATTTTTTAAAAAAAATATTTTATGTTATTTTCATGTCGTATTTGCTTTTGTTTGAAAACAAAAAATAAAATTGTGATTTTTTTTGTGTACATGTACAATTTTTTCATGTTATATATAAAATTTTATATATACATTATTTTTTATATTATTTTTATATCTTATAATCTTATCATATTTAAAATTTTTATAATTACCCTCTTATCCACTCGATTAAAATGATCAAAATGTTAATGTTTATCCATTTATTAATACCCTAAAAAAATATTTATTTTATCCTTTAAACATTAAAATATATCTAACAAAACTTTTTCAAATGTATATGGGATTTCACTTATCAGCTACCATGATAAAAATATCATGAAAAACAAGGATTGAAATAAAAAAAAAAAAAATTAACACACTTTCTTCACCATGTTGGTGCTGAGTAAATTTGGATAATTATTTCTCATTATTTATCATTTTTAAGCTGCACATATTTAGACTCTGTTTAATAGATTTTTTGCTATTTACTTTTTATTTATTTCCTCTTTTGCAAAAAAAAAAAAATGTTTCTGACAAATCGTCACCAAAGACAAAATTCCTTCTTTTTATGTTTTGTGGAAAACGACGCCGTTACCTGGTCTGATGGATAGAATTGCACAGGTTTCTGTCTTCCGCGGCTCAAATTCCCAAATTCCAAAGTTCCTTAGCAGAGCCGATTCAATCGATGGTACGAGCTCGATTCTCCTCTTTTTCTTTTTGTTATTTTGAATGATTTGTTCTTATTTTTCATGTTTTAAACTGTTTCAACAAAATGTTTCGCGGTTTTTAATCTTCTAAACCCGTTCTTTATATTAACTTCTCTCGGGAGCTAGGGTTCTTGGTGATTTATATGCAATGCAGTTATATTAGGATTTAAAATAGATATTATTTAATCCTAATTAACAAATTAATTGGCCAATGCTTTCACTTTTTTTATTTATCTGCATGTAATCATCTAATTAGATGAATGATGTTTGCAATCGGTTTTAGGTTAGTTGCTTCTTCTTCCACGCGCTAATTCAAAATACGATCTTATTTTAATTGTTGTATAAGAGAATTGTCTTGTTTCCGGATTGATGTTGATGATGATTAAAGCACATGTCTTTTTTTAGTCAAGGTTTGGGGTAATTATTCATTGCGATTTTTGTTCTTGCTTCAGTGTAGTGAAAGGCGTATGGATGTTTAATCTCGTGGATGGTTTTGGTAATTGCTGCTTATAGAGGAATTTGAGGTTCATAAGGATTGGTTTTGGCAATAAAATCCTTTATTCAAAATGTCTTCGTGTGAGAATGTACGACCAAGTGAAGTTGGGAGCCAAGGTCATCAAAATGCTCCTCCTGTTGTAAGTGATGGCCGCTCAAAACCCGATGATGGTGTGGAGGAGATTGAGGAAGAAGTGGAGGATGAGGAGGATGAAGAGGAAGATGTAGATTTCAATCCCTTTTTGAAGGAAACACCTTCTCCAGAAGCTTCTTCTAGTTTGAGCTCTGAAATCGAGGGTTTAGATGTTGATGTTGTTGATAGTAGAGCAAATACGCATGTTACTGCTGATGTCAATTCATCAAAGATTAATACTAAGTTGCAAAATTGTGAAGTTGGAGATACTGAACATTGTGATGAGGAAACTGTGATGCAAAGTACTGCCTCCCCTGAAGTGCAAAATACTGATTCAAGGAAACATAATAAGAGGAAGCCTGGATCTGGTTCTCAATCAGAAAGAGAAAAGGAAAGTCAGTTGAGCAGTGTAAAAAATAGTATGGTAGGAGATTTGAGTAATGCTACACATTTCCGGAAGCCTGTAATGCATTTGGATGATGCCGAAGATGATGCTATCTGCAGGCGTACGAGGGCTCGCTATTCGCTTGCCAGTTTCACTCTTGATGAACTCGAGGCTTTTCTTCAGGAAACAGATGATGAGGATGATGTTCAAAATGTTGATATTGATGATGAAGAGGAGTATAGGAAATTTCTTGCGGCTGTTTTGCAAGGGGGGGATGGTGATCACCAATCAACTCAGGAAAATGAAAATTTTGATGATGAAGATGAGGACAATGACGTGGATTTTGAAATAGAACTTGAAGAGGCACTTGAGAGGGATTATGATGAAGCTACAGTGGAAAAGACACTGGCAGAGGAAACTCAAAGAGCTGGACGGCGGCCAGAGACAAGGCAGAATAGACGGCAAAAAGCTTCTGCCCAATATGAAAGAAAACTTATAGAGCAGACTAAGAGGCCATTGTGTCCCCTCGTACCAATCTTGCCTAATGGGCCTTTTGCACCCATACCTACTCATAATGGGAAAACCTGGATGCCTGAATTTTACCAGAGTTGTGTGCCCTCAGCAGCAGATGGTTTCATCAATGGATTTACTCCATATCAAATAGGCCAGTTGCATTGCTTGATACATGAGCATGTACAACTTCTTATTCAAATATTTTCTCTTTGTGCACTTGATCATTCTCGGCAGCATATTGCATCTCAAATTCAGGGATTGATTCTCGAGATGCTTCACAAACGAGATGAGGCAATAGCTTGTAAAAGAAAGCCATATCCTGATACTTGCTTCAGGCCTCCTTATGTCTCTTCATCAGTGCCAAATGAGGTCCCTCTTTTGTGCCCCATGCAGAGCACCTCTAAAACATCTACACTTAATGCTGATGGAGTCTGCTTTTCCCCAAACACTGATATGCCTGATTCTCAAAATATTTCCAGTCCTAGAAGAAGATATGAACACGTCTCTAATGGACAATTGTGCTCTTCCTGGGTGCCTTTTTTAAGCAGCCCAGTAATGTCCATTCTTGATGTTGCTCCACTTAATTTAGTTGGGAGATACATTGATGATGTTTATTCTGGTATGCACTGTTTGTAAACTGAATAATTTTTTTTGTTCATTTTGTTGCTTGCTATTCTTGTCCCTGAGATTTGACAATTTACAATTACTATGACAGCTATCCAGGAGCATCGGCATCGACACTTGGAGAATAGTTGTGCTACTCAATATGAAAAGGAGCCTCTTTTCCCTCATCCTTGTTTTCCATCTATGGTGGAAGCTAATAATGAAGCATTAAGAGGCAGTGCTCTACCGGCTGGCTGTACAGTGCCATCGTCAGTCTATCAGCCTCCACCTAAGAAAACATTGGCTGCTACACTTGTTGAGAAAACCAAAAAGCAGTCTGTTGCTGTAGTCCCTAAGGAAATTGCCAAGTTAGCACAGAGATTTTTTCCTTTGTTCAATCCTGCTTTATTTCCACATAAGCCACCTCCTGTGGCAGTTGCAAATCGGGTTCTTTTTACAGATGCAGAGGATGAGTGAGTTGCATGTTTCCCTGTTCTCTTGTTGGTTGATTGTCTTGATTCTTCGTTAGGCGTCTATTCTCATATGAAGGTTAATTTATTTAAACAAAGAGAAAAAACGAAGCTTGTGAAGGTTCATCGTCTTTATATTTGAGATTTTGATGCAGATTACTGGCTTTGGGCTTAATGAAATATAATTCAGATTGGAAAGCGATTCAGCATCATTTTCTTCCTTGCAAATCTAAGCATCAGGTAACTTGTATCCTCATCTTTAGTTGCAACTTTATCTACCATTCTTTGTGAGTAAGCACTAACTCACTATTTCATTTTATTTACATTTACTTGTTTCAGATTTTTGTCAGGCAAAAAAATCGCTGCTCATCTAAAGCGCCAGAAAATCCCATAAAGGTATGTGAACAATCTTGAGCAAATCTAAAATGAACTTATCTGCTTATTGATATGTGTTTGACTTTTGTTCTATTTTTTATTCAATAAATTGGATAAATTAAAATGATATGTCTCATCCTTTATTTTTTTTGTACCTGCCTCCATATCTTCTGATAAAGCACCATGATTCTCAAATATGTTAATTTTCATATTTGGTTATAAATTGGACCTAATTAACTTGGTCACCTGTTTAGTTTCTCCATAAAGCATCTTGTTTTTTTCAATGGTTAAAAGAAATTTATGGTTTTGGAATGTCTAATACTTAATTGTTAGAAGAGCTTAACTGTATTGGGTGTCTAAAGTAGTGATCTGATTGTTAGGTAATGTACGTTGCAAGAGGTGGTCTTTTGATAAAATTTTCTACTTGAAATGTTACATCATGGTAGTTAACTTGCATTACAGGTACTTGGTTGCTGATGTTTTTACTTTTTATTTGCACGAATAAATAAGAAATATTTTGGTGCTTTGTGCAGGCAGTCCGGAGAATGAAAGCCTCTCCTTTGACTGCGGAAGAGATGCGAGGTATTCAGGAGGTAATCTCATCATTATTCTGTACTACGTATGTCTCATTGTTCTTTGACAATAGTCTTGTAATTCCAAGTATAATTTTAACATCCACAGGGGCTCAAGGTTTTTAAACTTGACTGGATGTCCGTCTGGAAATTTATTGTCCCTCACAGGGATCCATCCTTACTTCCCCGGCAATGGCGCATAGCCCTTGGAACTCAGAGGTCATATAAACAAGATGCAGCCAAGAAAGAGAAGCGGCGGCTATATGAATCAGAAAGACGAAAGCGTAAAGCTGCCGAGTTGACAAATCGGCAACATGCACCCAATAAAGAGGTTTGTTTACATTTTAAAGTTGGAAACATGTATTCCCATAAAGAGGTTTGTTTACCTTTTTTAAGTTGGAAACATGTAATCCCATTTACTTCTTCACTCTTTAATGTTTTATTCAGATTACTATCTATAATCTTCAAATCAAGGTTGATATGTCAAAGATTGTGTGGATAAAATGAATGTTTCATAAATAGTTGCACCAATGTATTTATATGTATAAAAAGTTAAGCTTCAAACTAGCTGATCTCTTTGTTGCTTGGCTAAAGCTTGATCTTGGCTCATTTAGTTGATTGCACAGCATTGCATATTGGATTAATCACTTGCACACCATAAAGTGAAGATTCTAAAATGTTCAAAAGATTGTAATTAAAAATCAACCTCTATTCTATATTCATGCGATGTTCTTTGTATAGTTCATTCATTAACTTTATAAACCATATTGTTTGACTCAGCTAGGATGTATGATGCTTGGGGAAGTGCTCTTTTCAAAGATGATTATTTAATTTACTTTCCTTGACTGTAGGACTGTCAAGCTGAATATACTGGTGTAGAGAATTGCAGTGGAGATGATGACATGGATAATGCAGACGAGTCTTATGTTCATGAGGGATTTTTAGCTGATTGGAGGCCAGGTGCTTCCAAGCTCATTTCATCTGAAAGTCCTTGCACAAACATTAGAGGCAAGAACCTTCCTAATATGTCAAGTGAAGAGGGTGCTCATGTCAGAGAACAATCAAATAGCTGTATGTCTGCAGTTGTTCAGCCCTTGACCGGCCATATGCAGGGATCTCCACATGTGTTGAACCATCCCCAGCATCCTTACACCTTTTCTCATTGTGCATCCAGTGCATTGCAGCCAACCCATCAAGTTCCTAATATGATATTAAATACCTCCAAATCTCAAATATGTTTACGACCATATCGATCTCGTAAATCCAACAATCTACGTGTAGTGAAATTGGCGCCAGACTTGCCCCCAGTGAATCTTCCACCAACTGTTCGTGTAATCTCAGAGTCAGCTTTGAAAATCAATCAATGTGGGGCATACACCAAGGTATCTGCAACCGGAGATGTTGTTGATGTTGGAATTGGAAATATGGTTTCTCCATATTCTCATCTTGCTATGTCATCATTGATGAATAAAAGAGATAAAAGCAATCCAACAAGAGAAAATGTCACAAATTCACGCTCAGAAGTTGTCAAGGACAAAAGTGTTGCAGAAGAAAGAAGTAGTCATACGGATCTTCAGATGCATCCTTTGCTGTTCCAGGCCCCTGAAGATGGACAAGTGCCATATTATCCATTGAATTGTGGAACTGGTTCATCCAGCTCTTTCAGTTTCTTTTCTGGGAATCAACCCCAACTAAACCTAAGTCTCTTTTACAATCCCCAGCAAGCCAACCATGCTGTTGATAGTTTGACCAAATATGTGAAGAGGAAGGAATCCATTTCAGCATCATGTGGCATTGACTTCCACCCGCTTCTGCAAAGAACTGATGATACAAATAGTGAACTAGTGACTGCATGCTCAACTGCTTCTCCATCTCTTGGTTTGGATGGCAAATCTGCTACACCCTGTAATCCTTCCAATTCTGTCCAGATGAAGTCAGTAGTCCATTGCAGCCCATGTGCCACCAGATCTAGACCCTCTAGTCCTAATGAGAAGTCCAACGAGCTAGACTTGGAGATCCATCTCAGTTCTTCATCTACTAAAGAGAATGCAGCAATAAGTAGGGATGCGACTGCACATTCTAAAAACTCATCAGTTAGTTTACTAAATTCTCAAAATGCAACCGAAACGCAAGACGCTTTCCATTCATCAGGCAACAAGTTTGTTTCTGGTGCCCATGCATCTAGTGTATCAAGCAAAATCATTGGCAGATACATTGATGATCCAAGTGACCAGTCTCATCCGGAGATCGTGATGGAAAAGGAAGAGTTAAGTGACTCAGATGAAGAGATTGAAGAACATGTGGAGTTTGAGTGTGAGGAAATGGCTGATTCTGAAGGAGAAGAAGGTTCAGGCTGTGAGCAAGTTTCTGAGATGCAAGATAAGGTGTCCCTCTTCTTTTTTTTTTTTTCTTTGTTAGATTCACTTGATCTGAAATATGAAAAGAATTGCATAGGTATCTAAGTCTAATTAATCTTTGCTTCTATCTTCATTTGCCATGCTTTGATTATAATAGAGCTAAACCCTGAAAATCTATCTTCTGAAATTCTTGTTATCACTTCACTTTATCACACTATTTTGTTTAAAAAATTCTGTTCTGACTTCGTTTGTGGCATTGGAGATAATATTGCACTTATGCATGGGGCTGCTTCCCTGGACCTTTTTGTCTGTTTTGTCTGTTTATTTTATGAATTGTACTTATTTTCCTATGTTTTTCTTTTTGGGAACCTGGCCTTTTCCCATAGATACAAGAACATGCTTTGGCATCATCTGTGTTCTTCTCTATGCCCTCTATGTTCCTAGCTATTTTGTTATCAAATGAGCTGGGGCTTGGGGGGCATTGCTTCATGAGTTTGTCTGTATGTTGTTCCTTAATTCCTACTTGGGAGGCACTACTTTATCAGTTTGTCTGTTTGTTGTTCCTTAATTCCTACTTCATTGCTTTTTGTAGGAGGCCCAAGGTTCTACAACACAAGAAATTGTGACAGACGAAGATTGTAACAATCAGGAATGCGAATTAAGCACCCACGGTAACTCACAGGGCAATGTTTGTGTGCCTGAAAGGGGAAACCCGCCTTTCTTGAAGCTGGGTTTGACATGTCCAAAGAAGGATGCAAGCAGTTGCTGGCTGAGCTTGGATTCATCTGCATCAGGCCGTACTTCACGCTCCAAATCTAAGAATGAAGCGAGTACAATGAGCAAAAGCCCTCCGACTAAAACTTTGGCTCCATATCGTCTCAGCAGACCTTTGAAGCAGGCAACACCAATCACAAGAAAAGTTACGGTGCAGGAGCATGCTATAAACATGCCAGAACAACTCAGCTTGGGTCCTCTTTCTGTTCCTACATTGAGGAAACCAAGAAAGCGTACATGTCGGGCTAATGCAATCGCACAAGCTGGTTCGAGTTTAGGGAACCCAAAAAAAGATGCTAAAGACAGTGGTTAGTTAACTACACATTCATTGTTGGTGAATGGTGATCAATCTAAAGGGTTTCCTTATATTCCTTGGATGCTGCCAACCCAATTTGGACATGAGAAACTTAAGTGGAAACTCAAATAAGCGAAAAAGAGAGATAATCGACCCTCCTTCCTCAAGCAAGTTTTGGAGTTAGTGTTTTCATACGACTGTTGACATGGCTGGGAGGAGGGTCTTCTTCCAGATTTTGCACCTCCACTGTCTTAAATCTTGCTGTAAATTGTACAGTTATTATGCAATGGCGTGAGCATCAAGTGTCCGTTTGTCAATGCTCTTGTACACAAACTTTGCTTTGTATTTATTAGGGACGATTTCAATTCATTGAAATGAGATATCCTTTATTCCCCTTCTTCATGGGTATAATTATGAATGGGCATCTATCTGAGAGATAAATATATAAAATAATTGTACAGATGAGATATCCAACGTGGCCTCCCAAGTTCTCAGGGGCCTGGAATGCTTAAATTCTTGAACTTGCCTGTTGATAGGATCCCCTCCCGGTTTTCACTGGAGTCCATGGTTTTGTTTACTATCCTTTCTTCCCCTTCTTACGTTCAAAGAAAACGTAGACATTGAAAGTTATAGCTCTAGCAACACTGATCTAATGCGGGCATTTCAGTCCTGATGCAGATGTTGCGTCCTATCATATTGAAACCGATCTTCTTCATAAATCTGACCAATAATGTATCGGTCGCTGATTGTGTGGTGTTGAAATTTCTCTATTTTGTTTTCTTTTTCGTTTGTTATTGTTTGAGGGTATTGTTTTCTATATAATGCAAACTTTTGTATGGAAATATAGATAGATATTTGGATTGTAAAGCTCAATCTTTTGATCTTTTCTCCAACCATTCTTAGAGAAAAAGCTGTTGTTACATGAAGTCTCTGGCTTTTCTTATCAGGGGAATGCTGACAACAAACTCATAAAACATGATAGAATATTAATAGAAGCGGTATTCCTATGAGGACGTTGAGCACCGCACCCAGAAAGCTTTGGCTGCGTGGCCAAAATTTCCTGAAATTGTGACATCAAGGAGTAAAATCACATCGAGCAGCTCTGCTGCTGAGAGGATCTAGCTATGGAGCTGTATATACCTTTCAGAATAGGGAGACTATCACGTTAAGATCCAAATCACAGCCACTGAGATCTTGCCACATCAGATAGGCCCCAGCAGGATGTAATGTTGAAACAGCAACGAATGATATTCTTATCCCCAAACCTCATCCATTCCATCCCTCTCCCTCCACTCATTCCCTCTCATTTCCTCCGTACCAGAAGCCACTCTCCAACACACGAAAAGATAAGACTTAACAAAGACATATTGGTCAATACAAAAGCAATCCCGCAAAGGGGATCGCTCTTCTCTTGCTCTCTTGGGAGTAATCCTCTTCTTGTAGAGCTCCAGAATCAGCTGTCACCATCTCTTGTTCTAATCTGACAATGTGGGTGTCCTCAAAACTATCTCTTTCTGACACCTCTTCATCTCTTTCCGTTCTTTCATCAGCTCTTTCCAGCTTCCTACTCAAATTTCAACTACCTGTAACCCTTCAAGGTCTTCATCTGCAACTCCAGTTCAATGTAGCCACCATGAGATTAAAGATCGTATTGGTTCAGTAAAGAACACGCAGAAGATCACTGAAGCCATGAAACTTCTTGTTGCTGCGGCTAAAGTCAGGAGAGCACAAGAAGCTGTGGTCAATGGTAGACCTTTCTCTGAGTCTCTAGTAGAAGTTCTCTACAACATCAATAAGCAGGTCCAGACTGAAGATATAGATCTTCCTCTTACAAATTTTAGGCCCGTCCAAAAAGTGTTACGCTTGAAGCAATAATCACAACAATACAAAAACAATAAATAACAATCAATAATCAAAGATGCAAGAAAAATAAAACACATCAAAATTTACATAAAAAATCTCTAGTGTAGAAAAAAAAAATCACGGATCACAAGAAAAATTTTCACTATCAAATAATAAGTATACAAAATTCTTTTCTAACTAAAACTAGAGTTAAACAACAACTAGAGAAAATAATTGAAGAAATCTCACCAAATAGGTGACTCAATAAATACACCCTGAATTTGTTCCTAGAGAGCTTCAAACACGATCTTCATCGTTCAGAATGTAAAACTCTGAATCATAAATCTCTTGACAATGTTTTAATTCAATCGAACCACGGATCGACTTTCGTTCAATCAACTCTCCCTTCTTCTTTTTCTCTCTACTTTTTTTAGTTTTTTTTCTTTTTCTACTTGATTTTCAATATACACTTAAAATAATCTCACATCTTTTTTATTAAGTAGCTAGGGTTCTGTGTAAAATAAAAGATCAAAGCCCATGGCCTTTACTTGGTCCAAAACTACTTACATGAGGCTGAACTCCATTTTTCTAACAATCTCCCCCTCCCGCCCTATTAGGAGGAGATTCGTCACCATAGCAGTTTCATTTGGAACTTACCTTGACCAGAAAACTCATTCTGGTCAAGTTACTGCAAAGCTCAAGCTTTTCCCTGAGAAGTATCTTAGTTAACATATCTGCTACATTCTTATCAGTATGGACTTTTTTCAATAATATCTGCTATTTTTCAATCGCTGAATGTAACCAATGATATCTAACATCAATGTGCTTTGTTCTAGCATGGTACATGATATTCTTACTCAAATCTAAAGCACTTTGGCTATCACAAAATACCACATACTCTTTCTGATTCAACCTCAATTCAAAAAGAAAACGTTTCATCCAAAGCATTTCTTTACATGCTTCGGTTGCTGCAATATACTCAGCCTCTGTAGTTGACAAAGCAACACACTTCTGCAACTTAGATTGTCAAGATACAGCTCCTCTTGCAAAAGTGAACAAATACCCTGAAGTAGATTTCCTACCATCAAGATCGCCTGTCATGTCAGCATCAGTAAACCCTTCTAGAACTGGTTGTGAAACTCCGTAAGTCAAGCACATTTTTTAGGTACCCTTCAAATATCTAAAAATTTATTTCACTGCTTCTCAGTGAACCTTTCCCGGATTAGAAAGAAATCTACTCACTATACCAACTGTATGACCAATGTCAGACCTTGTACAAACCATAAGATACATTAAAGAATCGACTGCAAAAGAATAAAGAATACTAGATATAGCTAGTTGTTTTTCCTTAGACACTGGACAAGATTTCTTACTTAGATGAAAATGGTTGGCAAGTGAACTGCTAACTGATTTAGCATGTTACATGTTGAATCTACTAAGCACTCGTTCAACATACTTTTTCTGTGACAACCACAGCTTTTCAACTCTCCTATCCCGGATAATGTCCATACCATGAATCTGCTTTGCTGGACCTAAATCCTTCATATCAAAAGACTTAGACAATTATTCTTTCAACCTGTAAACCATACTAGCATCTTATCCTACAATCAACATATCATTAACATATAATAATAGGATAATGAAGTTACCATTAGGGAATTGTTTACATATACACAAGAATCCACTGTTGTTTTTTTATAACTATGACTCACCATAAAAGAATCAAACTTCTTGTACCACTGTCACGGAGCTTGTTTCAAGCCATACAAGGTTTTCTTCAATTTGTAAACTAAGTGCTCTTTTTCTTTCACTTCAAAACCCTCAGGCTAATTCATATAAATGTCCTCATGCAAATCACCATGTAAAAATATAATTTTAACATCAAGTTGCTCAAGCTCAAGATTCAAACTACCTGTTAATCCTAGTACCACTCGAATAGAACTCCTCTTTACAACTGGAGCAAAGATCTCATCAAAATCGATGCCTGATTTTTGAGAAAAACTTTTTACTACCAATCGAGCTTTGTACCTCACTAGTTTGTCACCATCTTTTTTCAACTTGAATACCCATTTATTCTTTAATGGCCTCTTTCTTGTTGGAAGTTTAACAAGATCATACGTACCATTCTTTCGTAATGACTCCATCTCTTCTTTCATTTCTTTTAACCAGTGCTCTCTATTCGGAGTAGCTTGCACATCTTGAAAGCTTTCTGACTCCCCTTTATTGGTAACTAAAATAAAATCTGAACTTGAATACGTGATAGATGGCCTGTGCTCTCTAGTAGATCTCCTAGGCTGAGACTCTACATCACTTGATGCCGAAGATAGCTCCCCCTGCTCAACACTCTCAGGTAGAGAGGATTGCTCCCCCTACTCAAAATTAATTGCATATGGCTCATCACCTACTGTGGCTGGCTCATTCATATCCCCAAGTTCTGTTTCTTACTTATTTCCACCATATGTGACTCTTTCCTGTGAAATCCTTGTCAGTGTTGAAACATCACACTCAACAGTAACCCGTGTAGTCTTCTCATTTTTTTCAAAGTCTGCTATGATTTTTTTTCATGAAAGATCACATCTCTGCTTCTGACTGTCTTTCTCTTTATTGGATCCCATACCCTATAGCCAAATTTCTCATCACCATATCTTACAAACACACACTGTGTAGCTTTACTATCAAGCTTTGATCTCTGTTCTTTCGGCACATGCATGAATGCTTTACACCTAAAAACTTTCAAGTGAGAGTATGAAGTATCTTTTTCTATCCACACTCTTTCTGAAATGTCAAAGCCTAAAGGAACTGATGGGACCTATTAAGTAAATAACAAGCTATGTTGACTACTTCACCCTAGAATGACTTTGGTAATTTTGTCATCCTCAACATACATCTAACTTTTTTCACAAAAGTGAGATTCATTCTTTCAGCTATACCATTATGCTGCGGTGTTTCAAGTTCTGTCCTCTTATGCCTGATCTCGTGTTTTAAGTAATATTCTTCAAAGCCTTTAGATGTGTGTTCCCCACCATTATCAGTTCGAATACACTTCAAGGGTAACCCTGTCATCCTTTCAATCATGGCATAAAATTTTTAAAAATACTGCAGTACCTGACTTTTATATTTCAACATATACACCCAAGTCTTACGTGAAGTATCATCAATAAAAGTAACAAAATATCTACTATCACCTAATGACTCAACCTCAATGGGATCACATACGTCAGAATAAATTAATTCCAATATATTTTCTTTTCTCTGAGAACTTTTACGAAAAGAAACTCTATCATGCTTACCAAACAAACAATAATCACATGAATTGAGAGACATACCTTTGGTCAAGGGAATGAGAGATTGCCTTGTCAAAACCTGTAACTCTTTTTCACTCATGTGTGCCAAACTCTTGTGCCACAAGTTTGCTGAAGCATCATTTTTAACGGTATTTACCTAGTTACCGTTCAATTACATCTATGTCTTATACATTATGCATCATAGTTTTCTCTTTGCAACTATCATAGATCCTTTGAGAAGCTTCCACTGTCCATTCTTTTGTCGGCTTTCATATCCCTCCTTATCAAGGACATTAATAGCAAGCAAGTTCATTCTCATATCTGAAATGTGTCTGATATCCCTCAAAGTCAACATGCAGCCTGTACTAGTTTGTATAACAATATCACCAATCCTAACAATTTATGACACACTCTTGTTTCTTATCTTGGTACAACCAAAGTCTCATGCTTTGTAAGTTGTAAACAACTCTCTCTTAAGAACACAATGATATGTCGCTCCTGTATCAACTATCCACTCAATACCGGGATCACTAACATGATTACAATCACCATGTATATAAATCAAAGTAACTGAATCACTATCTGAATTCACTGCTGCAACATTACCATTATCTAAACTCTTGCCTTTCTCATCTTTTCGTTCTTGCTTCAAGATTTTACAATTTCGTTTTATATGACCTACCTTACCACAATAAAACACTTCACTTTACCTCTAGCCTTGGATCTATGTTTAGACTTACTACGATCTTTTGAGTCTTGACCTCTGTCGATGTTTCTACCCCTATTCTCTGTGACCAGAGCTTGATTCCCAGGGTCTACATCTTTTCGCCTCGTTTCTTCATTAAGCAAACTGTCCTTTACCATCTCCAATGTCATCTTATAATCAGGAGCTGAATTAAGAACAGTTACAACTAGAGTATTCCAACTGTCTGACAATGAACCCAAAAGAAATAACGCCTTCATTTCATCATCCATCTTAAGCTCCATAGTAGTCATCCGATTAAATATATCTTAAAAATCACTCAAGTGTTTTGTAACAGATCGTCCATCCCTGTACTGTAAAGTTGTAAGCTTTTTAACAAGCATAACTTTATTCATACCTGTTTTTCTCTCATACAATGCTGTCAATTTTTCTCAAACAATGTGAGCATCTGATTCTTACGCTACATGATGAAACACGCTGATATCAATCCATTTTTTGATTGCGTCTTTCTACCTAGCTTTTTTCAGCTTTCATCTTTCATATCCGCTGGTTTAGCCGAATCACCTAATACTGGCTCATACAAATCTTTACAGTATAGATGATCCTCCATCATAGGCTTCCAAATTAAATAATTCGATGCTGTCAATTTTATCATGAAACCTGTATCACCATCCATGATCTCAAATAGAATTTACTTCTATCCTGGGTTGCTTCTGTATTGATGTCTCAAAATAACCCTCACTCTGATACCACTTGTTGCACCTGAAGCAATAATCACAACAATACAGAAGCAATAGACAACAATCAATAATCAAAGACGCAGGAAAAATAAAGCACACCAAGATTTACGTGAAAAATCCTCCAGTGTAGAGAAAAAAAATCACGGACCACCAGAAAAATCTTCACTATCAAATAATAGGTATACAAAGTTCTTTTCTAGCTAAAACTAGAGCTAAACAACAACTAGAGAAAACAATTGGAGAAATCTCATCAAATAAGTGACTCAATAAATACACCATGAATTTGTTCCTAGAGAGCTTCAAACCCGATCTTTACCGCTTAGAATGTAGAACTCTGAATCATAAACCTTTTGACAAGGTTTCAACTCAATCGGATCACGGATCGACTTCCGTTCAATCAACTCTCCTTCTCTTTTTTGTCTCTGCTTTTTTTTACTTTTCTTCTTTCTCTACTTGATTTTCGACACACACTTAAAACAACCCTACCTCTTTTTTATTAAATAGCTAGGGCTCTGTCTAAAATAAAAGATCAAGGCCCATGGCCTTTACTTGATCCAAAACCACTTACATGAGGCTGGACCCATTTTTCTAACAAAAAGTTGCCTTGGTCGTTGTTACCGGTGATCGTGGTCTTTGCGGAGGTTTCAACAATGCTAACTGTCATCAAGAAAGCCGAAGCAAGAATTGCAGAATTGACGGAGCTTGGACTTGATTATACTGTAATTAGTGTGGGGAAGAAGGGTAATTCATATTTTATCCGTAGGCCTTTCATTCCAGTGGATAGGTTTCAAGAGGGTAGTACACTCCCTACGGCCAAAGAAGCTCAGGCAATTGCAGATAATGTTTTTTCACTTTTTGTTAGTGAAGAAGTTGATAAAGTAGAGCTTTTGTACACCAAGTTCGTATCGTTGGTTAAGTCTAATCCTGTGATCCATACTTTGCTTCCACTCTCACCAAAGGGAGAGACCTGTGATGTAAATGGGGTTTGTGTTGATGCTGCTGAGAATGAGTTCTTCAGATTGACAACCAAGGAAGGGAAACTGACAGTTGAGAGAGAAGTTGTGAGGACTGAGATAATGGAATTCTCTCCCATTTCGCAGTTTGAGCAGGATCCAGTTCAGATTCTTGATGCTTTATTGCCTCTCTATCTCAACAGCCAGATTTTGAGGGCTTTGCAAGAACCATTAACTAGTGAGCTTGCTGCTTGGATGAGTGTCATGAGCAATGCCACTGATAATGCCCAGGAATTGAATTGAAAAAGACCTTGTCAATTTTGTACAATAGGCAGCGCCAAGCGAAAATCACTGGAGAGATTTTGCAGATTGTTGCTGGTGCCAATGCTATGGCCTAATGAACTTGCGCTTCTTCTTTTCTCAACAATTGTGTTTCTTTATAGGTATAAAAAATATGAGTAATTTCCTTATTCATTTCTATATGCATTTTTAAGAACAATCATGCAGATAAGATACATTTTGCATTGTAATTCTCAAATGCTTGTAAACTCTTTGCACAATGAGAACTGCAATGTATTTTGGAATTGAAATAGAAGAGGATTCTACCCATCTTTGTATGTTATTTTCCCCTTACATGCATAATACTTGTTTGCTTCCATTCAGATGTTTTTATTTCTGTTAATGCTTGCTCATGATTCAGTAAGATCATGGTTGCGGAAGAATGATTTTCACTTGCTTCTCTTGGCTATGCTATATAGCAAGCAAAACTATTGTCTTCTTGAATCAAAGCTGACAGATGAATCAGGCTTCGTTCTTCAAAACTACTGAGTGAGACCAGAGATTTATTTTAACAAATAACTTAAAGTGGCCTTTTCAAAGTAGATTCATTCGATTGCCTGCCCCTTTTGTCTTCTAATCTGTTATTGTGTTCATTTAAAAAGGACTTCGCTGAAAGCAAGTAAATTATCCAGTTTGCTTAACAAAGAAGCATCTGTGCCCTAAACTTGATCAAAATTCAGATCATTCAAATGTTGCCATGCCAAAAAGTTTTGTTGATAAAAAGCAGCGACAGCAGTCCGTTCTCATGAATGTCGAAAACTAGGTAAACTTCTTATCTTGTTTTTCTTTCTTTTCTTTAAAATCAATTGGCATGCTGTTGGCCTTGATGACATGTCTAGTTTCAGTCATGCCACTATCAATGCATGCAACTACATCAGATGTTTTCATTAGGAAATTTGGTGGGTATAAGTTAACTTCTCCAGCAATTTAGCTGCCTATATTAGAAATTTGAATGATATGCAGTTCACAGGCAAAAGCAACAGAAAACACAGAATCCTGCATAAAGCATTGATGCCAACTAGTTGGAGCTAGCCATATGAATCTGTTTGGCCACTTTCTTTATGCGCTTGCCCTATATGATAAACAAAGCTCCCATTCCTCCTAAATCTCATTCCAGGTTGGTAATAAGGAACAGAGAATTTGGCAGAGACCCCAATCCGTATTAATGATTTAAACAAACTTTCAGGGACAACATGTGCTGAACTCTGAAAATAAAGAAGGCAAGGTAGAACCACTTTTCCTGTGTTTAAAGCAAGAAAAAGAAGTTTAATAAAGAGAGGATCACATTCACATGTTGCTCTGGGGAGGAGTTTGGCAGATAAAAAAACTGTAATCTGACTAAAGATATTGCAAATTATAAAAATAAATGCTTGTTTGGTGGCCGAGATTGGTTTTACAAGAGGGTGATTGAGCAAAGACTGGTCTTGGAACCGGCCTGCACTTGATAATATGGAGCTTTACCATGGGGCTAAGAATAATAAAAGAAAAGAAACTGGTTAAGCAAAGATGCAAATCATTCCCATCTCATAGCTTGTACGGATCGTTTAGTGATACATATCCTTTAGTGGTTCTTCCCTTTCAAAAGCTCATTTTGCTGCCATAGTTCTATATCTTAAAATTGTTCATCCATTTTTGTTTATTTCCCTCTATTAGAAAACTATCTAAACAAAGCTTTAAGGTGGGAGCAATGACAATGGCCAATCAGCACTCGCATTGCAAATTGCATTTGCTTGATTTATCAAATGACATATAAGCCTAAGCCTACTTTGGAATATGATGAATATTGTAAGGTGGGAAGTGATTATGTACCCTTTTTGACTTAAAAACTAATGATTTAATATGTGCAAGTGAATGGTAATAATTGAAATTGTCAGGGATTTCAAGAAGGTTCCTCATTGGGATATGTGTCTTCCCTTACTAGCCACCCAAGTTGCCTCAGCTTTGGCTGGCATTTGAAGGGAGCAACACCTAAATTAGAAGTGATAGTTTTGTGAGTGACCCAAAATGATGGTTGACAAGGACTAAGATTGGAATTCATCGGAGAGTTCCACTTACCATCTTCTAAAAAGGAAAAAGTAAGAAGATATACCGAAAGTTGTGCTTTTGCAATTCCATGTGCTTATCTTGTCAATGTAATACCTAATTTGGTCCTGTTTGAATGGCAGCAATGAGGGTTCTTTTATGTAATGATTAGAACGTTAGCTTTTGGTAGCTTATTCCTATCCATCGAAATCTCAACTTATCTTTTGCAAATTACGTTTCTTTTTTTTTTTTTTTTACAATGGATGGCGAAATACGAAGATAGAAAAAAAATTATAAAAATTTTAAATTATTAAATGATATCTCTAAAAATAATTGTATGAATGAATTAAATTAGATTTTAAATTTAAATTATGATATCTTTAATTTATGATTTATACTCTTATTTTTTATTAGTGCATTAATGCTTTATTAGGATCAGAAAATTTTATTTTAACATCAAAGTGACTATAGTAGAAATAATAATGGATTAGAAACGGATTGGAACGAATTTTTCTCATTTGATTTTGATTCAATCTCTTAATATTTATATTTAATTTTGATTGAATTTGATATTCAAATATTATTTATTTCATACTCGATCCCTACAAATTTTAATTTATGCAATAAATGATTGTTGTATTTATGCCCTGGCCGCTGTAATAAGTCATTTCAAAAACAAAAATTCTAAGTTGTGACCGTGGAGATAAGGGCTTGAATTCCAGCAGCCTCATTTCCGTTTTGTATTTATGGAAAATCTGAAACTTGGAACAAAAAAAGATTTGTTTCTCTTACTTTCTCTATAAGCAATGAATCAATTAACAGTAGCTCGTAAAAATGGAACTATTACTACATTCATAACCTAACTTTTGAATGGTTGATAATATTCTCCCACTTATTATTAAGTGATGATCGAATCATGAGCAACATGAACCAGGAAAGATAAAAAAAACAAAAAAAGTGTTGACCCACACGCCTTTTCTTTTTGGTCACTGTCCAACAGAGCTCTTGATTTGAGTTGAAAAGACCCCTCAACCTCACTCTGCTAAATTCCTCAAAGCCCAGGAAGCATTGAAGAATGAAGTAGTGATTATATATTATGATCATATATCATTCATCCATCACGTACTAAGATTCACCAGAAGCAAAGTCACACCCCCCCCCCCCCCCAACACGTATATTAATGCAACTATCGCCCAACCAAATGCTTTTACTCCTTTGAGTTGCTGCTGTGAGTTGGGGATAAGGCTGCGGAAATCAGTGAAGTTGGTCAGTCCAATCCATCTCTTCCACTTTTCTCGATCAGAAGCCATTCTTTTCAGTGATTACAAAAATATAGTCATAGTTAAAAGTTACGTAAAAGAAATATCTTACTATATAAAATCATCAATGGACACTCAAAGTGTATAAACTATAAAGCAATAAAACCCCAGATGAAGAAATCTCTTAGACTCCCAAAAAAGCTTGCTCTGATAAACTTGCTTCCTGGATTTGCTCAATGCCTCAATACCTTCCTCTAGCCTCTTTTCTGTGGGTGCCAACTGCCACCCACCTTTACAGAAACCATTTGGTTGTAAGTTTATAGAAGTAGCAACTAGATTGTAGTAGCAGTAGTATTTTTTTCATCATAATATTTTAGCAAGATATACAGACCATAAGGCATAGAAGTTGGGGAAAATAAGCAATGATCATTATTTACATATGCTGTTGTTTGTTGCAGGGTAATATTTTGAGGGTCTTGAAATCTGTGATCTTCTTTGGAAGTATTAAGACACAGGGGAAAAAGAGTATTTTCACGGCTTCTCTTCTGTTCTCCTGGTTGGTTTTTGGAGTTAAGCAAAGTACCCATTTGTGGTATCTTTGAAAAGCATTGGTTCTTTCGGAGGGTATTGAAGCAAAGGCAGGGTATATTCCTGATACCCTATTATTTTTTTACATCTTTCTCCTTCTATTCTCAAGAGATAAACTCAGATTTATCTAGTTGCAAACAACACAAAATGTCATGAACTATATAAATAAATGTAAGAAAATAAAAATTTTGTTCCCTTGTATTTATAGTGAAAGAAGCCACTTTATTTTTATCCAACTCTCTCTCTTTCTCTAAGGTATTGACTATTACACTCGAATATTGAATTTTTTTTTTTTTCATTTTGCTAGAGCAAAGTCATGGCAGATTGGCAACGTATCTTGAGCAAGAACACTGGTGGTTGCAGTAGGAAATCAATGAGATATGAAGATTTTGATGAAGAAGAAGTGTGGTCTTATGAGAAGAAGGAAGATTCAAGTTCCACACCAAGGAAACCTAGGGAGTCCTCAAGGTCTTCCTCTGCATGGCGCCTTCCAAGCGCACCAAGAATGATCCAAAGAGTTAGCAACTCAGCAAGCCATGAAGCCAAGGTGGCTCAGCAATCATCAACTCCAATGAATATCCCTGATTGGTCCAAGTTATATGGCAAGCATGCAAATATGGAGTCGTCCAGAAACGGATCATATGTTGACAACAGGGATGGAATTGCTTATAATGATGGGGATTATGGTCGTTGTGAGGAGGATGAAGATGATGATATTGTCCCTCCACATGAATGGCTAGCTAGGAAGCTTTCAAGGAGTCAGATTTCTTCTTTCTCCGTTTGCGAAGGGATGGGAAGGACGCTTAAAGGCAAAGATCTCAGCAAAGTGAGGAATTCAGTTTTGACAAAAACAGGTTTCCTCGAGTAATGTCACAACATCAACAGTTCAACACCAGATCATCATCTTCATTGCATATTACAACCTTCATATAATGCCATCACCAATTATCATCACATCATCAGCAGCACCACCATGATCATCATGTTCATGTTCATCTTCATTGTTCTTTGGGTCACTTGTTAACCTTTTTGCTTTTATCAACTTTTGCTTGTATTATGTTGCAGGCATGTAATGAACTTGGAACTAGAAAACGGTCTTAAAACAAGTTGGAGCTGCCTTTTTGCCGTGGTTTTTCAAGAAGAGGAAAGGAAAAAAAAAAAAAAAAGAAAGTTGGCTGCCTCTGAGATTTTGTCTGCTTGTGGAATAGGGTTTGTTTGTGTTTTGTATATAGTTGGAGTGCACCTTTAACAGTAAACAGAAATAGTCAATCATCTTTCAATTCTTCTTTTGGCTGCTCTTACATTTATCATCAAATTTTAGATCTTTATAGTTGATTTAACAATTTTTAGTAGTAGTTAGTAGTTCTAATTCCTTCATGACTGTTGTTTTTCCTCTCAGTGTCCATATATTTTAATGGTTTTTTTGTACTTCCCTTCTCTATTGTTTCTTTTGTTTTTGCGGGTCAAAACGCCAAACAACAAAGTCAACAGTAAAGCGTCAAACTTTCATCCTGTCCAAAATTTGACCTGTTTCTATAATAGCCAAACCCAGATTTTAACAGGTTAACCCCAGCCAAGATGAAGAATCACAAACATTGGCACTCTCGCAATTCTCATTTCAATGAATCAATTCTTTATTTATGTTCTTCATTTTTAGCTGTTAGCTGATTACTCTCTTGTTCTTGCTGCTTCAACTCCAAAGCTATGTCTCCTCAAACAAGATAAAAGGAAAAGAAATCTATACTTATAGGGCATAAGATAAAAGTATTCAGATGCATCTTCAGCCATTTCCTTCAGAATCAGGGGCCACCATTATACAAAAAGTTTGCAGAAGGGAATCGTCTTGCTGCTCCTGGTTGGGCAGATTTTTATCATATTTATATAACTATTATCTATATACAACACAGCCTACATTTTGATTCAAAGATTGTACTCTTGCATCTCCACAACTTGGTTTTTGGTTCTACCCTTTTGCCGACACGAATTCAACTATTTTTTTCCCTCAATAATTCTCCCACCACTTCCTCTGCTTAAACGTATGACCCTTAATTCGTTCAAAGGACCACTCAACTCTCTTTCTGCTTGCCATCAGCCACATGGAAAGGTGTCATGCATAAGCCACAAGTGGTGCTCCCATTAAAATGAAACAAATCTAGTTCTAACTTACAACACATTAATTTTATTATTCCTTTGAACTTGCTGTTGCTGTTGCTCTCATCTTTATTGCCCCTTTGTGGTATTATTATCTACTTTATACCTTATCAAGGATATGCCAACACAAGTTAGGGCTTAAAGTTGTTTCTGATTTTGACCTGTACATCCTTTGCCATTAATTCATCACAACAAACCATTTTTGTCAAATGGATGTTCCATCATTTAGAAAGGTACCATGGCTGGCTGCCACTATCATAACTACTCCCATCTTTATCTTTCAAATTAATCGATTGATGAAAAATCTAGGCTAGGAACAGAGCCGTTTTCATTTCCATACCTAGCAGCAACTCTCACTCAAACTTCCCTTTTCACCACATTTTGTTCTTGTTTGTAGTTTAATATTTTAACATCGATTTACTAAAGTACTGCTAATTACTCTTTTAGGTATTGTTATAATCATTTATGACCGTTTATCCTGGTTTTCTTTTAAGGATGAAAGTATTAGTTACCTAGGATGGCATTACTAATTGTAATATTGGCCAAATATATGTCATGAATGAAAAGTCTGATGACTGAACATGTAAATATGATCTATGATTTCACTATTCCTGCCTCCAGGGTGGAGAGTTCTTGTTAATATTGTTGTCTGAAGCCCCAATCAAATATTAAGTTTGGGCAGTGAACCTATCAGAGGCCAGCTTTCAATATTGGGATAACAGTCGTTTGGAGTGTATTTCGTTTGTGTACTGTGTTGTCTTGTTTATGTATATTATTGTAGAACTGACAACTTTTTTCCTTGCAGATTGTGAATGTAAAGCTCAAGCCGGTAATATATGTGTTGCTAAATTTGACTGGAGGTGCAGTGGGATTTGCAGATCTGCGGAGAGGATTATGTAAGTTCATCTGCGTTGTGGTGAGGACAAAAATTCTTTATGGAGCACGATCTTCGTGCGAACTACGAGAAGTACTTTAAGAGGAAAGAAATACACGAGAGAGCAGGCATAGATATGCTTTTTGTTTCCTTTTCCCTTCTTTTTTTCCCCTTTACTACACTTATATTGCATTCATAGGTGTAAAGAATGTGTAACAGTAGAGCATATATACTATAGCAATCGGCTGCTGGGGTACCATACCCAACCCCAACAGCAGTAAGAAAGAATGAAGACAGAACTGCCTCAACCTCAATCTTTGAATGGTGGAGGGCTGTATTACAAGTTTTTCTGCCATGGTGAGGAGATCCGTAGTTATAGTAGTAATCTTTGTGGGCAGCATTTTGTTTCTTCCTACTCAATAAAATTAATTTATTACACATTTGTATCTTCAAGACTGATCTCTCTCTTTCATTCATATATATATGAACAACGTTGATTCAGATACATTATTTATTCTTGATTCATGTAGATCCAGGATCCATGAGAAGGGCAAAGTGACATCACAGCCTGTGTATCATGATTTGTTTGACAGACAAGCGCCACAATGCAGCCATCCCTATACTGAATCAAAAGATTATTACATTACCTAATAAAGATGAATCTCAAAGGATAAAATCGTGACCCCTTCTAGCTAATGGTTTTTTTTTTTTCCTTACCCAATAGAAACAAATGTCACTAAAATAGTCAATATGTTCCAGCTTGTAGTGCTGCATGCACTAAATCACCGATTTGATATTGATACCTAATAAAGCTAAACCCTCCATTCACAGCGCTAGAAGCGTCTTTTGGACCATTTAATAATGAAGTTGAATTTTGGACGATGTAATTTAACAAACAGAAGTCAGTTTTTATTATATCCTTCACCTTTCATGAGGATTATCGGTAACCACAATGACAAATAGTACATGTTTTCTGGCTTTCCAAGTCCCATGGAATATGTTCTTGTGGCCATGTCTGTGCTCCTGTTGCTCTTATTTTATGCTTAAAATAAGAAACTGTTTTCACTCACTTTGCGTGTTCTTACTACAAAATTTACATCAATTAACAAACATGAGAATCCGATAATATTAAAATGGCCATGGCAGCAGGGAACTTTTCTTTTCTATTACAAGTTCTTCTCTCAGAATGTATAGTCATTGCCTTGTGTTTCCTTTACAACTGATCACAATCTTTTAGGACCCAAAAATCATGCCTCTCATTAAGTAAAACCTGTTGGAAAAGTATTGTTACACTTGCAACACAAGACTTATGAATGTAAGTGACTCATGGCCTAGCTAGGATGCTGGAAGCTGCATATATAAAAGAAAAACTCTACAAAATTCATGTTTCACATTTTTGTATTTAATGTTTTTTCCTTTTTATGTGAAGGCTTCATAGCAGGATGATTTATACGAGAAATTAAGTTAGTGTCACTATGTCAAGATGAAGACAACACAAAAGGCTTCTGTCTCTTGTGTAATGTATCTTCACGGTGTCTGGAGTAGTGAATTGTCGAAACGTTACAGACTACACGTTACAAACTTTTGCATAAGTTTTTGTTTCCTAGAGATGCGATTTTTATTGTATTTGTAGTATACTAGTATTATCTATATGCGTTTTACTTGAACAGATGAATTTGCTTGAAAGTTAGCCTAAACGTAAATTATGTACCCTTTTGATCCTAATTTTGAATAATATTATCTTTACCAAAAACCTACATCCTCAGTCTCAGAATGTCCTCAGCCTTACATGACTGCAGCAGTAAATCTGGTCACACTATAATTCCAAACCATTTTACATTTCATATACTTGTATAATTAGTTCAACTCTACATGTAATTACTTCTTAGGACTGCAATAGGAATGTTATATACAATGACATAAATTAGCACATAAGTTAAGCAATAGTCTTTTAATTGTGTGATTCAAATGAAGAAAATGTCTTTGAAGTAAATAAACGATGATGGATGACTGTTGAAAGGTTCACCCCATGGCATGAAAAAAAAAAAGTGCTGGCATTCATTCTAGATATATATCCAATTGTTTTGTATCTTTTCAGAAAGATGTACATGGAATGTGTTGTAAAGAAGCCTTAAGGGAGATAGAATCTTGTCAACTACCCATATCAATTTGTCAAAAAAGTTGTGGACCTTTACCTAGAAGTAACTGATACAAATAAATATTCTATTTCATTAATTAAACCTATCTTACCTACCACACAAAACTTTCTCTGAATTCAACAAATGCTTCCATTGCCTTTTGGACAACAAGAAAAGTGTATATTAAACACATACAACAAAAAAACAAAGAACAAAAAAATCATCCCAATAATTTTGACATGGTTTTTGTCTGTTTACAACCAGGTTTGGTGGAATTTCCCTGCATGAAAAGTTTGCCTTGAGGTTGATGGCAACTCAAATGTCCAGAAAGCTTATGCTTAACTGGGTCTTTGAAGCCACCATGCATGCGACTCAAAAATGGTTAATAAGACCTTCAAAATCCTGCATTCAATACATGATATTGATAACACAACTTATCTCTAATCTTATATGACATGAAGTCCCTCCACATTCAAAATCTAATCTAATCAAAAGAGAGAAAGCAGTATAACTATCATTTGTTTATATGGCAAAAAAGGGCAAATAATTAATTTCAGGCTAACATTTATCAGTACTTACCATAACCAAGAGCTTGCTTTCTGAAATATATATATTCATACATGTAGCTGGTTAAAGAGGAAGGGGGCATAAACCCTGGAACTTTTGATGCTTTGATTGAAAGCAAAGTTATAATCACTGAGTGAACGTGATATTGGCACGGCTCAATCAAATAACAGAACTCTACCCTTGGAGTGATGCTCTCTGATTGAACCGCACCAATATCTCGATTACACTCTTATTTCACTATGCTTTCCATATGCTATCACCATCTTCCTGGAGATGATGCTATATAGTGGAGAAGTAGCACAAAATAATACTAGTAAGATTTTAATCATATTGGTAAAATATATACATCTGAAGAGAATATAGCACCAAAAAAATATAAATTACCTTCTATTTCATCTGATAGAAAATGATGAAGGAATAAGAGGCATATGTAGGAAAGCTTTCAACAGGCTCAAAATCAGTAAAAAGACATAAAAACAGCGTCCAGGGTATAGGAGAGAAGAAACATGAATAGAGGCTGAGGAGATGGGATATATTTGTCCCTGCAGAGTGAAGATGCTGGTCAGCGAGATTCTCATATCTTTAATGAATAAGAGAAGGGGGGAGGGGATTAGAGAGTGAGAGAGATGGATGTGGCCTCGATAATGGTAGCATTGAATTTGCCACCAACTCAACAACAAAAAGGGGGTTGGTATATTAAATTTAAAGCTTAGAGACAATGGGATACCTCACTGAAACAAACCCTTGAGCTTTCAATTTGTATTTATGAGGTAGAAAGCGCATGTTGGTGTGGTGCCACCAGCATTTGAATTTCAAAAAAGCTTTTGGAATAAAGTCGTCGGTTGGTGAACTTAATTTTTAGGTTTTTTGCGTCTAGCTGAAATTCTACGAAACAATATCTCTGGGAGCCAGATTTTGCATTTAAGAACCACTTGCACGAAATTTTTTCTGCATCAAACTAATTTGTATATAGACATATAGGCTACAGCTCATGAGAATGATGTGGAAGGACAATATTTAATTATGGGGCAAACAAGATCTATAGGATCTTAAATTTTGGTATTTTAGTTGGGGTTTTACTCCATAATTTAATTATTTTAAGAAGATTTAGACCTCTCAATTAATTCACAAAATAGAGTTTGGATTTAGGAATCTATGGTCTAATGCTTGATCTTGATTGAGCATATACATTCAATGAAGCAACAAAATTGAAACTCGACCCCAAGAAACAGTGACCAAGTTTTGATTAGATGGTACATTAATGAAGCTCTCCTTATAATTTGAAGTTGATTTTGGGTTTTATATAATTCCCAAAAGTCTAATAGCAAAGGCTTTCAAAGTTAATTTTACGGCCTCTAAGTTAGGGTTTTAACATCCAGCCATCAATATATTCAATTTAGCCTATAAATTTAAGCTGTCCTTAACGTCACTCAGGCTTCGAGTCAGAGTCAAGTAGCGACCAATTACCAAGAAAGAATGGTCTAGAAATTAGTAAGATCCGTTGCCTTGTGACAAACAGGAAAATTGCTTACCCAGCAGGTTTTGTGGAGCATATTTCATGTAGGACAAAAAAATCCCATAGCTGGGACGATGATCAGGATCTAGTTGTGTCGAGTTGTTTTCCCTTACAATAAAGGAATCCAGAGTGGGGGATTCATGATATATCAAAACAGCACTGGCTCCTCCATTATCATCGTGCATATTTAGGTATAGTATAATAATTCTATGCCCTCATGTATCCCTATCTCACCCGCAAGGGCCATTATTTTGTGATCTATTCTTTATTGTATGAACTGCAGAATCGAGTAACCAGAATGACACTTGAAAAGCTTTGAATTAGATAAATTCATATAAATCGACCCCATTCATGCATAAAAAATCCACTATATTCTCAGTTATACAACTCTGATAATAAACATGGAAATTAAGTGGCATTTCTTTTGTTATAGTTAAGGCACGCACATAAAGGAAATATTTAATTATTGCTATGTTCTTGTGAAGTTTATCAGAATTGAAATTTATAAGATGATATACACAGGTAGAAAATTTCTGTAGGCTATATATGTATAAACAAAAAGAAGGAAAGAGGAATCATGGGTAATTAAGGCAGAAATAACTGAAGATTGACCCATGGGGCCCTATAATTTAATTATTGGTCTCCAGGAAGGAGTGGATTAGGTTTGGATGTGCAGTGCCCTCGTCTTGTTACTGACAGAACCCATGTTCTACAATGGTGAATATCCTTGAAGCATGTTCCCTAATTATAAAAACTGTGCCGGTTAAGAATGAACAAAGATGAAACAAAGCATTCGGCAGGAACCCAATAGTCAAAATAAATATCGTATCTACTGTGCCAACTAATATGCTTAGTTTTCTGTATTTCAGTGTGACAATTGAGTTATGATCGAGTATAGCATTAATATTATATATCTACGATGTATATATGAAATGTTTGCAGATGCAGAATCACAAATCAGAAAATATAGAATTTTCCAATTATCTATGATGCATTGGGTTGGCTACCACCACTTGCTGGATCCCATATAAAACAATACTTTTGCTAATAAATGGTGTCTTATTTGATGGTATGCTTACCTACCAGACCATTAAAGATTAGAATAATGCGAATAAAATTAGTGGGATTATTATTAGCCGATTAGTTTTCAGGATCAGGATTAGCAGTACTGTTGTACTTCTCTTTGTCCTCAAGTTGATTAAGCTGATAAATTAACTGATAATTTCTTTTTTTAAAACGATTGACGATTAGGAAAGGTAAAAACAAGCAAAAATGAAGTAAGAAATTTTCTAAGCTATAGAAACGAAAGGCAGCTGCAAGTACAAGATAATAAGCCAAACAAGCTTGTTAGGGATCCCCAAGTCCTACCAAAAGGAAACCTGTATCTACCACGCACCACCCCATGATCCGTCCCTCTCCCCATGTGAATTGATGTCTGCATTTCTACACATCTCTTACAGCAAAAAAACAGCCCCACTTTAATGACTGTTTTCACGTGAAAACACTTGAAATGTGCTACCCTGCAGCATAGTCCTATCTATCTCCTTCCTTGACCCCCTACCAGAAAAACCCTACGTCCTATTCACTTACTACTATTCTTTTTTCCGTTTTTAATATGTCCATTGGCTTTCATAGCAGGCGCATCCACTTAAGGCAAAGGTAGGCCTATAACCTTAATTGTTATCTTAGATATGCATTTAAAAACTCAAGTTTTAAGGGGTACCGTACCACCAAATTGCAGTGACATTATATACCACTATAAATTAAGAACTAGCTCTCATATTGTATACAAAGAATTGCAGAGAAGAAACGAGTGAAGTCATCATTTTGGCAATGATCCATTTGAACTAAAGAGTAGTACTTTCACATTACTGATACTTGAAGATCACGGCACAATTTATGAAGGTAGTTAATACACAAGCAGGTAAGCCAGAGAGAGAGCTTGAAAAAATACCATAGAGAAAAGTCAATACTTGTCGTACTTCTGCCAACATAGTAGCATAACAACGCACCTCCTTAATATGTAAAACCTCGATCTTTGTTCCTTGGCCATGGTTAAGCACCTTTTCTTCAAACTTGACGTTTCCTCACAACGCCCTTCTTTATCATCTCCTGTTGATGATGGCGCAGAGTGGCACTGACCCATGCTTGCAATTCGTCACCGTAATTAAAGACTTACACGCGCAGATGCCAGAGGGTCTAAAAGAGTGAGATTACTTGCAGTAGACCGACCAGAAGCTCTTAAATGGAGTCACCTAATGGACCAGTAGCTCTGTTCTGTGGTCCTTGACTTCTTGGTAACTGCAGGCTGTCTCCTCTCCTATACTTAATGCATGCTCCCCTAGATCTACTATCTTTCCGTTCTCAAAGGAAACTGGAACACTCTTTGCATTAATTTGCATATAAAAGAGAGAGATGCAAGATTTCACTACTAGGCAAAGCTATTTGTCTTCTTTGAGGTTTGCCACTTTATAATTATGTGTATTATTTGATGAAGGTAGATAATACAGTAGTCTATGGCATCAAAACCTCTAATAAATCTCTTATAAAATCAAGTTGAAGCCAAACCGAGGTTATGTCGTCTATAGTACTCTATACACTATTCAAAGTTGTGAATTCTTGATTTTCAGATACAATATTTGTCACCCCATGGCTTGTCTTGGTGCATTTGTGTGGTTGATGATAGATAATCAGAGAAAACCTTCTAAATTACTAGTTCATTGATAATTAAATTAGAAGAGAAAAAACAGTGAAAAATTTCCTTCTTTTTGACCCTTGTTTTTTTCTTTTTCAACATTTCAATGGAACCATATTTCATAAGCATTTTGAATTAGGGTTTCCAACCAAACCCCCAAGTTGTTTGACAATCATTAATTTTTTTTAAGAAAAAATAATTTTTAAAAACCATTTTCATCAATTATTTTTACTACCTTTGTTTTACAAAATAGAAAATACATAACAAATTCACATTTGTTGATCAAAATCTTGATAGCTAATAAGCCCATAAATACACTAATTATTGTTCATGCCAGCCCTATTTTCAACCAGAAACCTTAAACGACTTCGTTTCATATGCCTACCCGGGCAGCCCGGATCAGATTCTTTGTTACCGGGGCAATCCAATCGGGAAAAAGTACTAAAAATAAAATAATAATAATAACAAAAAAGAATCATTTAGAAAGTCCCCTGAGCTTTTGGTTTCGTTTTGGCCTCGAATTGAAGTAAACCCTTGAAAGGTTTCCTTGTTTCCTAAAAAATCTCCCATTTCTTATATAAAATTCTAAATCTTCTTATAAATTTCTTTGCCTGAAGCCGACTCTTTTTCTCTCCATCGATTACTCAATCAATTGGGTTCTTTTTAAATTGAAACCCTAATTTCTTAAAGCCCCTCCTTGTTATTTCGTGTTGGGTATTTTTTAATGTCATTTTTCGACAAATTTTTCACTTTGATATATGTTTTCGCCTTTTCCTTGTTTTCTAATTTAGAAAAGATTGAATTTTTGGTGATGTTTCGATGTTTGAATTTCGCAGTGGATAATCAGGGGTTGAATCTTGCAATGGCCAAAAGTTCCTTCAAGCTTGAACATCCTTTGGGTTAGTTTCATTGATCCCTTTTTTTCTGTTCTTTTGTCTCCTTTTTGCCTTTAAGAAATTTGTTGAAAATTTCGCTTGATTGAATTATTGTTGAATTAAAATTTTATTTGGGTATTCTTTGTTATAATTTTTTTGGTTTAAATATATAATATTTTTCTTTATTATTGAGGCTTATTCAGTATGGAATTTTGTATGGAAATATTAGAAATTAGGTATCGTTTATGAAACCTTGGATCAATTGGGGGGAGTTCTTAGTCGAATTCATGAGATGTTCCATCGTTTCTACATATTGATATTCCTATAAGTTGGCTTGTTTAGGTGATCAGTTTTCTTGGAGAAAATAAAAATGCTCTTGGTTAAAGATGTTGCAATATTTGAAAGGAGCAAAACATGAAGCATGAAACGTGGAAGTTGTCTGTTTGCTGTGGTTGCCTATGTTTGTATTCCATGTTCTGCTGCATCTTGTTTGTTTTGCTTTTCTAGGTTATTTCTGTCATTGCCAGTGATGAAATTTCATTGGACATATTGGTATTTATTTCTTATTTTCATTTTACACTTGGTTTTTTTCTTTTCTTGTTGCATCCTTTTGTAGTATATATTCTCAACATTGCTTAGCAGAGGATATCATTTTCTTTTTATTCTTTATTCTTTTGTTTTTTCTATTTTTCTTTATTCTTTTGTTTTTTTCTGTTCTTCATGATATATAGGAACGAGTGGGTGTAATTTGTCTCACCTCTTTTTGAATATAGTTGCAGACTTGCAACATCCTCATTATCTTTGCTGTTGTCTCTGCTGCCCTTGTTCTCTGATCTGATTAAGCTAAAAAAATTTTCTTTATACTTGTTCTCCATTTTTAAAATTTCTAATTCGCAGAAAGGAGGCAGGCTGAAGCTGCTCGCATCAGGGAGAAGTATCCAGAGAGAATTCCTGTAAGAATATTTAAGTTACTATCTTCCCCTTTTGCTTAATATTTTATCCTGCTTTGTTCTTTTATTAATCTTCTATGGTAATGGGCAACCATGCAGGTTATTGTGGAGAGGGCTGAAAGGAGTGACATTCCTGATATTGATAAGAAGAAGTTAGTAGCATTTGCGTTTATTTAAGTTAAATTTTCTTCTGTAGTAGTACAACACAATCACAGTTTTTCTTTTTAAGTTTTTGCTTTCCAAAACCTATTAGTCTAATCTTTGGTATCCTTCTAAAGAATTCGGCTAAGATGTGTAGTAACAACATTGATTGTAATGAACATGGAAACAGCAATGCTTCACTATTCTTTTTATTTAATGTGTTATTAGCCAAACTTGCTTGCTAGTGAATGATGTCTTATGTCATTTTTTTTGCTTGGGTTGTCAATTTTAATGGACTTTTGAGAATTTACCAAGATATCCTACAATTGGACTAGTCACTTTTTTCATAATATTCTTCTTTGATTATTGCTTCAGGTATCTTGTTCCTGCTGATTTGACTGTGGGGCAATTTGTTTATGTTGTCCGTAAAAGGATTAAGCTTAGTGCTGAGAAAGCTATATTTGTCTTTGTGAAGAACACTCTCCCTCCTACTGGTGAGTGATAATATGTTAGCTTCATGCATGTAATCTATTACAATTTGTTGTTCTGTTTGTGAGGCTTATTTCTTTTTTATTGCAGCTGCCTTGATGTCTGCAATCTACGAGGAAAATAAGGATGAAGATGGTTTTGTTTATATGACTTACAGTGGAGAGAATACATTTGGTTCCCATCTACTTTTAGCGTAATGCTATCAATCTATGTAAATATCTAAAAGAAAAGGTGTAAATTCTCAGTGGTGCCACATAAGTCAATGCTCTTTGCTGAACAATGGCAGTTTTTAGCTGTCGGGACTTGGAGTTTTATTTTCTATAAATTGAATGCCCACTATATTTAACTGTATTCTTATGGTTTTAATTATAATATTTTTATCAATGCAAGATGTTGAATCAAGATGCAACATTGTTGCTTATGGAAAAACCATGCAGTATATATGTTTTTTAGAGTTATTCTTAAGGGGTAAGGGGAGCATCATCTAAAGGCTTGGCCTTGGCTCTTTCTTGGGAAGTACTTAATATTCTAAATAGTGAATGTAGATAGTGGTGCTTTGTGCGATGAGGCCAAAATTATTTCTTAAACAGTGTTAAACACTCAAATTGGATGGATGATTTGCAGCTGTTTAGGAGGTAAATTATATTCTTGAATGCTTGCAAAAGGTTGTGAAGTGAGAAGACAAATCAGTAGTTGTTTGATATGACCTTCCTATGTCGCACGATTGTTATCCAGCCATTTTCAAGAGTAGGGGCAGCGGCTCCATGAATCTACCCTGAAAGGGGCTCAAGAAACTCTACAATGCTTAAACTGCCGTAAATTGGAGAATGTAGTTCCCTCGAAAATGAATCAGGAATACATCTGAGCCTTGCTAATTAGGCTGCTCGAGATCTTGGACAAAACAATCAAACAATTGCTAACAAAATTATGTTCTAGTGAATATTTTTATATTCGTTTGGAGGAGCTCTTTTTCTGGCATTTGTTCTTGACCCATGTTAATCCCTTGGATGCCCCAAGCTTGAATTTCTTCGCTCCCATCAAAGCTGCTGTTTTGGCTTTATTAAATCCACCTTTTCCTTTGGATTTCTTGTTGCCATTCTCTTTCTTGGGAGTAGGGTCTTCATTTTCCATGGCACCAATTCCTCCAGCACCCCATTGATCAGCCCAGCTTGGTGCCTCACTCGCCATAGAACCTTCTTATCTTTTCTAAGTCAGAGCAAAAACAAGTTTATGAAACCAATCCCAATGATCATAACCGTGTTTTAAATGCAACCAAGCAGAATATAGTAATGCTGTCAATGAAGAAATGAACCATTTCAGCCAAACTTTTAGTGGATTTATATGCTTCTTGAATGATGCATAGATCCTTTAATGGAATGCTATGAAATCATAATTTCGAAAGTTTCTCTTTCTTTTCGTGTATATTATGCATATATTTTCAAATTCAATACCAAATATAAGACCTTAAGGCAGTAGATATGCAGGATATTAAGTTATGCCTACAAAAACATGCATTTGCAGAAGCAGTTAGACCATGTATCCTCCCTATGAAAGCTAAGAAAAAGATCTGAAGAATAGGAGAAATGGACTTAAAGTATCTGTTATGAATAGCAGAAATGAGAAAACAAATAAGTAAAAAAAAAAAAGATAGTACCTGGTGATGATTAATAAGGGTTGTGCCTTTCCCTGAGAAAATTTGATAGAAGCAGCAATGAACAATAATTGGATTTCTCTGCTCAAGCACCTTTGAAAACGTAAATAAAAAAGCACCACATGTAGATGGCTCGTCTTTAATCTCCTTTTGTCCTTTTATTTAAAGGACTTGCCAACTCACTTTTTCCCATCATCTGAAGCAAACTCCTTTTAGCATCTTCATATTCCTTTTTGTTCTTTATTACAAATAAGTAATGACGATTTTGAACCCAATTCCTTTTTGTCAATAAATATTTTTTGTACCTATTTTCTTGCGTTAATTTTGAACCCAATTCTATGCCATCTCTTGGCTCCAATCAAAGCAGTTGCTTTGGCTTTACTAAATCCAGCTTTTTCCTTGGCTTTATTCATCAATGTTATGCACTTGGATACCCCAAACTTGATTTTTTCGCTCTCATCAAAGCAGCTGCTTTGGCTTTTATTAAATCCTGCTTTTCCATTGGTTTTTTTGTGGATGCCACAATCATACAAAAGCAAGGCATGGCAAGCCACATATATTCAAGGTAAGAAACAATTCTTTGTGTAAAAACCTAAGAGCTTAAAACAGTAAATGGACAGGAAACTGAGGTAAGGTAAGGCCACATAAACTAGTACAACACAACTTATAGTCCCACTATAAATGTTAACAAGAAGATATAAACAAAGGATCACACCATAGATGGGCTGTCTTTAATCCCATGTTATCCCCTTTTTAAACGGACTTGAAAGTCAATTGATTCCAAATCCCATTACCTAAAGCTAGCTATTTCATTTGCCATCTTCTCTAATGAGGCATCAATGTTCATTTTTTATGCCTAGATATGGCAGCTGAAGGGAGACCTATTGCCAATGAAGTATTTGCACGGTGCTAAAGGGGGAAAAACTGTCTCTTAACTCTTAAGCAAGTTTAGCAGATTGCTTGTCTAAAAGTTGAAGTTGTTTGACTCTTGCCTGCAGACATTGTTAGGCCAGTGCACAATGAACCTGATTGGGCTTGAACAACTCTCTCCTACAATTCAAGGCAGAATTCGATTTATAGAGAGACATGTGAACTCATCATGATATTTCCTTTGTGAGAAAGCCTATAAAAACCAAGTCCATTGCCCTAATGGTGTCTTCTTTCCTTCATTTCTTGCAGAACATATAAGAAATTTTGTTCAAACTAGATGTACATAAATATGCATGTCATTCTCATTTTTTCTCCGCCTTTATTTTGAAAGTAAATCCTTCCTTTCCAGAATTCTATACAAAATATTGTTTGTTCCTCATTCCATCCGCAAACATTTGCATATAAGAGAATTGTCATATAATATAATATCTGGTATTATTCAACATTGTAGATCGATCAGTTGCATCTCTTGTCGACAAATGAACATCAAGAAGGCCATTAACATCTTGTTGGAACAAGGGTAGTGCCAAAAGAGGAATTGGAAAATAGAAATTGAAAAATGGATATTAACTATCCAATAACGCAGCCTGGTTTTGGATTCAGGCCCATAAGTTTGAAACCAGCTCTAGTATCAGGCTTTGTGAAATTTATTTATTTTCGTTGGGCCTATCTCTGGCAATAGAGACTCGAAATCAAAAAGTAAGGTAACTGTGACAATTTTGGATCTTTTCCAAGTGATAACAACCATATTAGTCTCCATAACCATATACAACATACTAGAATCCAGAACATATGAGTAGAAAATGGTTCATGTCGCATAACAACCATATTTAAACAGGAATATTGCTCGCTTAAACTGCTAGGTACTGATTTATTCACACAGTAGCAGGATTACGTGCTTAATGCATCCAGAGCCCTTTCTTCCATTACTCTGCCTAGTGCTTACTGGAGTTCCTTCAGAAAGTCTTCATTGTCAACCAGGACCTGCAGACAAAAAGCATAACCATATCCTGAGTTTGTCAACATAAAAGGATCTCACTAACATGAATCACTCGTATGTATATATTATGGTTTAATTTAATCTGGTTTGGTTGAGCAAGGGATGTGCAATGACACCGTGCCTCTAATCGCTTCCTCCTATCCCATACCTTTTCCCCTCATCAAAGCCCTTGTTTGTTTCCATCAAAGGTTTAAAACTTAATGCACTTGTCTTGGCGTTTCTCCTATGGACCTCAAACATACACTACACATTCAAAATTACAGACCTCATAGAATGTTCAAATACTATTCTTGGTTTATGCACAGGCTCTGGGTTCTTCCCAGAGCTTTCTAACTATTCTACAGACTAAACACCTATATGATGTACTTCAAATAATCTTAAAGTTTCATTATTAAGTTTTCTACCAGGGTTAAACATCCAAGGCAAGCTAAAGGATATATGACCAACCCGCTAGTTGCCAATTGCCAATCTTACCATCTAGTTCTAGTAAGAAATTTCAACAGCACACAAAAATTAGCCTAATAGCAGTTGCCACTTTATTGTACCAACCAACAAACTATTATCAGAATGCTTATAGGTTATAAGAACGTTCCAAACTCCAACGATTATCCCTTACAAATGCTCTAGCAAATAATAGATATGGTAAAGTTGCCAGTACTACTAAAAACTTACAGTTTTCCAGCCATCAGGATCTAGGAAAGAGGTAATTTTAGTGTTGATTCCAGGAATTGGGCCTGGTTTTCGAGTAACCTTTCCCCCAAGCTCTTGTATAACATGTTCCACGACCTCACCACTTTTGTATACATCATCAGTACTAATAGCAACCTGGAATGAGGACAATAGTCATCAAAAAAGGGCAATGGAATCAGCACTAACAGATATTTTTGTTGCAAGGATAGATAAGTAGAAAGAGAGTCTGAAATTGACCTGTGCGTATGCATTTCCCTTGGTATACTCGGTCACTCCATAATTGTAAGTCAACTCAAGAACAGTAGTCTCATGTTCTTCTGCATACCCCATCATGGCTATGGAGTACTGTCAAGAGAATGCAACAAAAATGAGAGAATTTTAGTTGGCTTCTTCCACAGCTAAAGGATAACTTTCATACTCTCATGCTAAGTAAACCAAATAAAATAATCCAAGTAGGACAGAATTTACCTTGTATTCAGGATTATCAACCTTCTTTACTAGCTTCATCCCCAGGGCCTGCAAAGAAATATTCAAAGAAAAGCTAGGAAATTACCAACTCATAAAAAATTTTAAGCAACGAGTAATAAAAAAGAATCAGTTGAGAGCAATGACAGCAAGCAATTATTAGGTCCAAAGCCTGTTTATGACTATTCTCCTATAAGTCAATCTTTCATTTAAGAGATTTATGCACTCAAAGCACAATGGATTAGCTTTGAAATTGAAAAATAAGATTAATTAGAGAAACAAAATTTTTAAGCAAAAGATAAGTTTATATTGCACTACCTTTTCATAAAATTTGACAGAGCGATCTAGATCCCCAACACGAAGCATTACTTGACAGAGCGGCTCAGGAGTAGAAGCTCTTTGGATTAGCTCAAAAATGTAACCATCAGGATCCTTCACAAAAGCAATAACAGTGGATCCACCTTTGACTGGACCAGGCTCTCTAGTAATATTGCCGCCCTTCGCACGGATGTCCTCAACCATTTTGTAGACCTAAAGTACAGAGTGCAATACATATCAGCATTCCCAATGAATCTTTTGCTTGAGTATTCCAAAAGTAGGAATTTACATCAGGAGTTGCAATTGCAAAATGCCCAAAACCAGTTCCAATATCATATGAAGTTACTCCATAATCTGTAAAACAAAAATAACAGTTCTTAGAGATCATAGACGATCAAGAGAACTAAAAATGAATTAATAATCATACAGAAAGAATAAATTCAGAAGCTATCAGTCATTATCAGTAAACTCCTTCCCTACCCCCAAAAGTACCCACTTTAGATAAGTATACTAGTATTATGATTAGTGAAGGATACCGCAATAGATGTAGCAGATCTACAGCATGCTGAACAAAAGGAATCAGAGGGTTAACTGTTTGATCAGGAAACAAAAACTTGCAAGCGCCAAGCATCACAGATATAACAAAAGCCATTTACAGAGAATATTTCCATATAAAAGAATAATGATTTTACAAACGTACTGTACGTTAATTCCACAACGAAATGAGACTCTTCTGGGCCAAACCCAAGAAAAGCATTGGAGTATTTCTCTTCAGGAATGTCTCTTTTCCTCAACAGCTTCATTCCAAAACACTCAGTGTAAAACCTGAATGCAAATTTTTACCAGAAAATAAGGACATCCAAGCATCAAAACAAAAGGTTTAGCAAAAATTTTAAGAGCACCCTACTTCTAGGAAAGCATACTTACTTGATGGTACGATCAAGATCACCAACACGGTACACGGCATGAAGGAACCGACGCCTATCTTTCTTTGGCCATTCCAACAACTCAGTACTGGGAACAGCAGCTGAACCTTCAGCCATCTTTCGACAAATCCGAATGCTCAGTAACCCTTCATGAAGTCAACCAAGTAAATAAAAAATACATCTTTTAAACAAAAGTTTCTTTTAAATCAAAAGGTTCACCTAATCCATCTTTTTTTCTTTTTTTCTTTTTGAAATCCACCAATAAAGTCGCCTTTTTCACTTCTTTTTTTTTAATCTTTATGCGAAGATCAAAATGAAGATTGGAAATTTATTATAAAGATGGATCACAACAATGAACTCAAATCAGATTATGCGAAATAAAAGCAAAGACAGCAAAGATAACCCTAATTTGGGTGGAAGAGCTTGCCGGCACTTACTCGAGAGAGACAGTGAGTGACTTGCTGAAATGAATCGCCTAAAGGGAATCCTGTTAGCAATGGAACAAATTTATTTTCTCTTTCTTTATCATTCCTCGCTAACGTTACTGTTTGTTACAAAGTGATGCAACAACCAACAAACACGTCTCCTAATAGTTGCAACCAACCAACCAGATGTGTCCTTCTTAACTTGTAAGGAACACATGCTGTTGTCTTAGAACAAATGATTAAGAAACAGTAAAACACATGTATTTATCAGGATGATTGACGGTTTTTTTTTTTTTTTTAGTCGAGAAGTCAAACCCTCTAACGGATGCTACCACATATATTTAAAAGGCTTTAAGATGTCATTAGTAGCAGATTGGAGCTTTGTTTTGATATCTAAAAGGATTTTTGCGGTCCAGACATGGAAACGCCAAAGACGAAGGGTCAATTGCAGATGAAAAGTAGCGGCCACCATCGGCCATGGAGAGGGAGATATCAAATTTACGACTTTACTTTTGTAGACTTTGAACAAATGGGCTTTCATGGCCTGCTTTTAATATGATGTCCAGATCAACAAAACCAAGAATGGGTTTTGTTCCAGTTTCCCAGTTGCAGCTTCAAATCTGTAAGGAAACTACGTTGTCTAAAGAAATATATATTGCATTTTCATTTGTTTTTTTTCCTCTTTGATGTGTGTGTAATGAGATATTTCATTTTTGCAATTTAAAATAAGCATAGAATAAGAACGGCTGCTTCCTAGTATATGTATTTTTTTGCTCTATTTTATCCAAATGAACTTATGACTTTAACTTCAAATTTCGATTGACTTGTTTTACATCAAACTCCATAATCTCAAGTAGAGTGCGGGAATAAGAATTACATTAATTTCTTAAGGCAAAGGTGATTATCTTTTAAAACACCACATGCATGTTAATCAAAACTATTTAAGGCTGATAATGAAGATAGTTTTTATTAATTCTTCACCTAGAAAGAAGCAATTCCCAGCATCTGAATGGGCTCATGCTACTTATTCCTTTCCCCCACTTAAAAAGATGGACAACGATGCAAGCAGCTAAATATGTTAATTTAATGACTGGAAGTTTAGACCAAAACCTTATCAGTAACTTAATATCAAGAATGAGAGAAACTGATGCTGCTCTCCTTTGTGTTGCTAGTCCATTTGGGGGGAAAAAAAAACCCAGCTTTGTTAAGCCCAATCTCCAAAACCTTCAAACAAAGGAGTTGGCAAGTATATTCATTTCATCATTGTTGTGAGTGATATTGATATGCAAGTGGAATGGACGCCCCTAGGATTCCAATTTCCAATTTCTAAATCCCGTATGGTTAAAAAGCATTCCTGCTTTTTCCTAATGATTCCAACGTTTTTACTTATTACCGTGTCAACCTAAAAAATTCCATTAATTAGTTAAACCGAATTTGTTAATGCTTTTAGGCTCATCATTTTTATTCCATAGAAAAGTCCGGCTAGTGGAGCAACCAAGAACGGTAGGTCAACAGCATTTTACATTCCATTATCAGCAGACACCTACCTTCTTTCAATCTTCTGTAAGGAATGGATTGCTGCAAATGGACAATCTAAACCAACATTAAGCATCTTAATTACGTAAAATCAGGACATCTGACAGGTTTTACTAATGTAGTTTAATAACTAAACCATCAAAGCCAAACAAGTAAAAATAAAAAGGAACATCATTTTGGACAATGCTGACCCACATGTGATGTGATGCAGGTGCTTTGTCTATGCTCGTGACTCACTGCTTATTATGGTACCGGAGATTCTGTGTTTTTTTGTTTGATATTTGGTATTGTCCTCCATGTCAACCACATACTTGCCTTGTTCTTGCCTCATAATTTCATAATTTTCTTTCCACCTGGTTATGCAATAGCAGTTTAGACTTTTCAAGGAGTTCCGGTTATGCTTTCAAACCAATTAAAATTATTGATCCTTAGACATCAGGAATTTGCATTATAAAATCTAAAGGCTACAAAGTCATTAACCTGAAACTGTGTCTAGTTTTGGTCAAAAAAGCTGGCTGATGTTAGTTGAGTTTCGAAAGTGAACATAACGTTGGCTTAGTTAAAAATGTAAAATGCTAAACTCCCACGCTAGACAAATACGCAAATGGGAACTGTGGAGTAGAGTGTTGAAAGTGGCTAAAGATGAGGTAAAGCATCGTCTCTCTGGAAACGCCAGCCTGTACAATCAAGAACCATCTCAAACTTACCAGTCTTAATTTACAATGTTGCCCTCCCATCCATCATATCCTTCCAAAAAGCCCCCCTGGTTTCAAGTTATATCAATTATTGCCTAGTCCTTTTGCCGAAGTCATGGTCACCGACCGTCCAGTTGAAATTAGAAAATAGGAAGTGTTGGCCCTGTGGGCAAAAATCTCAGAGCAAGCGACAAAACGGGTTCACTTGTCGGCTGTAGGGGTATTGTGGTAAATGTGTGGTAAGAAATCGAATTATGGTGCCAAAAAAGCATCTCTTTGGGAAGCAAAGAAAACCAGTTAAACCCCCAAAGACTCTCAATTTGCTGAATTTTTTTATAGATGTTAGTTGGTTTGCTTCATCTTACTGTAGATCTCTTAAGTCAATCCTAAGCACAACCAATACAAATCCCACAAGAAAATAAATCGAGTGGCCACAAGGAAAACTTGCAAAGATAATGTTAGGATTCCTAGCAGAGACTGTAGCAGAGGATGCAGAAATAAAGCTGAAGCTCCTCTTCAATGGCAAACTCTAAGCTTACTACTTTTCTTATCACCATCTTTTTATTTTGCTTTACAGTTCCTTCAACAGGTAATGTCTCAAAAACCCCAGTAGAAAATAGCTTACTTAAAATCAAAGAAACTTATAAGGACTCAATTTGTATACTAATATTTTTCTTTTACAAAATTTTGTAGCAAAGTCATCGACTTTAGTCCAAGAAATCAAGCAGCAAAGTCCACAACAAGATAAAGAGCCTTTTGTGGGTGTTAACATAGGCACGGATGTTTCGAATCTGCTATCATCAACGGACTTGGTTTCATTCTTGCAATTGCAAAAAATCTCACACATTCGACTTTATGATGCAAATCCAGATATACTCAAAGCATTGGCAAAGACAAAGATCCGGGTCATTATCAGTGTACCCAATAATCAGCTTTTGGCAATAGGGTCATCCAACACGACGGCAGCTTCTTGGATCGGTCGAAACGTCGTCGCTTACTACCCTGAAACGCTCATCACTGATATTGCTGTTGGAGATGAGGTTTTAACAACAGTACCATCCTCGGCTCCTTTGCTGCTTCCTGCAATTCAGTCTCTTTACAGTGCTTTAGTGTCTGCAAATTTGCATACTCAAATCAAGGTTTCAACTCCACATGCAGCTTCTATTATTCTTGATACCTTTCCTCCTTCTCAGGCTTTCTTTAACCAAAGCTTGACTTCAGTTATGCTACCTTTGCTTCAGTTTTTATCTAGAACTGGGTCTCCTTTAATGATGAATCTTTATCCATATTATGTGTTTATGGAGAATAAAGGTGTGGTTCCCCTGGATAATTCCTTGTTTAAGCCATTGACACCCTCTAAAGAAATGGTTGATCCTAATACTTTGTTGCATTATACTAATGTGCTTGATGCTATGATTGATGCTGCATATGTTTCTATGAAGAATTTAAATGTTACTGATGTTGTGGTGCTTGTTACCGAGAGTGGGTGGCCTTCGAAGGGGGATTCAAAAGAGCCTTATGCTACTATAGATAATGCAGATACCTATAATTCAAATCTTATCAAGCATGTTTTAGACCATAGTGGAACCCCTTTGCATCCAGAAATCACTTCCAGTGTGTATATATATGAGTTATTCAATGAGGACTTGAGGTCACCTCCAGTGTCTGAGGCGAATTGGGGATTGTTTTATTCAAATTCGACGCCAGCGTATTTGCTTCATGTATCAGGAAGTGGGACCTTTTTGGCAAATGATACAACCAATCAGACCTATTGTATTGCAATGGATGGGGTTGATTCAAAGACATTGCAGGCAGCTTTGGACTGGGCTTGTGGTCCTGGGAGAGCAAATTGCAGTGAGATTCAACCAGGGGAGGACTGCTACCAGCCTAATAACGTGAAGAACCATGCTTCTTATGCCTTTGATAGCTATTATCAGAAGGAAGGGAAAGTTTATGGGTCCTGTGACTTTAAGGGTGTGGCCATGATAACAACCACTGATCCAAGTAAGTGCTTCCACAACCATTCCTTAAAAGAACATTGGTTTTTAGTTTTACATTGCCCTTCTATGGATTTGATATGTTCTTGTAGCCATAATAAGTGGTTAGTTATCCAAGTGCTCAGCTCTATCTTGTGATCGTACTATTTTGGTGAAAAAGTGGAAATGCGGATATTTGACACTCAAAGTTGGCCTTGTTTGTGTGTTTTTCTTTGTCACGATCAAGTTCCTTACCACAAGAGCAAGGCATGTCCAAAACAGCGCATATGCTGTAGTTTAGGACAATGTATTAGTAAATCAAGTGCCAAGTTCTAGCTCTTTGCTGCTGGTTTAGCGCCTTGATGTCTAAGTTCAAAGGACCCCCAAGGCTAAGGTGATAGAAATATTGTTGTTTAATTTATCAGCTTACTCTTCTTTACAGCTAATAAGTGGCTTAAGCATACATCTTTGCTATCAGAAAGTAAAGCTGTGGGAATAGTCGCACTTCCAAGTTACAAGTCATGTAAGGATACTCATCGGGGAAACGTCAATTCTAAGAAAGAATGGTGTATAGTTTCTACCTTACAGAGTCACGTGGGCTCTCTGTGATTGCAAGGTGGAAAAGGGCGTGGAATAGCATTTTCTTGTTCAAGCAGGGAACATTTCAGTTTGAACCCTGCTTCTGTAGTGAGCCCCACTGCACAACTTAACCTCACTAGGCCATCGTCCCATCCCCATGTTTAGATTGCCTTGGAAAATGACTCTTCTTCTAGCATGTTTGCTAGCAATCATCATTTATTGTTGCCTTGTATCTTATGAAGATTGTACTAGTCCATATGGAGTCTGTGACCTTGCTTTTGTCTTTGCATTGTCTTTTCCTTTGTTTTTTTTGTTTTTGGCCTCCATTTTTCTTAGCTTAGATTTTACTCTACCATATATATATATATATATATATCTGACGTTTTTTCTTTACAAAATTTGTGGGGTATATTTGCAGGTCACGGGAGCTGTGTATTTCCTGGAAGGTGAGACATAGCAGCCATTCTAACAGTCTAGTTCTCATTTATAGTTTTTCTGTTTAACATTTTGTTCTTAGCGTCTCATCTTTCTAGATTATACCGTTAAAGCATTATGTAGTTAAATCAAGTTGCTTAATGTACCTAACAAAGAATTTTTAATTTCTGTTTCCAGTAAGAAGGTAAGCAACATAACAAGAACGGTTGTAAACTCGACAGAAGCAAGTGGTGCAGCTGAAAGGTTAAAATTCAACACTTTCCACAGCAGCCAAATAGGCACTACTATAGCATTCTGTATTTTGTTATTCATTCCTTTTGTGACAACTGTATGAGGAAGAAAATAAAATATATATTTTCAAAATGTATCATAATTTTGCATTGAATTCATAGATGATCTGTTGTGCCAAAGGTAAAAAGAAATATCTTTGATGATGATCTGATGAGGCCAGGCAGAGTCCTTTTTGAATGAATGTGTTGATAGAGCATGGTGGTGATAATTATTTTAGAGTTGAATATTTGTAATCAACACAATGATTGTGAAACTTGGCGGTCAGCACTAAATGTGATTATTCTGCAGCATGCAATCATCAAGTGGAGAAATGGGATCAATTTTGGGCACTTTTTATCGCCAAGGTCAAGGGAATCTTTTCCTGGTTGAAACAAAAAGGAGATCATTGCTTTTCTCAACATAATATCTTACATAATTTTGTTTTTTGGTGAATCAGAATACTTGTCTTCGTTTCATAGTATTCCTGAGCAGTTTGTGTGGGTGAAAAGAGTTTAATCCTTGTGCTGCTTTGGAGAATGCCTTCAATAACTCATCCAGGGTTATTTCATTCAACTAGAAATGCCTGATGCTTCCCAATTTTACAGATAGGTTCTGCATAGGAGTTGCTTCTGTGGGAAATTGCTCGGACTATAGCAATATTTTAGGTCACCCCCAAGATTACCCACAGCGTCAATCTGAACAAGGGAAAACAATGGGTGCTAACAGTGTTTTCCATGGTTTAAGAGCTTTTTCACAGAAAGAAAGCAACTTTATACGCCCTTTTTGGCCCCGTCCTGGATCAAGCCAGTTGGTGCTGGGCATTTGTGCTTCTCACTGTTGAAAAAGAAGAAAAAGCTTTTTCTTTACCACCATGAAATAGCACCTGATTAGCTAGGATTACCAGTACTCAAACTCGTCAAATAATAACTTCTCAGGAAAAGTTGCAATAGATTAAACAGGTTTTTCAAGAGACGATCCAGGTCCAGGCATCAGGCATCCACGATTAAAGCACGTGAGCCCAGTGTGGGTCCGATTGTGCGCACGTGTAGCTTTCTGTGGGCCAGAGAAGATATCCGCCGAACCTAGTACCAAACCAAACTGGAACTCCAAAATCCAAACGCGGCAAAAGTGGAAACTGGAAACCAACCAAACAAGATATTAACTTTCGAAATAATGTTCTCGTTAACCCCACTCCAGTTCCTATTGAACCCTAGACCTAGAATATCAAAAGCCTCTCATCTTCTACTTCTGCAACAACATCGTTTCAAACCAATCAAAAACATGTCCTGGTCTTGTAAGAAATGCACGTTCCTCAACTCCCCATCCCAAAACGCCGCTTGCAAAATCTGCCTCTCACCTCCTTCTCCCTTGCCTTCACCGTCTTCACCTCCTAAATGGCCATGTAAAGCCTGCACTTTCTTGAACCTTTACAAGAACTCCAACTGTGAAATCTGTGGCACACGGGTTCCAGTGTCATCTTTATCGAGTTTCGAGGATTTGAAAGATACCGGTCTTGATGAGAAAGCGGATTCTTCTATTGGATCTGTTTTCTTGCCTTTGAAGCTTTGTAGTAGTAAGAGGAAGATCATGGACTCGAATGTGGGTGATGAAGATTGTGTTGAATTAGGTAGCTTCCGAGGCATTAAGGCGTCCAATAAAGCTGTGGCGTTGGAGAGTTAGTTTTGATTTTCCTTGCTCAATTGGGATTTTGGATTGGGGTTTTCTATGGTTTCCTTTTAGTGTAAAACGATTAACTTTTTGTGATTTTGTTTTCATGTTTTTCTTATTTCATTGTTGTGTTTGTTCTCCACATTGATCGCATTGATTTGCTATAGTACTATATCCATTTCTCTCATGTTATTGATATCAGTCCATTGCATATCCTAATTATATCCTATGACATTATATCTGTTTTCAACAGAGGACAGTAATGCAGGGGCAGTTAAAACTTCATTGAAGATATTGACCTACAATGTTTGGTTCCGGGAAGACCTGGAGGTGCACAAAAGGATGAAAGCTATTGGTGATCTTATTCAACTGCATTCTCCTGATCTCATTTGTTTTCAGGTTTCTTATAGTATTAATTTTAATCTTCCATTATTCATTGCTGGATCTTATGCTTTACCGCTTTGCAGCTTACCCTGTGATCATTTTGTTTATTCTAGGAGGTTACCCCAATCATCTATGACATATTTCGTAGGTCTAACTGGTGGAAGATATATCGATGCTCTGTCTCAGATGACATGGCTGGTTCAAGAGGATACTTTTGTATGCAGGTATGCCTATGATTGCGTCCCTTTGATAGATACTGCCTTAATTTGTCTACTTTTAGGCCTTCAATTGATAGCTCTTCTTCTTCTTGTTTGGTGTGCTTTGAAAACGTTATATCTCTTTACTTCCTCTAAGCAATTTATTTACCTTTTGCATTTCTTCATTTGATTTGAGTCTATGTTTATTTAGTAGCTTCAATGATTAATCTAGGTTATAAGTAATGAATCAAGTACTTACTAAATTACTTGCAGTTAAGCAAACTGCCTGTGAAATCCTTCACTTGTAAACCCTTTGAAAATTCCATAATGGGGCGAGAGCTTTGCATGACTGAGGTGGAAGTCTTGGGGGATAAAACGCTGGTTGTTGCTACCAGCCATCTTGAGAGTCCATGTCCAGCCCCTCCAAAATGGGATCAAATGTTCAGTAAGGAACGTGTAGAACAGGCGAAGGAGACCATCAATATTCTCCATGATAAACCAAATGTTATTTTCGGGGGTGATATGAATTGGGATGACAAACTAGATGGCCAGTTTCCTTTACCTGAAGGATGGATTGATGCCTGGAGAGAGTTAAGGCCTGCGGAAGATGGATGGACATATGATACCAAATCCAACCAGATGTTGTCTGGCAATCGCGCATTAAGAAAGCGACTAGATCGATTTGTATGCAATCTGCATGATTTTAAAGTAAGTGGAGTTGAGATGATTGGAACAGAGGCAATACCTGGTCTATCTTATATCAAGGAGAAGAACGTGAGAAAAGAGAAGCTGTTATTGGATCTTCCTGTTTTGCCAAGTGATCATTATGGCTTGCTTTTAACAATTTCTAGCCAGTAATGCCTAAGTCCCGCATGGAAAATGGTTCATTTAAAGCTTGATGAACTGTTAATCTATTTCCATTCGCAATTTCAAGCGTACTTGTATGCAAATAGTTTACAGCATTTCACGTTTTGTATGAAACTTCCATGTATGGAAATCATATGATTTCGTATCTTTGGCAGTTCCAGCCAATTCCCTTACTAATGAATCAATGCCTGTGTCCAGAAGCCTATGACGGCACCCTTTATTTTTATTCTACGACAAATATTTTGTGGTTCCCTCCACATGATATTACTTGGGTTCCTTTCTTCACCTGGTAAATTAATAAAATTCAATGTTGTTTGTGCGCATATGACATAAATGATTGCATAATAAGAATTATAAAAAACATACACTTGCAATGTGAATCTACCGGGTTTGGGCTTGAGATTTTTTATAGTATCATCATCCAACGAAGGAAACAAAGGAATAATTTTACTCCAACAAAGGAAACCAAGCAAAGAGAGACCATCCATCCAATAAAGAAAACAAACAAATTTATTAATTCGTGTTAAATTTTCAAAAAATGAAAGTTCTTTAAGGTAAGTAAAGGCATTCCACTTCGGAAGCCAATTGCCATTATTGATTATGAGTTCTTGTTAGAAATGTCTAAACTATGGAACCTAATCATCTTCTGAGTTTTGCTTAGAAAGAAAGGCCTAGAATCTAATTACTATCTGCTATCTCCTTTGCCCCATCAAAAGGCCATTTCTAATCATGTTTCTTTCTTTGGCCTTAGTCTGTCGGTGCCATTCCTGTGGAGAATGGAAGACGGATCAGAAGATGTCATCGTCAGCAAATTCGGACAGGGGCACCGGGCACGTGATGAAATTGCAAGCTGCACGTGATTGGGGTAGAACCATGCCTTGTGACTTGACAGGCTTTACTTACAATTTTGCATATATCACAAACTTGTTTCGTTTCAATCCAAGTTTGATCAACTTCTGAGAGCTAAAGTAAACTAAATCACAAAACGTCAAACATCAGCGGCTACCAACGGTCCCACAACATGAATTTGACCCACGTGATGCTAAATAGTCCATGATTAATCTGGGACCATCTGTTTCACTAGATTCAACCGCATTTAATTGGAACCAACTGACAGCTAATATGCGATCTTCGAAAACTATTTTCTTTCACTTGCATACAAAACAGAGCTCTGCTTTTGCCTCCATACTAAAAAAAAAGAAGCTCAAAAAACAGATGGAAAGATCGATTTAGAGAAAGATACGACAATGTTGCGTTAAGAGTCGCTCTTTCTAGATCTGTGTTATTTATAACATTTTGCAAAACAAGCTTTCTTTTTCCCTATTTTTGAGTGGTTTTGTATTCTAAGTAGAAAGGAAAGACAAGAAAATGGAAGATAGCAAGCTTCTTCTTTGTTGTTTCATTGCTTGCATATTGTTTCTTGGCGTTGATGGAGAAAACCCTTATAGGTATGTCACTTGGAACGTCACGTACGGTGATATTTACCCTCTTGGCGTTAAGCAACAGGTACCTTTTACTTGTTTTCTGGTTTTTGTTCAAGGAAGTTACTTTCTTGGCCTTGAAAGAAAAATGCTGCTGCGATTGGTTATTTGTGGTTTCTCAAAGCAACTTGTTTGGCAAGAGTTATTTGTTCTGTTTAGTAATGGGTTGGAATGTGGCAAAATATGTTGCAGGGGATCTTAATAAACGGGCAGTTTCCAGGGCCTCAGATCGATGCAGTTACTAACGATAACCTGATTATCAATGTTTATAACTACTTAAATGAACCATTCCTTATCTCTTGGTAATCATACTAGCATTCCTTTCTTTATTTTTGTTTGTTTTTGTTCAATATTTACTTAATCTTCTGCTTGGTTGGTTAGAAAGACAACGTAAAAAGGGAAGAAAGAAAGTAAATGTGAAATATTGAAAGCTGAACATAAATCTCATTCAATTAAAGCTAAGGTGTGCTTGTTTGGTTTCATGAATATAACTAGGGTTTAGGGGAAAGTTTTTAGCTTATGAGATCTGTGGTTAAATGCTGGAACAGTTGAAAATTTTCCATTGGTAGAAATTTGCACTTATGACAATTCTCTTTAGGAAGATATAAAGTACTAATGCCGAATTTGATGAAAATGAATTATTGGGCTACTTTTGTAAGTTGGTATGTAAGCATATCCTATTCCTTATCCTTGATCCTTTTGTATGGAAGTGATTAGAGAATTAAAGTGAGTGGGGCCAAAAAGCCATAGTTACTTTTTCAGCTGCTTTTATCATTTTGGTTTTTGTTGGTTCACATTTCATAGACAATCTCTTAAAAAGACTCTGACAAGATGGTCCGTGCTTGGTTAAATAATTAAATCTCACTTTTCTAACTAGTAGCTCTCTAAGGATTCAATGGGATTATTAATACTATATGATAATCAAGTTTGTACAGCTGACCGAGTATGGTAACTTTTGCCACCACCTCCTACATGTCACATATGTGGATCTTCATGTCTAAAATATTAAAAAACGAATGTAATTAATTAACAATGTCTGCATAGTTATGTCAAAACTGATTACAATCAAATATTTAAATGCATGTGCTTGCTCATCAACAAATAAAAAGATGCCCTTGAGTATATTTACGTAGGCAAGCATAAGACTACGAGCTTAGGCCTAGTTCTCATAATTGGTTGAAAGCTCTTAAATATGCACTTTACTTTAATACATACGTATTGAACATTTAATAGAGCTTGGCATCTTTGCATATTGTATGATCGTGCCAAGTACTGTTTACTTTTACTTTCCGTAGTTATGTTATATTGGTGATAGTGACTGATCCAGTCATCCACTTTCTGCCAATTGGCATGCAGGAACTTAATATGATGCATTCATCATCAACTAATAGAGTGTAGAGAGAAAACACTTTTGTCTATGAACAGAAACAGCTTTTGGATGCTGCAATTGATGTGAAAATTTGACAGCCATCTCCTGTTTTTCCTTCTGCAGGAATGGTGTGCAGCAGAGAAGGAATTCATGGCAGGATGGAGTCTTTGGCACCAACTGTCCAATTCGACCAGGGAAAAACTTCACTTATGTTCTCCAAGTGAAAGATCAGATTGGTAGCTTTTTCTATTTCCCATCACTTTTATTCCATAAGGCTGCTGGAGGATATGGTGGCATCAGAATTTGGAGCCGCCCTAAGATTCCTGTACCTTTTCCTACTCCTGCTGGGGATTTCACTGTACTGGCTGGGGACTGGTATAATAGAAATCACTATGTAAGAATTCTGTTTCTGCATCTATTAAGATATCAAATATGTAGGGGAGTGGAGCCTTAAATCATTGTCTTATTGCCTCCTTTTTCTTATTTCTTTCCTCTTAGTACCGACTAATCCCTCTTTGTTTCTTAAGGTATTGCGACGTCTCTTGGACAGTGGTCATAACCTTCCTTTCCCTGATGGACTTCTCATTAATGGTCGAGGGTGGAATGGATACACATTCACGGTTGATCCAGGTGAATAATAGCCAATTTCCTAGTCTCCATCCCATCAAAGTTTACTTGAATCTGTTGTTTGTTTTTCCATAAATCTGATCAATTACTTCATGAATACTCTTTTGTTCAGTTTGTTATTAGGTAGGATATGTCCCTTTTATGCTTTTTTTAAATTTATACATGAAGAGTTTTTTTGACAGTGTACATATTTTTTTTAACTCAGGTAGGACATACAGGTTTAGGGTATCAAATGTCGGGGTTACAACTTCAATTAACTTCAGGATCCAGGGGCATAACTTGAAACTTATAGAAGTAGAAGGATCTCATACACTCCAGAACACCTACGCTTCTTTTGATGTCCATCTTGGGCAGTCGTGTTCTTTCTTGGTCACAGCTGATCAGGTGCTGCAGGATTATTATGTTGTTGTCTCTTCACGCTTCACTCGTCGTGTGCTCACTACAACTGCCATTCTTCACTACAGCAATTCAAAAAAGGGTGTTTCTGGTCCAGTTCCTGCAGCTCCCACAATTCAAATTGCTCCATCAGTTCTGCAGGCAAGATCCATACGGTACTTATCTTATTATATTCTTTTCAGAGGGTAATAATCAAAAACCATTTAAAAGCGGCCATCAAGCTGATAGTTTCTCTTCTACCAGTTGGAACCTTACAGCTAGTGGGCCTAGACCTAATCCCCAAGGCTCGTACCACTACGGATTGATCACTCCAAGCCACACTATTATGCTTGCAAACTCTGCGCCTTATATTAATGGAAAGCAGAGGTATGCTGTCAATGGTGTCTCATATGTTCCCGCAGATACCCCATTAAAACTAGCAGATTACTTCAAGATTCCCGGAGTCTTCAACCTTGGTAGCATTCCTACCTGGCCCCCTTCAGGAAATAATGCCTACTTTCAGACCTCTGTCATGGAAGCCAACTTCCGAGAATATGTTGAGATTGTTTTTCAAAACTGGGAGGACACTGTGCAGTCATGGCATATTAGTGGTTATTCCTTCTTTGTTGTAGGGTAAGGTTTTTTATGCTTACGCTGTACATTCAATTTTTATATATATGGCTAGATGTGCTGTTGAAAAATGTTGGATGATCAGGATGGATGGAGGCCAATGGACGCCTACTAGTAGAGCAAGCTACAATTTGAGAGACACAGTGGCTCGCTGCACTACTCAGGTATTAAATATAGGTTTGTCCTTGCATCAATGTGCTTGAAATGTGATTGATTGAAGCTAATGTAGGCACCTCTAGGTCTCAATTTGTTGATTCATTCGAGTGAATGCAGGTGTATCCCAGGTCATGGACGGCAATCTACATGGCTCTGGACAACGTGGGAATGTGGAATATAAGGTCTGAGAACTGGGCCAGACAATATTTAGGCCAGCAGTTTTATCTCAGAGTTTACTCCCCTGCAAATTCATGGAGAGATGAATTGCCTATCCCAAAGAATGCTCTTCTATGTGGCCGGGCCAGAGGTCGCCATACAAGGCCTCTCTGAATTAGCTAACGGAAATAATAATTAGAATAATGTTACGAAAGGGTTACAGGGTGCAAGCTTGGGATATGATGGACTAGATTATGCTGTTAATTGCGAGAAATTATTGTCGGAGCTCAACTTGAGCATTTGAGTTAATTCTTTCTTTCCCTTGTGTTTCAAACATTTTCTTGTTTCTATCGGAACAGGATTGGCATTCAAATTACTATATGATCAACGTGTAACCTTGCGATTGCAGGAAGCCTGAAAATTTTTGTTTGGTTTTCCACTTTCAGATTTCCCATTCCATTACCTTCCATGAAAATATCAGCTGGAGTGTTGAATATAAGCACGTCTTCAAAACCTCTTAAATCAATCTCTCAAGAACTTAATTGTTGAAGATGCGGTCAAGCATCACCCTTCTAGCTTTTGTGTGAGGCTGATTGGAGGTTATGGGCATGAATAAGACAATTTCAAGGAAAATAGTGGCAATTTAAACGCATACTTGTTTCTCCCAGCATCACCTGCATTAGCAGTTGAAAGACCAATATGTTTGTTTATTTCCTCTGTTTCGACTGTTGCAGCCCTGTTCCCTGTAGCAGCTTAATATGCTGCTTCTTTGGACAATGAAAAAGCTTTGCTTATAAAAAATAATGCTAAACCAAAAATGGAGTCTCCTAGATTCGGACAAGATTACTTTCCATAATTCCCATCTACCATGAATTCAAGCTTACGACATCACCATACTTGTCCATGCTTCTGGCAAATCCATCCTGTGGAAAATTTCCCATTTTCAAACCGTCTCCTTTAATCTGCATTAATCTCCCCAACCCCCTGTCAGCAATTCCTTAGAAGTGCCACAACCCGACAAGAAAATTTTGTTTCAGCCATTTTGGCATCAAATTGCTCACCACCAAAAACGGGGAAAAAAAAAAAAGAATTCCATAGCAAAACATGGTCATGCATAGCCTAACAATGTGACCATCAATGGTGACGTTTTGGCATCAACGTGGCACTGCATGAGAAACAAGTCACATGCGGGGAATGATTACGTGGCCACAAGCGTTATCGCCTTATTGGTAATGTTGAATACACGCTCGGTTAGTGTGAAAATGGCATGTTCTTATATATGAAACTGTCTTTGATTTGTTGTGTTCGAGGGAAGAAAACTAAGGTGATGATAGCCGGAATAAAGGGAACTATCCTGTTTTGAGGAATGGGGGAGCTTTGAACATGTTTCTTGTAGGAAGTGCAAATGCTTTAGGTCATTTACATGCCTATGGCTTCATGTTTCACTTTGAGTCATTCTTAACGCTTAGGCCTTTGTTCGTTTTGTCGTGAGCCTTCTTTATTTTTATAAAGTTTAGTTTTTGTTAATTTTCTTTGGAACTTTTAACCGTAAATTTTTTTTCTGAGCTATATTAATTTAAAGAGATTAAAGTCCTAGCATTTTCAAAAAAAAGGAAGAAAAAGAAGAATGAATGTCAGGAAATGCCTGGCTCAAAGAATGTCTTGAAACCAATGATATCATCAAGAAATTTGGGTAGAAAAGCTTTTACCTTTTAACCTTTTGGTTTTGGCTTTCACCAAAGTTTCATGAAGTCGTTTGTGTTTTTTTGAATCTGAGTCTGAAATTCCGTGTCCAATTTTTCCTTTGTCTAATTGAACCTCCAATAGACTAAACCGACCTTAAAAGAGAGGGTAAGAAAAGCTGCAGAACATGACAAATTCAGTGCAACAGAGTCTCACTAGTATTTATTATTTATTCTCTTTTTGTTTCACCAAAGACCACCTCTTTTCTGGCTCTGTCTCTCTCATTTATTTCTCCCGTTTAGGCAAATGAAAAGAGTTGATGGTGATAGTTTCCTTAAGGGTTCTCCATCTTCTTATCTAGACAAGAGTGGAAGCATTTATTCACAGTCATCAACTATGAGAGTTACAAGGCGACGCATGGGTGAGAATCTGCCTGAAATAAGCTTGAAATCGCCTGTTGTGAGGCCTTATGTCAGATCAAAAATGCCTCGGCTAAGATGGACTCCTGATCTTCACCACTGCTTCGAACATGCAGTTGAACGGTTAGGCGGAGAAGACAGTAAGCCATCTTCTATGCCTCAATTAACACCTAATCATTTTCATTCATTAATGTTTTCTTTAAAGAAAAATGTAAGGAATGATGACAATTGACAATATCAAAGTTTATTAATATTGTATATGGTTTTGAACTATAATTAAAATATAGGAGCTACCCCAAAGATGGTTTTGCAGATAATGAATGTGAAGGGACTTACAATCTCCCACGTAAAGAGCCATCTTCAGGTTTGATCAAACCAACTACAGCAAAAAAAGCATTATATCTGTTGAGATATTCTTAGTTTGTGTTTTGCGATGGTAGCCTTTTAATTTCTGGTGAGTATTGTTCTCTTGTTTGGGCAGATGTACAGGAGCATGAAGAATAAGCAGATGATAAAAGGTGTACATGAGAATCTGATATTAATGCATGCTCTTAATTGATCTCCAAACTGCATGACATAAATATATAAAACTTGATTGTGCATTACTATAAAAATATATTCTTTCTTCTATATCACTGCCCCTTGAGAGGATTATTTCATATGATAAATCTTCTGATTCCAGTTGCCAATTATATCCCAACTGTGAAGTTATAGATTTATTTTTCCTGTAATATATATGTATATAGTTTCAAAGGTTATATCTTTTACTAATTCTGGTGCCATATATGTTTGGTTCTGCAAATTACAGAAGCAGCCATTGAAGTAAGGAGAAATCATGAGAAGGTATCGGATCCGATCAACTGCCAACAAAATCATCAGCTTAAGGATGGGAGACCCCTTGATCGCAATTCCTTCCAAAATCTAGGGCCCCGAATCCTTCCAGCACAATGGTATCCGGTTTAATTTGCTATCTATAGTATTTGCTCATTCCACAATATCATTATTAATTAATTAATTGCGTTGGATTAATGTGAAATTTTTAATAAATTCATAAAATAGTAGTATTTCCGCTCTTGTACGAAAAGAAAATTTGTTTTTTGCTTTCAGTTGTATTTTTTGTTTTTTATAAATAAAAAAAAGTTGCACACATAACAAATTTATTCAATTTTTTTATAAACTTATTTTCTTTTAAATAATTAATGAAAATGATTTGAAAGTAAAGGTAAGAATGAAAATAATGAAAGCTTTATTTTAAGTTTATTTAAAATTTTCGCTTATAATTAATTAAATGCTGAAATATTTAATCCTTGAATTTTTTTTTTACACAAAGTAGCTTTTATTATAAGGTAAATTACTTGATGAATTTCAAAATTACACACACATCAGATCCTTCAATTGTTTAAATGATAATGTTGATCTGTGATTGCAATTTAGCCCTGTGGTATGAACACAAAATTTTGCATTGAGAGCTGTCCATATCAGCAGGAATGGAACCAAAGCGAGTAACCAGTTATCATACGCAGAAGAGCCAAATAAAGGATCTGAGGAGAGATCAAATTCATATATCATCTTCAAGGATCTGCTCAAAAGTTGCATGATCCAGGTAAATCTTCAAGGATATAACATTCATATACCAACAAATTGATTTCTTTAGAATACAAAGCGCTCTAATTAATTCCTTTTGATCTTACAGGAAAGCAATAAGCAAGCAGAGGTGGGGCTACATGGTGGTGTAGGTTGGAAGTGCAACCATCAAAGATTGGTTGACATAGCTGATCATCAGGCAGCAGAGAGAATATCTGATTGTTCAACATGTCTATCGCTTAACTCAAAAGTTTCCCACTCAATGTTAAGACTGGGCAAAGCTGAGACCCTAGAATTGAATGATGTCTCTTTAGAACTCACTCTTGCTTAAACTTATGCACATATATAGGACACCAGAATCAGAATGGAATGTCAAAAAACTTTTTCTTTTTTATACTGCTCTGTTGGACGTCTACATGCTAACCATCCCCACGAGACAACCCTTAACAGCATTTCTACGTCCAATTATGACGAACGGTGACCAAAGGGACATTGCATAGGTTAGCCAGGCTTGATTCTCGTGTGCCAGATACGAAGGAGAAAGAGGAGAGAGGTGGGTGCAGGAAAGTTTAATGTTAAGGGCCAGGTTGATTTTAATGAACAAAAGGTCAACTTAACTTTATCATTAGTTAATCTGCCATTTTTTGTAGTGCAACTTCGAACAATTACTGTTTAGTTCCTTTATGCTTGGGGAGAACGTAGAAAATAATCATCCTGGAAACAACTGTTAGAAGTTAGAACCTCAAGGTGAGGCCAAATATATTGATATACGATTGGTAAGAAGAGAGATAGCTGAATAAGGAACTTCTTCATCATTGAATTAAAAGACAAAGGTCCAATTATTTCATTCGAGAGGGTTAGGTTCAATGATTATCACAGAGACCAAAATCAAAACATAGGTAAGTCATTACGTACCCATAAACTGGTGGGTCTCTTTTTCACAGTTGGCTCCATTAACTGCATGTCAGAGCACGGATTACAGATGATAGGATGTAAGTTATTATTTTACTTTTAATTGTAACGTTATTATCATCATATATCACTGCCAATTTATTACTTCATTTTTACATCTCACACATCTATATAAATGTTCTCTCATTCTGAGTCCCATTTCTCATTACTCATTATGAAATATTTTCTAGTATAAAAGATGGGTGCCTGCAGGGTTTCCATTTTAGTGCTTGTTGGTGTTCTTCTCGGAGCCTGTTCTGATGCTAGGAACCTGTTGAGTGAAAAGGAAGTACATGAACTTGGTGAGAAGAAAACATTCTTCCCTTATAACCCTGTTTATGGTGGTGGACTAGGTTGTACTGGTGCTGTTGGCTGCTTAGGTGGTGCTGGTGGTGGGGGTGGGGGTGGAGGTGGCAATGGGGGTGCTGGATATGGTTTTGGGAGTGGTGCTGGGTTTCGGTTTCGGTTTGGGTCTGGAAATGGAGGATTTGGTGGTGGTGGAGGCGGTGGCGGGGACGGTGGCAGCTCATTCGGTGGTGGATATGGCGGAGGATATGGTGGAGGATTTGGAGGTGGAAGTGGACTACCATGAGTTCGAAACATCTGTGTTTCAGCTATGCTGTTGCTTGGGATCGAAGTAACTTTGTTCAATATGTATGTTCTCTTGTTATTTGCAGTAGCAGTAATTGTCGGTTATGATAAATTGGCTCTCCCCTCCTATTCAATTGTAATTTGTAAGCCAAATTTTAATAACGGGGAATAATAAAATTGCATTTATTACTATAAAATTTACTGAAGTTTTTTTTAGTAATATTCATTATCTTAATAATGAGAACATAACTTTTACTAATTTCTATTATGCATATGCACATAACTTTTATTAATAATTTAATTAATTATATTACTATGACTTACTTATGGTATGATCATCAAAATACTTTAATAATTAAAAATACTTTAATTGGTAAACTACATGATTAGTCTAAATAGATGGAAAATGAGCCGTCAAAGAATTAATAAAGAAAAATAAAACAAAAGGTAGGGAAATTTGAATTAGACCATCAATCATAAGAATGTGTTCCTTTATAGAAAGTGTTCAACTATATTAAAGACATAAATACAGAAAACAGGAATAGTACTTGTATATTCTATGCCTAACTAATCACGCACACCTTAAGGAAATCACATGTATATATGTTGGAAGAGGTGGATGAAATTCCCCTGTGCATGACATAAATATGGATCCTAAATGTCGAATACATTCGAGGAATTTTGATGCCGGTTTTATGTATTACGAGTAATTGAAATATCTTCAAAGAATTAATTAGTTCTAGTAGGTTGATATATTGTGGTTTACTAAGACAACCTTTGATTTTTACCCAGATCACATGCAGGACCAATGTCATGTCCAGGACAAATTGATTTTTGGACCCAATCTCCATCTCTCACATAAACATGTATGTATATAGATAATGTTATTAATTTGTCCATGTCCAATTGTCCATAAATAATGAGGAGGGATATTGAGTAGAATGTAAATTCTTCCCAAACAAAATACAGCTCATATATATATGATACGTGTGTGTGTGTGTTTTTATTTTTATTTTTTTGTTTTTAATTTTCAATAATTGTAGCAATTAGACCACCAAACATGAACATAATTGATGATATCCCTACGTTGTACGACTCTATCTTTAGTTCTCATTGGATCTTTTTAATTTGTACACAAAATATAGAGTATTTTCAATGAGGAAGTTCTCGATTTGATGAGGGCGCCAGGATCACTGGATTCCACTTCGATATTTTATAATCTTTTTATAATCTACACGTGAATTTTAAAACGAGTTTCCAAAGTGGGATTAGTTAGTTTGCCATTAGAAGCCGTCGGAATACTTGAGTTAAGAGGACATTGGGCAGCATAATATATAGAAAACCCTTATCAAAGTAGAGTTAAAGATCTTTGAAAATATTTTGGCTTGATCTTCCTGTATTATGTTGGGTTTTATTTCTGGGATGCCCTCTCTAGAGATGGACAGCTAGCGTTTGCGAGCACCAAACCCATCCAACCTACTCCATTGGAAATTTCAGCATTTTTTGTTTAAATTTCTTCCTTTTATCTTTTAATTCATTACTCCAATTTATGCACACAAAAGTAGCAATAGCTTTGCTAAAATTTATGAGAAGACTGATCAGATATGTCTGCCAGCCAGGTCTAAATTATTCATACTGTAGGGGGCAATGGAAAGAAGCAGGAATCTCTGTCAGGACTCAGGGTATAGATAATCTCATATGACTACAAAAGCAAAAATGTCAGAATGTGAAGAGAAAAAGTCTAATACTTCTTATAGAGTGTTGGATTGGCTCTGGCATCCATTACTCTTTTGAGCAATGAGATCAAGTTTGGCATGATATTTAACCACCCACAAGGTCCACAACGAGAAGGTTCACTTATTTATCATATACCTTATTAGTCACATGGCATCCACACGGATGCTTCCCATATCCTATGTGGAAGATTCGTGGCTTCTACCTCTTCTACAGCTATGGAGAAAGTAAGGTGACAGATAGGACTCCATAATCCATAATCTATTTGGATTTAGTTTGAAGGGATGACAAATGGACTTTCTTTTTTGAAGCATTCTCTCTCCGAAATTTCAAGAAGATACAAATATTATTACCTACTCCACCATTTCTAGTTGATTGATTAATAGCATTAGCAGTACTGTTTTATTAAATACATGCAGTCCCATAATACCATACCTATAATAATGTTTCTACCATTATTTGTGTTTTTTTATTACACTTGGTTAAGATCAATGTATCATGTATGGTAATAATGTAATATTATTGTCGGCTATGGTTGACTTCTTAACGTACAATTTGGACATGTTCTTGACTTCAATGTCTTATTTACTATTCCTATGGGCAAAATTCCACGTGTCCCCGTGAAACGCAGTAATAAGCATGCTAATGATTGTTGGCTAGAGTACTCTGTGATATATAAATAGGTGATAATGGAAATGGAGAGCGAAACCAAGCAAGTTTGGGCCTAGGTCTTACTTAGCCTTGGTCTGAGAATCTATTCGTCAAACAATGGCCACTTCTGCTAAATTTTGGTACGTTGCTTTTCTTCTTTTAAGTATTGCAGGTGCTTTAAGAAGTGTTGTTGGTGGAGGTGGTGTTTATGAGAATGATCATAATGAAGGTCCTGGAGGTTGGAGATATGATGGTGATAATGAAGACGATAATTATTGCTCATATAGAAGTTGGCGAAGTTGTGGCAGCTTCTTTAGTAGAGGTGGCAAGGGTTATGGTGGTGGAGGAGGCGGAGGAGGAGGAGGTGGAGGAGATGGTGCTTCAGGTAATGGAGTTGGACATGGAGAGGGGCATGGTGCAGGAGGAGGCAGTGGCAGTGGTGGAGCAGGAGGAGGAGGAGGAGGAGGAGGTGCTGGTGCTGGTGCTGGTAATGGGTCTGGTCACGGAGAAGGCTTTGGAGCTGGAGGAGGTGTGGGGGGTAGTGGTGTTGGTGCTGGAGGAGGAGGTGGAGAAGGTGCTGGAGGTGGGGCTGAAGGAGGGTCTGGTCATGGTAGTGGATACGGCGCTGGTGGTGGTATTGGAGTTGAGACTGGTGGAGGAGGTGGTGGAGGTGGAGAGGGTGGTGGAGGTGGCAGTGGTTATGGTAGTTTTGGTGAAGGATTTGGTCATGGTAGTGGTTTTGGTGCAGGAGCAGTCATAGGAGGAGAGGGAGGTGGTGGAGGTGGGGGTGGAGGTGGAGGTGGTGCTGGTAAAGGTTCTAATGGAGGATATGGCTATGGTAATGGTTATGGTGCAGGTGTTGGTGGTGTAAGTGGCAATGGTGGGGCAGCTGGTGGTGGAGGAGGAGGAGGGGGAGGAGGTGGTGGTTCTGGTGGAGGCTCAGGTCATGGTAGTGGTTTTGGTGCAGGTTTTGGCATAGGTAGCATTGGAGGAGGAGGAGGAGGAGGAGGTGGTGGTGGTGGTGGTGGTGGTGGCGGTGGTGAAAGTGGAGGAGAAGGATATGGACATGGTGAAGGCATGGGGTTCGGAGGGGGTGTTGGAGCTCCAAACGCAGAGAAAGGCCAGGGCGCAGGCCTAGTTGGTGGGAAAGGTTACAGCAGTAGAAACGGCATTAACATGGGATTTGGAATGGGAATGGGAATGGGCATTGGATTCGGCTTTGGAATGGGAACAGCTGGTGGAGGCAAAGACTCAAATAACGACCATGGTGATCCCTAGAGATATATACCTTATAAGCTTGTTCCTAAAAATATTCAAAAGCAAAAGCAAGTCAAAATTGAGCCTACACTATTCTTTCTATAGTATGTTGATCACTCTCATGTCTCATGTCAAGTCCTGGGACTTGAAATTCGTTTGAGAAATAAATCTTTCTTTTGACGCCAATTATATATGTTTTAACTACTTTTTCATCTGTTGCCTAATCTAAATCTTTATAGTTTGCTCCGACTCGGAGTTACCAAATCCCCATTATGGCATTCCTCCTGCCTACCTGAACCTGAACCTCGTGAGTTGATTAAAAAACTGCCAATGTTGAAGCGGAGATTAAAAAACCCATCAATATAATAAGAAAATAAAGGAAAATTACTCGTAATTTCTTTTTCTTATCGATACATTTAAGGCAAATTCAATGAAGGAATATATAGAATTTGAATCTTTAATCTCGAGTATTTGACCATAAAAAAAGGGATAACATAACTTAGATAAATTGAAAACATTATTAATATATATTATTTTTGAAAAAAAATCATATAAAACAATAACTCTATCTCAATGTATGTCACTTTCATTTAAATCATATCATATAATTATATATTTTTTAAAAATTAATTATTTATGACAATAATCATTAGCAAATTTATTTAAATAAATATTAATTATTTAATTATAATATTTGATGTATAATAAATAATTGATTTTTATTAAAAACATAATTATATGATATAATTTGAATGAAAGTAGCATATATTAACCTGATGTTATCTCATATAATTCCTTCTCGTTGCTTTTTCGTAGGTACTTATTTTGTGATTTAAAGTTTATTTAAATTGGTTTATGTGAGATTAAATATAATGAGATTAGTTATTATAATAAAAACATTATGAAAATGGTAAAAAAATAATTATAGTAAAAACTTTATTTAAAATTTATATATAATAAAAATTTTAAATTATTTTTATCATTTATCTAATAAATAATTAAAAATTATGAAAATGGTTTTTACCTTAAATAATAAATAAAAAAATACAATGAAAATGTTTTTCACAGCGCCGCCGCCATACCAGATCATTCAAAAGGCAAGCTACGGTACGGCCAGATAAAGAAGTCCAAAGGCCTAAGGGCCTCGTTTCTCAAATTAACTATTGACTGGATACGGCCTACGGTCAAGGCAGTGGGGAGAAACAGAAAATCCTTAATATTTTGTTGGGTTAGGCTAAGCCCAAATTCAGTTTAAAGTCAGGCCCAAAATCAGCCCACGTACAGAACACACTCCATCGCAGGAAAAGCCGAAAATATCGTCTTTCTCACCATAAAATGCCCTTTGTTTCCGCCTAAAAACTCGAACCTCACTTTCTTAAACCCCAAACACCGAGTCGGATGAGTTATTACACCGACTCTACTCGATCCAACACCAAGCCACAATGGCGGATGTAGTTCAGTACCGTCTCGAGCGCATGATAGACGAACTCGACGACCTTGAACGGCGCAGTCTCTTCACTCGCCGCGTGAAGGCCCTGTGTGTGGAAGGCAATGGAATTTATGAGTTTGGAAGCCCCTGTAATGCTATCTCATTCAGCCGGCTCTCAAATTCTTTGCAAACTAGAAGAAGTATTTTGAGTAGCTGATTGAGCTTTCTCTCAAGTCGATAGTTAAATATGGTGGCAGTGAGAATGGATTTTCTCTCTCTTCTGCTATAGTTAATTTCATCCTTCAAAAAGATGGACTTCAACATGGAAGAGAGGTGTATAAGCGGTATGTTATTATGTCTTGAGTGAATGTTTCTGGTTACTTTCGTATTGCCTCAATCATATTTCCGTAGGCATTTATAGATAATGGTTGCTGCTGTCGCACTTGCAATTATATGTTGAGTAGCAGAATAAGAACTAAATTGCCCAGAAGTCGTTCCTTGCTGCGAGAAATGTTTCTAACTTTGCGTCTACTTCTAGATTCCTTTCTCAACCTCGCCCAGGCCTTGGTCTATATAGAAATTGCATTGAGTTGGAGTCAAACTTCGAATCTCTTGGTGATGAACGTGCTCTAGTAAATGCCCGAAAGTTGTATGAGGCTGCACTGGCAACTTATGACCAAGACGCCAGCTTATGGAAAGATTACCATCCCCTGGAGACTAAGGTGAGCTTTGGTGTGATTTATGTTGGATTTTGCTTGTATTGATGCTCACCAATTTCTTCAACTCCTTCAACAGTTGGGAACATCCGAAACTGCTGCTGTCTTTTGGCGTGCTCAGAAGACAATAAAGGACTCTGCTGTAGTTTTTACTTCACCGCGATTTGAATGAGATTAACTATAAGTTTGGAAGTTCCAATTATATAATAATATAATAAACACAAGATTGTGCAGACAATTTTGCATTGAATGTTGTATATATTCCTACATTAATTTACAAAAGAACCAAAGCTTCAGCATAAGATCCTAAGAAAATCGGATCTCCTCAATGTTGAATAACTTGTTACACTCTTGGCCAGTGTGGACAAACTACCTGCACAAGCCATTGACACCAGTCAACAATTATCGATAACAGCAAGGGTTCATAATCACCAGCATGATTTTGAACCAGAAAAATATATTATTACCCGATTAAGGCATTTGTTTCTTATGCTAATGGATCACAATATAACAAGTTGGTTGAACTTAGGGTCCATAATCATTGATAAAAACTTACTCTGCAACATATATTGATCAACCATGAAAAGACAATAAATTCAGACCCTAAACATTTTAAGTCCATCGGGGAGTTCAAAGTCCTTGGTCATATCATCCATCTCTGTGACAATTCACTCACCTCATGCGTGCTTAAAACTAAGCGCATTCGGCTAGCCACAACTGATGGCTCCTCAGCACGTCCAACCACAGCCATTTGCTCTGGCTGGAGAGTTTTTACTGGAAGCCTTTCGAAAAATAAGAATTTAGCAAAGCTGCAAGAATCCATCTTCCAGGCTTTATTGTTTAAATATACCAAGACAGTAGTTTCTAGGATGACCAAAGGAATGACAGCATCTATTGCTTTTGAAACACCATAGACAAGATTAAAATCTAACATTTTGACAAAAGCGAAGGTTGTTCAACCAGCATTCTAAACGCATCTCACCATGCCATTCCTCTTATATAATATGCATTTGATATAAGAGCACAGAAGCCTTTCCACTGATGCAGGACATCATCTGACACTGGAGGTGTAGATGACCATCTAACTATAGTTGGCTGTGGTGTACACAAAATGCTGATGAATAGAATGCTCAGCCATAAAATACACTCGTCAACCTGAACAGTCAAATAGAAAGTTTTCATTCAGCAAATTTCCTTACTACCTACAAGGAGAGGTGGGGGGGCTTCTGACGGTGTCAAAGGAATCTTAAGACTAATAAATACTTCAAGAAACAACTTAGTTTTGGAAAGAGTTGATGGTGCTTCAAAGAGATGAACGTAGCTAAATTTTAGAATATTGCTGGCTATGCTAAAGGATCTCTTGGTCTTGGACTAATGTAAAAGCTAAAACATGTAGGATTACTCACCTCCTCGACACAAATCTTGGATTTCAAACTGGTGCTTCCGCCATAACTTTGCATTGCTTCAATTTCGATGCCAGATTCCTTCATAGCATTAAATTCTTTCCGCAATCCTTTATCTGTGCAGCCCAATGCATATGCATTCACCCCAGCACTAATGAACTCCTGACCCAACATCAATCCAACAGTATTACATGAAGAATGCTGCTTATCTGACAACCTTTTTCACTGAAACAGATCAAGCAAATCAATGAATATACTTTTAGGTTGTCACCTCCTCCACGGTCAATGACATTTCTGTATCGCTTAAACAAGCTGATTGCTATATTCCGTGAAGAACGATACTCATCATCAGATGAAGCAGAACCATGCGATTGGCACTACAGTTAAATCCATAATTCAAACATGTAAAACACTCAATTTTATTTCTTAAAAACAAAGTAAAGGAAAAAATTTTAGGTTCAACAATGCTGACCAACCATCTCTTTGGAGCGACTCGAATGTGATACAAGTAGTAAACTTACTGGAATCTTTCCATGAGGGCAATGGATTATGAATATGAACTACATTATTACAGTGAATCCCTGGTAGCCTATGGTAAATTGCAGCACAAGGCAGTTTCCCATGAAGGGTAGTATTGCCTGGAATTGTCTGGCTTTTGCCGATGGCTCCTGGAGGATTTACCGTTGACATCATCGAACCATCCTACTCTAGCCTTCAAAAGAGGAAAAAAAAGAACAAATAAGATAATGCAAAGTAAGCTGATATTACTTAATATTAATACCAACTGACATTTCCGGGCAATGAAAACAAGAGAAAATTTCATTACTTTGCTGAAAACCCATCAAATAGTTTAGTGATTAAATGAGAAAGCTGTCGATTTTGTTGTTCATAAACATCAAACGTAGTGAAATTAACAGTTTTTTTCCTTTTGCTTATGAGTCAATTCATTTAACCAATAAGTGATTCTTTTCTTGGTTGATTAAACACTTTTAAAAGAATTGGAAACTGAAATTAAAGGGAGGATAAAGAAAAGACAAAAGACAAAAGCTTAAAAATGAATCACATTACAGGGTTTTAAATGAAGTCGTCTTGGAGACAAGGGATGATATAATAAGATTTGAAAAAATAAAAGAATATTAGTTATAGAGAAATGCTTAACGCCACGATTTTTATGAATGGTTCCCAGAGATTCAGTTCTTGGAACGAAATTAAAAACGAATTTTTTTTTTTTTTTTGGTTTTATGTGAATAATTTGGAGTCCTCAAAAACCAAGATTTTATTGCTTACAGAATCACGTCGGGACCTCGAACTTCATTTGCCCCAAAGCAACCAAAATATAGTGATGTTCCTCCTAGGCGGTGTCGTTTTCTGTAATCGACATTCACCCATGACCCTTTCGTCCAAGAGATCAACATGAGAATTTGACAATATTTTTTCCTTAATTTTCTTTATCAATATATATGAAGATAAGTTTTTCCTATCTATTATTATTCGAAAAAAAACAGGACAATTAGTATTTGATTGTAGCGGTTAAAGTATACAAGAACAACTCGAAAAGAGGAAACAATGAGAAAATCCTGGAGCTGAAGAGTAAATTCGATCTAGGCAGGCTTGTAATATTTTGTTGGTACAAATGGCATTTTTGTGACAACTCCATCATAGGCCTTTCCTCTTACCAAAATCTTAGCTTTGGTGCCTGCCTTGTGTAATCCAGATTTCACGTATCCCATTGCTATGTTCTTCTTGAGGCAGGGGCTAAATCCTCCGCTGGTGATTTCACCAATGTTGCTTCCTTTCTCATCCTGAATCTCACTGTGGGATCGTGGAGGTGGTCCTGTGGAGATGAAGCCAACGCGCCTAATTGATGGACCCTCCTCCAGTTGTTTGAGGATTACCTCAGCCCCTAGGAATCCACCTTCTGCTCTCCTTCTCTTCCCTATGGCCCATGTCAGTCCAGCCTCTACCGGAGATGTATGTTGTTCCATGTCATTACCATATAAACACAGCCCAGCTTCAAGTCGGAGACTGTCTCGAGCTCCGAGTCCTGTCAACCTAACCTTCCCTTCAGATTTTTCCAAGATTGCTTTAGCTAGATCCACAGCATTCTCTGAAGGAACTGAGATTTCAAATCCATCCTCACCAGTGTAACTGAAGAATAGATGAAAGAGACAACTCATCAGTAATCCCCATAGCATCCCAACAAGTGATAACATCACCATGCCAACCAAATTAATACTCTTTGAATAACAAGAAGAAATAAAATGGACAATTACCCAGTCCGAGTGAGAAAGCATGTTGCTCCATTGATATTCAATATTCGGAATTCCCCAAAATATATCTTACTCAAATCATCCTTTGTCAGATGTTGAAGAACTGGTGCAGCAAGAGGACCCTGCAGGAGAAAGACAGATGTACGCAAAGCATAGTTCAAATGCTACAGGTAATTCATTTTCTCAATAAAGTGCAAACAGTGCAAGCAGATCAAACCATTCAAGAATAAGAGGAAAACAATTGACTAAGGAGTAATATTTGCACAGACTAAAACTCAAGAAATTAGGAAAGGTATACATGTTTGACTTAACAATCACCAACAAATTGCAAGGAAGCAAAACAACGAATCCATAAAGAGAATCAGACAAGGAGACATAAATCAGAAGAGTTTAATGACTAACCTGGAGAGCTAGAAGAGATCTCTCATCATGGATGTGCCATAAGACATCCCCACCTTTGGCCTTGAAAGCCTTCATATGCTCTTCAATGTGAGCCAGATCCTTATCCCTGCAGCCTGCATTCACAACCAGGTATATGTGATCATCCTTCACTTTGGTGATGACGGAATCATCAATTGCCCCTCCCTTCTCATTTGTAAAGACAGTTAGAGTTCCTGTTCCAGGGGCAAGCCCAGCAACATCAGCAATGACAAGCTTTTCGAGGAATGGAATACAGTCCTTTCCCTTAAGGCTCAGACCACACATATGAGATACATCAAAGAGTCCACCATTCTGCCTGCAATTTACAGTAGAGTCCATGATTGAGTCCTTGTATTGAATGGGCATGCTCCATCCAGCGAATGGGACCATCTTCCCACCTTTAGCAACATGGAAGTCATAAAGAACAGTTTTTTTCAGATCAGCCTCTGAAGCAAAGTACCGACGTGCTACAGCCTTCTTGTCAGCCTGAGCAAGACGACGTGTAAGCGATTGCCCAAGTTGCCAAAGACTCCCCCTCATTTTCTAAAGTTGAAATATCTGATAAAGAGTAATCTTTCACAAATAAGCAATAAGACCATACTGTAATATTGAGAATAGCATTCACTTCCCACTTCAAAAATTGGGTAGTCGAAGATAAAAAAAGTATGCTCAATCATGAGTAATGAAACACAAGTTCAAGGAAAGTTGCACAAAAATGAACAACTAGCGACACCGGTACTAAATGAAATCCCTTTTGGAGCATATTGAAAGGGGAAAATGATTTTAACAGCATTGTGCCATCTGTGGCTTTCAATTACACACGTTGGTCATAAAATGCCGAAGGTGAAAAACATGAATGATAAAAGGCTGACAGAATAGAAACACGCTATGTTCTTGTAAAGCCTAAAGCTTCTTCACCTTTTATTTCTACGGGAAGAGTAGTGATGTGGATTAGTTCAATGGAAACGCTTACTGGCTCCAAAATCACACACGTAATGCAATGAATCGATTAAATTTCAATGTTACAACTAAACATCATATTACCAATGTTACAACCCAACATCATATTACCAACCAAAACATCAAAACAATTTCTTCACAGATAATAAACCAATACGATCTGAAATCAGCATTGAGATATCCAATAGACCATTCAACAAATAATCAGACCATCTCCAATGAAAACTAGGCCATTATACCAAAGCTTTTGAGCTGCAAACGATCGAAACAGAAAAGGGTATACAACACAAGAAGAAAAGAAACCAATGCTGTCACGTAATCAAGATCTCAATCAAATTCCCCACAAAATGATACCACGTTGTTAAAGACAGAAAACCATTAACGCAATAAGAGAAAAAAAGAGAGTGAAAAGGTTTACATAGAACCCTTCTGTGCGTTCCTTCTTCTTCAAAAGGCAGCAATTCAGAGGGCAAAAATGAGCCTCTCTCTTTTAAGAGAAAAAATGGGATAGCCTTTTATATACTTGTGAAAGAAATAATATATAAAAAACAATATTTTGGGATTAAAAAATGAAGACACGGTTGGTGGTAAAGCAGTGGGTGGAGGAGGGTTTCTCTGCTAAATCGAGAAAAAACAAATAGCCAACAAAACCACATCATCAGCGAGTGGTGCTCAAGGACTATTGAGCTACTTGACCACTTCCCAATCTCCGTCTCCTTCTCTTCATGTCTTACTCACTTGTACTGTTTCTCCCATCTACTCACTTTATCTAACGGCTGTCATGGCAAGGAATCAAATGTTGCTTATTTTGTCCGACGTTAAAGTGTGGGACCCAAGAATTCCGGCCCCTTGAAGTGAGGAGCCAGTTACAGTGCCGACAAGGTCTAATGTAATTGGCGTGTGATGGTGCTAAGTTTGCAAACGAGTACACAGGATTAGAGTAACTGATAGGGGGACCCATGTAATTGACCGATCACCATGGAGAAAATAATCTAATACACTACCAAATACCAGAAAGGAAAAAGATGGGGGAGTTGGTGAGATCTGGGTTGGATTCCATGTATTGAGGCAAATCAGGCTTCCCAGGTCGACAGTTGGCTGCTTCAAAACGCTTTTAGCCCAAGCTATTCCAGGTTGGTGGCTCTGGAACTAGCCAAAAAATGTTGTGCCAAAAGTAGGATTGATTTCCTTAATTGTAAAATTACATGATTAATTGACTGAAGCATTTCATTTTCTTTTAATTTTTTATAAAAAAATATGATTTACTGTGTGGTAGTAGGATGGTAAAAGGGAAGAGACAAGCCCTATTCATATTTCTCCTCACCTTCAACTATTGTGAAGATTAGCCATTGATGAGTCCGTTGCTCGTTTTCTCCATTAACTAAAAGAATATCAATAAAAAGAATTACGGATGCTTTATGGACAAGATGTTCAACCACCATAAACTTCTGTCACATGAAACTTGGCCCTTTAACAGGTGAGTAAGATGAGGGATAAATGTGACTGTTTGTACACTGAAGTTTATGTGATGGGCTGCTATTACAAAACTTGATAAAAAAGCAAATATAGGAGCCCTGGTAATCTCAGTTTTTGAGTAAAATGTATGCCATGTCCAAGCTATACCAGCATGCCAAAATCAGTTGGTTGTATATGGTTTCTTCGTATATCAAGCAGCAGTCTCCATGGATCCTCCACAACATCTTTATGGGTTGAAGAAATTCTTAGTAGAATGATGGTCCAATTACTGTTTAAATTATTGGGCTTCAATTTGGACCCAGTCGAAGCATACAGCGTTTTAACATAAAACTTCCTTGATCCAAGAGTCAAAATGTCAACATATTAGGGGTAATTAAAGCCGCCTAATCCACCCTTTCATTCCTTATGTTGTCATATTACCTGAAACAATGCCTTTTAATTACGTTGAAATTCCTGCGTCTACTATAAAGAAACAAACAAACAAATAATCACTTTGTCATTCCAATTTCCAAGGAATATGGAAGGAAACAAGATTTCTACGCATGAGCCATCAAGTGTGTATATTAATTATTCAACATATTTTGTTTTTATCATGTTACAAAATTCTACAAAAAATTTTATCAGTGGTTAATTAAATGAATCAAAGAATTAAAGAATAATCCTTGCAATATGCTCATGTTCTAATCATTAATCTTCTAAGATTAGAACAGCTTGCTTGCAAATTCATCAATGGGGCTTCCTTCTATGCGAGAATAACTGGATTTTTTGGCTACATCTCTCAGCTCTGATAAGCTTCTTCCCAATTGCAATGCTACCTTCATTTCAAACAACTCTCCATTTTCTCTTTTCTGCACATCACTTTCATCCAGAGTTGATTCAATTGATTCCTGCAAAAGTCTAAAGAAACCGGCGTTGTTTCTGTACATCTCAAACAGCATACCAACTTGAACACCGTGCTCAAAAGTGTTGACAGCTGAAGCTAAAGATCCTGCAACAGCTGCCACTATTGCTGCCCAAGGACCATTGGAAGAACCCATAAAGGCTGATCCCATAGCTGCAATTCCAGTTAGTAATGGCCCTGATTTAGCTAAAACTTTGTTTATCTTCAATGCCTTGTTGCCAAGTCTCTCGTAATCTTCACTGTCTTTTCTTTTAATCACCTCAACGACTTCTCTCATTTCCATTTCCAGCTCCTCAGTCCATCCATTGCTCTCTACCCTTCCATTGAAGTGCTTCGCTTTATTTGTTTTTTGAGACTGGTTTTTAGGCCACCAAACAGCAGGCTCTAACCTTTCTGGGAACTTTTCAAGCATTACACCAACCAAAGGAAGAGGGTAAGCTTTGTCAAGGGCCAAGACTTTCTCCATAGCATCTGCCACGTCTTCTTTGCTTGGAGAACCAACAGCAAGTAGGGTTCGTATTTGGCTCTGAAGCTGCTTAAACAATCTTGTTGCATTACGTTGCTCTTCCACAAGTTGTGAGGGTTGGATCTTGTTCATGAAGACCAACATTCCTGTGGCTGCAGAGAACAAGAGAGTGGATGCCAACTTCAAACCCAAAAGAGAAACCCCAGCGCCGCCAGTTGCGGTAACACCAGCCATGGTTGCGGCAGTAAGAGTAATCATGTTAATGGAGTTAAGGAGAAGTGTGTTCCAGTTTTCTCGTTGTTCGCCGATGTTTTTGTGCATCTCCACTCTATCAACTACGGCCTCTAAGATAGCATAAAGTTGTACGGTAGCCATCGAAACAGATGAGCTTTCTTGAAGCAATGGCGTCCTAGTGACATTCTTTTCAATAGGGATTGTGTTCATGAACCCATCCCTAGTATTTAATTCCTCAGGCAATGTTTTGGTTGGTACTTTAGGAACTGAAAACCGGATTGATGGACGCTTTGGCACCGATATTGCAGCATGGATTTGCTTTGAAGAAGAAGAAGAGACTATAAAATTAGAAGCTTGTAAAGAAGCCATGTTACGTTGTTCTTCTTTTGAGATCTGATCTACTGTTTATGAATTTGTATGAATCGTCTGTAGGAGGAAAATAGAAATTATTTGAGATTTGCGCTTTGAGCAAATGAAAGAAAGATTTGTAGATGTTTTAGATGAAAGGTGAGGGGCGCCTTGGTGGGTTATTTATAGCAACGGACAAGCCAACCGCTAGATAACTGATTTGGTTTGGTCAGGTCATGTTTGGAAATGTTGACTGACTGATTCGAATTGACTGGGCCCTTTGGCTGTGGCTGACCTCTTCGCAACTCATAATTTTCAAGTTCCAAGATTATTTGGGATCGGGTCTTAGCATTGGAAGTGGTAAAACAACTCGTCATGATAAAATAGAGGTTGGCTTGGCTGCACGGGTTGGTCTCCCATACTTTTCCTACCCTCCCTGTGGCCTAAAACCTTCCTTCTGCCAAGACTTTCAAATACTTGGTCTGCAAACTTCATGGTTTTTTTTCAAAAACAGTAATTTTATTCACCAAAAACAAAAGATCAAACCAGTAATATTTACATTCTTCAGGTACAATAAAGATGCATGCATAATGCATTCAGATTATATTTAATGTATAAAATGATAGATAAAATAAGATAATAATCATCATATATTACGTTTAATTTATATCTAAAAATATATATAATTATAAAAAAGATTAATCATTATCTTAATATAAATTGATGCAATCTTCTTAAAATGAAGAGAATTATTTTTAATTCGTAGGATTAAATTTATATCTTCTATTATACCTTTAAAAATTATCTCAATAATTTGAATTATATAAACTCTAAGAAATAATATTTTTTATCAATAAATAAATTATTTTATCTTAATATTTACCTAAATTAAACATAAAATAAGATAATATTATTTAATATAATCTTATTTATAACATCATTTTATTTTATTATATCATAATCTCATATATCAAACACATTTTTAATCAATCACAATGCAACTATTTAAATTTATATCTCCAAATCGAGTTTCAGTTTTGCTATGACTTTTTATTATATCTATGTGTGTGTGTGTGTGTTTTTTTTTTTTTTTTTACTATAAAACAACCTATACAGTTTGCCTATATATTTCTCTCAAGTTTTGCATTCTAAATTTAGAGTAGTTGAAAATTATTTTTAGATATACATATTGTCATCTTTTTATTTTTCATTGAGACAACTGATTTGAATGTGTATGTAAATGTATGAATTTTCCTTTTACCTATTCAACAAGACAAGGCTAAATGCTAATTTATATTTTCTGTTTTAGTATTTACGTTGCATCAATTGCCTATTGCACGAGATTGATCTCCAGACTGATTCTTTATATGTAGTATATATTTAATTTTGTTAACAATCTTTTTCATTGTCGTATAAAACATGTTTTGATTTTTTGTCACTTTGACAAAGATGTTATAATATGAAAGAATTTTGTTTTTTACACATTTCAAAGATTTTTTCTTAATTTGTTTATTCATCCCCAAATCTCAATCCCAAGTCATTGATAAAATCAGTCAATAGATAGTCATAAACTTATTCAAAGGTTAGCATATCCAATCAAGTTAAAAGTTTCGTTCAAGTTTTGAAATTATTTAAATAAAAAATTAAAATTTATTAAATAAATTTAGATATAATTTTTAGATCTATTTAAATTTTAGACCGAGTTTTGGATAAAATATTTAAAATCCAAGCCCGACTTAACTAGACTCAAATTTATATATATATATATATATATATCTATATAAAATATTTATATATGTGTGAATTATAAATAAATTAATTTTCATATAATTTTTATTTTTATATATATGTGAATTAACAATAATTTCATTAAATTTAATTTAATTATATTTTTTAATTTTTTATTATATAAATTAAATTTAATGAGTATTTTGAGATTTATTTTTTTTAATTTGAGCTGAACTTGAAAAAATTTTGATACTCAAAATTTCAGATCAAGTCAGACTTAAATAAACATATAAATTATTAATATCAAACATGAAATAAACTCAAATCCGATCCAACTTGATTCGATCCATAAATACATTTATTTTCATATGTATCTATTTTAAAATAAATTACTGTGAATTTAGTTTTTCATCTTTCCCCAATCACTTAAGAGACTCATTAACAACCAAAATTAATAGAAATAATAATCGAAGTATTCTATAGCATATGTCTTGTAATAGTTCCCTGTTTGCCAAATAATAAATGGAGCTTCCACCATTTTTCCCCTTAAAAAAGAATTGACCTTGCAAAAGATATCTCTGATTCAAAACAGGAAATCAAGTCCCTCAAATAGACAGTCTTATGTTCAACAGGAAGGGAAAAAGGAGGTTGAATTTGAGTTTTAATAGTCTTAACCAAGACAAAGGTCTATTAAATTTTGCGATATGTTTGAATTTGGAACTCTATATTTTGCTCACAGTGGACATCGAGCTTTACGATGTCAAAAGAAATGCATGAAAGATTATAAAATCAAATAAAAAAGTGCATTTCAGTTATAATTTTTTTATTATAATATTATAATTATCTAATCATAATAAAAATTTATATACAAATCTACTACTTATAATCTTATAAAATTTTAAATTATAATTAATTAATTAATTATGTTAAGATTATTATTTGTGATATGTTCCCGGATAACATTAAAATCATATTCTATGCATTATCATGGAAACATCACTAATTAAGATGATTTACTGTAATCGATTAATTAGTTGGGATTTTGGCTTCCAATATTAATATTAAAATTTTAATTGTTAATTAAAAAATAACAAAAACATAATCGAGGAGTCAACTATGTAAGCCACTATATTTTAATAGTTTCTTATTTGCATCGTGACCCAGGAATGCCAATATTTTATATTCATTAATGTTTTTTTTTTTTGTTTGTAACTATATTATTAATTATTTTTTGAACAGTCTAATTTATTAATTATTAATAATGATATATAATTCGATTGATAAAAAGATAATGTTCACGTCTAATTATAAAAAAAGTTAAGTTTAACTTCGCAATTAAAGCAAAAATAATTGCAGATTATAAAATGTTTATAAAACTTTTAAACTAGTTGACTCTTTATCATTCCAAAATACTCCAATCGTACTCCGTAGTTATACCGATATCAATTATGGACTAAATTGAATTGAATTTAATTTAAGTTTTTAAATAATATATAATATTATAAATTTTTTAAATTTGATCTAAATTTTAATTATTTTTTTAAAATTGGTTTTATTCAAATTAAATTTTATTTATTTAATTTAATTTAATTTATTAAATTTTAAATTTTATATTTATATTTTTTATATATTATTTTAATAAAAATTTTAAAATATTTTTTAATTTATATATTAAATAATTATCTTTATTTTATAAAATTTTAAAAAAATATAAAAATTAATAAAAATATATAATTTGATTCAATTTATTCTTTTTAAAATATTTTTATTTTATTATAAATTTAATGAATATATTTAATATTTAAACATGATCTGAATTAAATTAAAAAATAATTCAGAAAGAATCAAATATTAAGATTTGGAATCGATTTTCGTCTATTTTTTTTTATCATCCCTAACATCAACCAAAAACAAAAGCAGAGCAGCCAGGACAAAATGGGGAAAAAGAATATGCTAAGCACAATGCTGAACCGTTGATTTTACCTATCTAAATGATCGGACAATCTGCCCATTTAAGTCTTAACAACATCGACCAGACCACCAGGGACATCATGATTCACCGACACGTCTTCTCTCAGACGCAATCAGTTCTTTACTTTGTCTGACATTCCCAACTCAAACAGAAACAGCAGCGCAGAGAACTAAGACAGAGAGAGTAATCAGCTGCAAAGAAACATGGGTTCGGTAGCAAAGAAGGGATTGCAGAAATACTTGTTACAGCTTCAACATCACCCCTTGAGAACGAAGGTTTCCTTTCCGTTGTTTGTTTCTTTGTTGCCTGTGAAAAAAAGCTTTTCAGATTTATAGATTAAAAGATAATGAAATTGAACAAAATTGAGGGAAACTTATGCAGGCAATTACGGCTGCTGTTTTGTCTGGGATTAGTGATATTGTTTCTCAGAAGCTTTCTGGAATACCTAAACTTCAGCTGAGACGCATCCTTCTCAAAATGGTTAAAGATCATCTCTTTATTTCATTTTTTATTCACTTCATTTTTATTGCTTAATTGTATTCAAAGAGGTTGATTGCTTGATTTAGTCTTTCTTCTTTTTTTTTTTAACTGACTTGAATGTAGAAACCAAATTCACCTCAGTGTTCCTCTGTTTAGAAATTTGGATTAAATGAAAAAGTTTATTTTAATGGGTGAGTTGTGAAATGGAATTATGGTTATGTTAAGAGATTCTTTAGGAAGCTGAGGTTGAATTAGAATGTCATTGAGACTTGATTTATGTGGGCACTAAGAGGAGTTGCTAATGAGAGTAAGGGGAAATTTTGTGATTGTATGAGTGCTTCAGAAGGACTAGTTTCTGAACCTTTTTTTTTTATTTACATCTGCTATAGTATGTTTTTGCCATTGTCTCACGCAGTCATAGCTAAATGCAGCTCTTTGGATTTGCTTATCTTGGGCCATTTGGACATTACATATATATATTACTGGATAAAATTTTCAAGGGGAAGAGAGATTCCAAAACTGTTGCCAAGAAGGTATTTTAGGCACTCATTTCTCCAATCATCCAATAAAATTCACTCTTTTGTTCTATTAATTCAAATTCAAAATCATATGGAATTCAACTGAATGACTTGATTCTTCTTGCTAAATTCATAGAAAAGGGTCTAATGCTAAATCAAATTGTATCAGGTTGTGCTGGAACAGTTGACAACTTCTCCTTGCAACAACTTGCTTTTCATGATTTACTATGGGGTGGTTGTTGAGGGTAAGTCAATATTTGATTATGTACATATGCTCGGTTTGCAAAGAGATCAAATTTAAATTGTTTCCCTAGAAAATAACTTAATCTGATGACAGTTTTAAGATTTGTGATGAAATCTTGCTCAAAAAGGAAGCAATATAATCTAATACATGAAAATAATAGAAAGTATTAGTATTTAAAGAAAGGCATTGAATATGATTTAGTTTCCTTGCCTCCTCGCTGGATACAAGGAATAGCTGTTTTTGTAGTTTAAATGAAAATGTGAAGTGCAGGAAGACCATGGATGCATGTGAAAACTAGAATCAAGAAGGAGTATCCCAAAGTACAGTTGACTTCATGGACGGTATTGCTTTATTCCTATTCTGAGTAAATAGTTTATTAATGTGAAAAAATGAGCCCTTGCATAACTTAGAACTTGACTGAATTGAAATTGCAGTTCTGGCCAGTTGTGGGATGGATAAACCACCAATATGTGCCACTGCAGTTCCGTGTCATTTTTAATAGCCTCATTGCATTTTGCTGGTAAATACTTTATTTTCTTCCCTCTTTACTTCCCTGCCAAAAATATATAAAAATTTACTAACAAAGTGAATTTTTTCTTATTCTTTTAAAATTCATTTTTCAGGGGAATATTTCTGAATCTACGGGCAAGATCTATGGCATTGCCCAAGAGTAAATGAATGATTGTAAACCTTCGGTTCATTTGGATTGATTAATAATGCCAGCTCCGCAAACCATACTAGAAGCTTATTTTATGTAGCTTGAAGATTATTCTCTGCAACCATGAACTAATAATAAATATTAATGTTAAATCTTGTTGCCTTGTATCTTGGTGGAAGGTTTCATTATTAGCTTGATATTGATTTCAGTGCTTGGCTAGGCAATAACATTTCAGAATCTTTGCTTTCTTCTCTGCCTTATATACCAGATGGTAATCAAGCGCTGAACCATTAATTGAAATGGCATGGTGATGATATTATGGCGTAATTATATGTTACCTTTAGGAAACAAGTTAGTTAACTATTGCATTCAAGAGATGTCAATCAGCAATGTCTCTTGAGGCATCTCTGTGTCACTGTTGGGACATTCATACATGAGAACATGATAGCCAACCCTAAAGCGAGGTCGTGAATTGCTTAGTCTTGATTTATGTTGGAACTGCACCATTCAGGACCAGCAATCTTTGACTAGAATTTAGATAAAGGGTTGCTGATTTAGCATTTGATCTAAATCCTAGCTTCAGGTTCAACGTAACGTAGTGGCTCACTTTGACAACTTACACTAGCTCTTTCATGCATGTTTCTATGCCAACCAGAGAACACGTTGCCGCCTGTTATAGCCAGAAAAGTATCTCTATTTTTTTGGGACATACATTTGGTCGTCTTTCAACAAAGTATTTTCAGCCTCATGATAGTTGGGACATAGCTATTTGTCAAGTAAAACCGTAAAAGTAACGTTTGGGCCAAAAAGGAAGTAAAATGAACGTAATGTTGAGAAAAGAAGAAAGCCATATGCTTATATTAGCATCTAAAACTAGCTAGGAATTTAAGAGACAAATTAGGTTTATGGATAAAATGTATGAAGGAAATGCTATAAAATTGTTTTGGAACTATTAGCTAGAATGAAAAATAAGGGTATTTCAAGCAGATAGATTTTTGAAAGATTAAAAAATACTGGCCAAAATAATGATATACTGAACTTTCCAGAGATACATACCTAAATACAACCCAAAAAAAAGAAAACAACTTTCCAGATATACCTGGCTGGATGAAATGATTTTAAAAAGTCTGACATACTATTATAAAAGATTTTGAGCAACTTCATCGAAGTTTTGGATTACCATATTGTTAAGATTTTTCAGAAATTTGAAATCTCAGAATACTTCTTGAATCCACACAATGAGAATTAATTTATAGCGTCCAACATGAAGAATTTGACTAAATTAACATTAAAAATTACGATTGGTTAGATATGGTTTTGGTTTCTTCAATCTATGTACCAGTTTTGGCATTTTATTACTCGTTGTCCTGTTGTGCAAGAGCTGAGACAAAATACCCTTGTCCCGAGGGGTTTCTGTTTCAAGTTTAATTACTCGTTGTTGCCGTTGAAAGTCAGCGAAGGAAACCCCGATGTCAAGACCCAGCAGATAGGTGTCATGCCGTTGAAGGTCAGCCAGGTGATCTTGTTCAAAGGTTCAAGTTTCAAAGATTAGACCTCTTCTACTATTTGTTTCTCCCATTGAAATCCAATCTAGTATGAAATATAAATGCAATCCATTCCTCTCTCAAAGTCAATTCAGTTTAGTCCTTTGAGCGTAAACCTTTCAGATTGAGACGCCAAAATACAACAGACATGGCCGGCATTGAAGTTTCAAGCAGCCTGTTCTTTTCAAAGGGTTTGCCTTCGTTGCAATGTCATCGTGGAATAGTTGGTACTGCTACAATTAATGCACCAAGGGTTCGCATGGGTCCTGTGTCTCTCCCAAGGTCTCTAGTAGAGGTTTGGTTGAGGAATTGGAAAAGAGAAATGGTTATACAAATGCAACCACTACCACCACCCTTATGGAAAACGATTCCATTTCTAGCCAGAAAACTCAAAGTTGTTCGACACATAACTATAACACAAAAACTTCTGATCCTCAGGTGATTGCCAAGCTTTATGCAATTATGGAGGCTGTTGCGGATAGGGTGGAGATGCATAAGAATATTGGAGAGCAGCGTGACAATTGGAATCACCTCCTTTTGATTTCCATTAATGCCATGACTCTTACTGCTGCCACCATGGCTGGACTAGCAGCCACAATTGCTGCAGGAGCTCCCCTTATGGCACTCAAGCTCTCTTCTACTGTGCCTTACGTAGCAGCCACAGGCTTGTTGGTGATGATGAACAAGATTCAACCATCAGAACTTGCTGAAGAGCAAAGAAACGCTGCAAGATTATTCAAGCAACTTCATGGTCAAATTTGAACAACACTTATCTCTTGGCGCACCTGACATCAATGATGTCAATGAAGCATTGGACAAAGTTTTAGCTATTGACAAGGCATACCCACTTCCTCTTCTAGGTGCTATGCTTGAAAAATTCCCTTCAAAAGTTGAACCTGCAAGGTGGTGGTTACTACAAAAGCGAAAGCAAGGACTTGGTGGGAAAATAGAGGGAAATAATGGCTATAACAGAAAGCTGGAAGATGAAATGAGACAAGTTCTTGGAGTTTTGGAGAAGAAAGATTTCACTGAGTACTTAAGGTTGGGAAGGAAAGCACTAAAACTTAACAAAGCCTTGGCGATTTCCGGTCCGTTATTGACCGTTTTAGGGGCTCTGGGATCTTCCTTTGTGGACAAAACTCATTCATTGCCTGTGATGACGGGAGTCATAGCGGGTGCAATCGCAACTGTAGTGAACTCAATGGAACATGGTGGCCAAGCAGGAATGGTGTTTGAGATGTATCACAGCAATGCAGGCTTCTTTAAGCTTATTGAAGAGAGCATAATGTAGAAGAGAAAATGGAGAAATTCTTGAAATGAAGGTAGCTTTGCAGCTAGGAAGGAGCCCATCAGAGCTCAAGCAACTGGCTCTGGCAGCATCATCTACAAGAAACAGGGAAGCAACTGAAGAATTTGCTATTAAGCTATTTTGAGGGATATGCTTGGAATTCTTGTACATAATATTCTAACAATGACAAATCTTCTCCATATACAATCCCCATTTGCAGAGCTTCACCATTCATCAATCCACTTTTTCTAATTAAGCAAGCTTTAACAATTGCTTAAACACACAATTATTTGATCCAAGTTTGGGACTCTCTTGACTAAATGATAGCTTTTAGGTAAGCTTAACAACAAAAGAAACGACACTAAACAAACAAATTATCCTAAATATTTTTTATCCAAATTTCAATTACGATAAAAAAAAATTTAACAATAGAATTAGCATATAAATGTCGAGTACCATGAAACCTGCAATATACATATTGACTGACCATTATGATTTGTTATTGCCCTTAATAAATGGATCCCAGTGCAAAAATTTAATGGTTGATTATTGTTAATATATATATCATCACCTTCTTGTCTCTATATTTTTAACTAGTAATAATTCAACTATATGTAACGGTGTAATATGTAATGAAGACAACCATTTTGTTAAGAAGTACAACTAATATCTACTCAATAATGGAGTTTTTAAACTAAAGAAGTGAGAAGAAATCTTAAGATTTACATATTTGTATAGTGTAAAATATTAAAATTTATATATTTGTATTATATTTTATACAAAAATTATGTCGTAATTCGTATCCACATGAAAACATAAAGATATATTTTTTGTTTAGCTAAACTTATATATAATAATAATTATTAAAATTTTAAATTGTATCATTTTCGTGTCTTATTTTTATATCGTATTTATGTTTGTATCGTATTTTAGATTATTAAATCTAATCTAATATATATTATATAATAACATACATAAATGATTTTATATATATCAAAATTAGATAATTTTAAATTTATTCAAATATCAAAATGATTCAAATTATAATTGAAAATTAAATCAATTTAGAGATATATATTCTAAAATTAAAAATATGAAATATGGATTTTATTTTTTTAATAAGTAATTTTAATTATTTACCAAATAATCTTATTTAAAAAATTATTTAATTATCAAAATCTTTCAAATATGTTTAAAAATTACAAAGATTAAGTTTATCCAAATCTTTCAATAATCTTTTTTTATCTTGATTTAAAAAATTATCTTTTTAAAAAATTTACGACATTAAAAATTCAATAAATTTTTTGTAAGATTTTGAAAATTAAAAAAATTTTCATTTTAAATCTTTAAATAATAAGATTATTAAAATGATTATATTCATTTGAACTCTAATTATTAAATTTATATTTCAAACAAATGCAAAAAATTTAATATTATTTTTATCACTTATTATATCTAATTTTAATTTTAAAATTATCTATTAATTTAATTATCATTAAAAATTCTTTTATAAATTTAAGACTACAAATGTAATGTGTTATACATCAATTTTTTTATTTTTAGTAACTTTTTTTAAGGTATATTATATTACTATTATAATTTTTTTATAAATTTTTTAAGATATATTTTATTGTTATTATAGTTTCATTCTTATGAAAAATAATTATTTTCAATTTATTTTTTTACATATTTTCTAACTTTTTTATATTTTGTATAATAATTTAGTCAAGATTACTAAAATAAAAGTGTATTAATACTTTTTTTATTATTTAATTTATCATTCAATAATATATATTTTTATTTGATATAATTTTACAGGTATATAAATATTATTGTAAACAAAAATATTTAAAGAAAATATATAATTTTTTTACTGTTTTTAGAAAGTTTATTTTTTTAATAATAAGTGAATATATATAAATTTTATATATTACAAATTTTAAAATTTTAAATATAATTTTAAAAAATTAATTTATATATATTCATATTAAATAAATAAAATTATTTCGTGGAGACTAAGCACTTTTTTGTTGGGAATTATATCTAAGATTTGATTTCCCTTGTAAAAAACCTTTACTAAAAATAGCAAATGATGTTTTTAATTAACTAAAAAAAAAAAGAAGAAAAAGCTAAAAGCTCACTTTCAGCCCTTCGAGTAATAAGACAAAGTAAAAGGTCCCCAATTTGGAAAAAGAAATAAAAATAGAGAAAGTAATCAAATAAACTAAAAGGTAAGGGGTCTTTTTGAAAATAACCAAAAAACTTAAAGATCTATCGATGTTGCGAACGAGAAATGAATTACAGTCCCTTTCCTTTCTTCTTCTTCTTTAGCTCTCAATCTCGCACTGATTCCGTACACTGCAGATTTACAATATTAACATCCGCTCTGGAGAAAGAAATCATTTGAATTTTTTAGTTTTGACCATTTTCTGTATTTGGGTTCCTAAAAAAAATTTTTAAAGATGATTCAGTTATTGTTCCTGGTGATATTCTCAGAGATGGCGGTGATCATGGTACTAACATTCAAGACGCCGTTAAGGAAGCTGGTGATAATGGGTCTGGATCGGGTCAAGCGGGGACGAGGTCCAGTGATGGTGAAGACGGTGGCGGGAACGGTATCCGTGGTAATGATGTCGAGCGTGTACAGCATGATGAAGATCCAGAAGCGTTGGATCGATGATGAAGCGGCTAATCCAACGGACCAGGTTCTCATGGCCAAACACCTTCTTGAGGCTACTCTCATGGGTAATTAATTCTTTCTTCAGTTCCTTTAAATCTAGCCGTTGATTGCTAATGCCTGGTTTTTCACTTTTGTTGGGATCTTAATTTCTTCTCTCTTACCATATGAAATTGTAAGCCCATGTCCAAATTATTATTATTATGATATTTGTTGTCTGATTTTCGATTTTAGAATGCTTGTTGTTTTGCCCATTTATTTGTATAATTGGCATCTTGAAGCAAAAGGAAAAAAAAGTTGTGATTTTTAATTCAATTGCTCTTTTTTTGTTTATCCTTTTGGCCCAATTGGCTGAAGATTTAAATATAGAATTAGGCAGGTGAAGGCAGGATTTAGCTTGGGTTCTAATGCTGTCAATACCCTTTTAATTTTTCTTCAATTGCTTCTAAATTCTAAGACTGCCATGCTGTTTGTGTACCAACTGCCATTGCATATATTCATAATCATAAATCCTCGCAGAATGGGTACAATTGTTTGATCTTCAAAGATTGTGCAGTTGGAAAATATGACCCTGTTCTTTGCCTTGATATAAACACATAGGACTGCTATTTGTGCTGAGCTCCGGTCTTAGGGTATTCCTGGAAAGATAGAAGAAGGGTGGTTAGAGGCAAAGGCAGGGAGTGTTCCCTGTGTTTGCACTCCGACACTCAAGTAAGAAAGGATGAGGTCGGAAAGAGAGTAATAGGGAGAATATGGAGTGGTGTGTCTTACTTTCATGGTGCCTGGACCTTCATATTTATAGATAAGTGATAAAGGACCATTAGAGGACAATAAGGACACTTACTGAGAATTCATGTTCGGTCGGTACAAATGTCGAAACTATCTCTGGTTGTCTGCTGAAGGCTTCTAATATGAAAAAAAAAATTCTATGCCTTTTTGACCACTAAATGCCTCCAACAACTGCTTTGTGACTCTGTATTGTTTTGCTTGGGCGGTGAAATTTTCATTTGCTTTCTGGATTTTTATGGTGAAATAAGTTGTCATTGTGATTTTTAGTTCTGGCTTCTAAATTCAGCTTGAATTTCATGGGATTTCTGTCACTTCCTTTTGCTCTGTTAGACTTGCATTTTTAATGTTGGATAACTTATTGCAGGGGGATCACTTTTCCTAGCACTAATGATAGATAGATTACACCATTATATCAGAGAACTCCGGATCAGAAGGAAGACCGTGGAGGCTGTCAAGAAACAAGGTCGAGGATTTGATGAAGTAAAACCTGGTGGCTCAGACGAAGTTAAAGCCTTGGAGGAAGAAGTAACCACTCTGCGGGGAAAATTTAAGCAGCTGGAGTCTGATCTTGAGACAAAGACAAAAGAGATGAAAGCTGCAGAAGCTAATACAGTTGCTTTAAAGAAACAATCTGAAGGTTTTCTTCTTGAGTATGATCGACTGCTTGAGGAGAACCAAAACCTTCGGAATCAGTTGCAATCTTTGGACCAGTGGTTGTCACGTTCAGATAGTAAGAAGAATACCTAAGAAACTGAGCACCTCTGGCAAAATGTTTTTCAGTTCCATTATTGTTAGCCATTCAGGAGTTTTCTAATGGATTTGTTGGTTGCAGTTTAGTTGTAATTCGTGAATCATTTTAAGTGGGGACAGAAAAAAGATCCAAAGAAAGCAAGAAGGTTAGGGAAATTAACTTATCTTTGTATTTTGGGCCTGTTGTGTTTTAAGTAGAATTGAATGTTGAATGGATGAGTTTTGACTTGACATTTCTAAAACATTCTTTAAAGGCTAGAAAAGTTTTGCTACTCATGTTTTTCCCCCCTGAATGCGTGGGAAATAACTTTATGATCCAGGAAAATGGACTTGTGAACCAACAAACTGTTTCGTAATAGAGTTATAAGTAGTATGCGGATGTGCCTGTCAAATGAAACTATGCCCACAAAAACCCTTAAAATCAACTTCTGATTGATGTGCGTTTCTAATTGCATTCGACTATTGTTTTGTCTTCCAATTGTTCTGTGGCTCAAGTACTTGTTTTTAGATTATTGGAAAAGCCCACTATGGGATCAGTTTCGTCTAACAGCGTGTCGGCGTTGGCAGTTGTAAGCAGCATTAAGCCAAGAAGGACCAGAACTGACAGTACTGATAGCACAAGCATTAATGCAGTTGCTCTACGAACTTTCACCGCTTGTGCGTATTCAGCTGCAGCCAGCGCAAGGAAGGTTAATGGGAAAGAGTAAGCCCCACCTTGTAACATTGAATTTCTTCATAGATTGCTTGAAAAGAGAAGGCCTGCAACCCTGTAAAAAAGCAATCACTGTTAAATGTTTTAACTTCATCCCGACCATAACCAAAGATGGGCTGTTTGGTTTGATTGCTATATATGTTAGTATTTCGAACCGTCAAAATGAATCCACTGCAGCTAAGCATTAAGACCAATATCAGACCGTTCAATTTGCAAACAGGAGGAAACTTTAAGATAAAATTTCTTTAGGGTAGGATGGGGACTCTTTTCCTATTTTACAACCCCCCCCCCCCCCCCCCAAAAAAAAAAATACTGCAACCAGTAAAAAATGCATTAAAAAATATTTATCATTAGAGTAATTCAATTTGATACATAAGATATAAGCCTTATATTTCAATGCGGTCAATGAAATTGTTTTATACCTACTCTCAACCCTATTACTGCTATTGTTACTAGTATTTTTCCCACCAATCTTTGTGAGATAATAATCAACGAGTAAGTCATAATCCTCGCTCATCCTGCTTATGTCTCCTCCCCAACTACTTGTAGATTCATCGACATGTCTGCTAGGTGACATTTCTACTTCTAAATTGCTATTGCTTCTCACCGTTAGCCAATTTTCATCCCATTCCCAGTTGGGCATTTTTAAAGACAAAACAAGATTGTTTTCACTTTCATCCAATTGCTGGATCCTTTTCATTAAAGATTTGTTGGTCATACAACTTTTCCTGAAAGGAATCTGAATTTTATCCAAGTCTTCCATCGAGTCCCAAATGTGTCGATGCAATACGCTGTTGGGTGTGTCCAATTTTGAACCATCAGTTATCTTGACTGGAAATTTTGATTCCTTTACAAAGTCATGAGCAAGAAGTTCGGTAGCTGTCCATCTCTCAACAGGGATCTCTTCTCAAACACTTACTTAAGAAATCCATTGCCTGCTTTGAAACATTGCTTGGTATTTCTGGCACATCACAAGAGAATCCAGTTCTGTACAGGGCAGATACAGGATCGCCAACATCAGGCCACGGGCCTCGTCCAGTAGCCATCTCGATGACTGTACATCCAAGTGCCCACACGTCAGCGGGGAATCCTTGTTGTTGGCCACGCGCCACCTCAGGTGCCATATAAACAGGCGTACCAGCAACTGACCAGGTGGCACTGGACACCACGTCAGCTCGCTTGGCGCAACCCAAGTCAGCAATTTTAACCCCATCATCGGTCACCAAAATATTCTGACCCTTGATGTCACAATGCACTATTCCACTAGAGTGAAGAAATTCCAGGCCAAGTAGAATTCCACGAGTGTATGATCGAATCATGTCCTCATCCAGGCAACCACCGTGCCTGTGAATTGCATCCATGATGGTTCCGCTGGGTGCATATTCCAAGAAAAGATTGTATAGCAGCTTACCATTTTCGGACGAAATGTCACACCCTTTGTACGCTACAACTTGAGGGCAGCTAAGTGTAGATAGAATTCTCTGTTCCCTTCGAAGAGATTCTATTGCGAGAGCTCAGAGGACTTAACAGCAAAGACATGACCGGATGGGTCAGCGATAGCGATGAAGACAGTGGCAGTGGAGCCGCAGCCAATGGTTCTGCCACGGGTCCAGTCCATTTGAGAGATGGAAGCTTGGAAGGGAAGGCGAAAGATATTAAAAAGTGAAGTATGGAGTTTGGAATGGTTTATTGAGCTAGGAGCCGATCATTTATATGGAAAATCTTGTGGCTTTTTTTTTGGGTCCAAAAGAGGCACGTATAAAACTTAAATTAAACGCTCTAGTTTGGTAAAGGCTGGGCTTTAAGGCAAGAAAACGAATGCCTTTCTAACAGCAATTTCTTTGTGGCTAATGGGCGGCCGCCGTTTCTTTCGATTCTGAAACCAGATTTTCCACTTGGAAAAGGGGGGCTGAATTAAAAGCATTGGCCGACAGGGCGGCGGGTTGTTTTCTTGCTTAGCTTAGCCATGAGTCATACTGTCACGTCTTCCAGCAAGCCGCTTGCGTAGAGGGCGGTGCTAGCTGGTGCAATGAGGTCGGGATCAGGATCCTGGTCCTGGTTTATTTCTTGTTTTAAATATTAGTAATTTAAAAGTAATTAATTACATTAACTAGTTTTATTTTTTAATCTAATCTATAGTGGTTAACTTTATAGAGCTGCTGCTGTTTAATGAGATACTTAATAATGATAAAAATATCAATGGTTCATGAACTAGTTAAGTTATAACTTGAGTAGTAAGTTAGGATTTGAGATGTTATTGGCCAGTTTTCTTGGAAGTTCTTCCTCATTAGCATGTGAAGTATGAGCCAAAGTACATTGTATATGTCTTAAATGTTTCAGCAAGTTCATGTTCATGCAACTGCTAGTTGACAAAAACAGGATTATTAAGTGCAACGGAACACGCAACCATCTAATGGTACTTAACTAACTATTGCATCCATGCAAGGAAAGGTATTACCTAGATTATTAGATATGGTGGTGTTGGTTACTTTTCTTGGATTGTGGGTAAAGCTTTACAAAGCGAAAAGTGCAGTCTTTGTGTTATAAACTTCGAAAAGCAAAAAGGATTGGTGCAGTTGAAAAGGCAGCAAACCAATAAACCCAAACGGCCTGCCCAATTCATAGTCTCAAGCCAACCTTGATTGTCTCTTCACATTTCATCTCATTAGTTGGCTGGTTGGTTAGTTATGATGTTTAATGTAATTGGCTTGGACTCATGGTTAGACTCTTTTGACGCATTGCGTGGTTTTTGGCATCTCAAATGGGCGTCCGTTTCAAGTAAAATCCAATCAGAGTTTTGCTTTCTCCATGTGGAAGCCACCAATTTCAATTCCTTTGGCCAATGATTTGAGTTCAGCTCCTCATACTTGATCGTTAAGTGTTGATAGATGTACGCTTGAGTAAATTATAGGATGATATTCTTTTTAAACAATTTTTGAAGTCATTTTCATATGAAAACAGGTAGACATCCTATCCACTCTTTGGTTTTTGCATGGTGATCATCAGCAACATGAATTCATTTCACAAATCAAAAGCCTTTCCCTTTCGTGTAGTGATTTAATCTACATCAGACCTGACATGGCAGAAAGTTTCCTCTGACTCATCTCCCATACCTTTGAGATGGATTAACCCTCAGCAAAGGTTTCCAAGGACTATAAACTTCTGGCTGGCATTACCAATTACACTTTTCTTTTCTATTTGTTTTGGATAAATGGGAACCTTCTTAATCACTAGTCAGTAGTACTTTGAAGATATTGCTAATATTGAACAAGACCGGCATATATGAAAGTGATGACATGAACCAGTAATGTAATGTTTTTGAATATTGAAAACTGCTTATGGACTCTTTTAACTACATGTTTAGTTTTCATAATTTTTTTCTCTCTGTTAATGGATATCTATCAGGAACGTATCATTGTTCATCGCCATGAGCAGGATGAGGTTTTTGTGCCTTCTAGAATTTTGGGCCTATGATTCCAGGGCTGAGGACATTATTAAGAGCCCAATAACAGTTTATTTCATCTTTGACCTTGATCATCATTGTTGAGGCCAGCCAACACGTACGTGTGAACCCGGACTTTCTCGTGGTCCTAAGAATGAGAAGGTACTGTAGATATCAGCCCCTGGCCTCTTTACACTTGGGCCTTGAGGGCCAGTCTGCCAAAATGCCGAATGTCCTTTGCCTTTTCTTTTTTTTTTTTTTTTTTTTCAACTATATCTACTTCTACTATAGGTTTTTGGCAAATTGTTCAAAAAAATAAATAATTATTTTCTCCTTTTTTTTTTTTGTTCATTTATGTTGAAGAAGAGTGGTTGCAGTTTAACGCTTCCCATTCAGTCTTATTAGATAAGGTCACAGCTCATTTAATTTGCTTTTGAACCGTGGTCGTCCATGGAACTTTGAAGAAGGTAAGGAAGAAATAAGCAAAGTTGAAAATTGATGTATTGGCATCATCAGCACCAAAGAAGAAGTCAGATAATAATTAAAGAGAGGCAAATAGGGAATTAAATGAGAAAAGGATTTGTATATTAATTTTGATAAATTCAATTATTGATCCAGAATATTGTAAAAAAATTTTAGGTAATTATAGCCCCTACCTGCTCCTTTCACTTCGTTATTAATTAACACAATCTTTTTTTCAAATAATGAAAAATATATTTATCTGAATTTTCACCGAAAACACTAACCAGATCATGTTCAAATTTATGTTTTTCTTTATTCTCTATTATCAAAGACCCTTTTATTCTTGTCCCCATTTTAAACCGTCAAAGATTTTTTTTCCCCTGCCGAAAATGCCTATATATGATGATAATAAAAGCTAGGGAATTAGGCACATTGAAAAGAGGTGAGGGGTTCAAAAGCCGTGAACAACTAGTAGCTGTGATGAATCACTGTCTTGAAAAAAACTATCATGTGCATAGATATCCGCTGATATGCTTTGTAATAAAAATCAAAAGAAGTGACAGAAATCAAAGAAAAGGCATTAGTAGTTTTCTACACAATTTCTTTTGTCTTCACGAAGGAAAATGGTGAATGTGGTGAGTAAATTAAAGACGGTCTAAAATGGCAGACCAATTCCGTAAAATCAGTGTGTGAAATGAAAGGCATCTTTGGTATCCTTATAGGAGGTAATGCGGTGGAAATTCTTTCACTAGAGTCCGCCTTCACTTGCCAATTTTGTCTATGAAAAGTCTAGGCCGTTCTTTTGGTTTGACGCTCTACCACCACCAGCTGCACCACCCACCAGTGACCAGCCTCACTTCCAAATTTGGGTAACAATCATGGCCTATCAGAGAAAAGCAAAACATTGATTTGAAATCATTTTGGTGAATCTCTTAGATTATACATAGCTGTATTGCTGCTGTCCCCCTTTGGAAGTTGTTGGGGAAAACATTTGCCCTCCATAAAGGGTTGTAATTTGTGGTAGAAGCTGCAATATTGGAAGTATATGATATTCCAACAGATCACAAATGTGTGGCTAGCTAAAACACACATTTCCCATTATAATTTGTTGAAGCAATTTCAAGATTAATTCATCAGTGGTTGATCATGCTAATCACTTATCTTCCTCGTGTTCTTACTCAAGGTACAGATTCAAATTAATGATCCATATAAATGCCAATTTGAAGGGGAACATCCATGTCGAATGCCTCAATATTCCAAAATTTTAGTCAAATCAAGATAATGAAAGTGATTGATCTTTAGTGCATCTCATCAACTATTTTTAGTCTTCATGACTACTTGTTGCATACT